ATGATACATTCTTCATCTTTTTTATTTCAACTTTGTCAAGCGTCAGAATTTGACACAATTGGTTTTGTTACTCTCGACCCGGAACTATAGTATTATACATAAACCAAGAAGACTGTGGAGATAAAAAAACACTGCATAAAAAGCTGAATCCGAGAAAAGTGAAGGACAAGCAACGAGTCTTTGCACCATGCCAGAGGCGAAAAGCTTGGACTTGATGGTTAACTGCCACCTGCTCATGTTTTTTTGCTTCCAAGATGAAAAGAAAAAGCACGACAATGTCAAGCAGCAAGGAAAAAAAATCAAGAAATGCCTCAGGTTAGAGTTCACCCTAAGATTGTAATTATACAAGACTAAGTAAGATGCTCAAGAAAAAAAAGCATTTGGCTATGCCATTTGTCTTTGAAATACCACGTCAATATCTCTATAGGCTCATTTATTTGTTAAAAACAACAAACAGCATTCTAAAAACAACTTTGCATTTTCTTCTTTTAGCTGTCAAATTATACTTAATGTTCACAAAAAATTAATGATACATTTATCTGTTAGTTATTGACTAAGACGTTTGATAAATATGTAATTACCTGAAAAAGTTTAAAGGACTCATCTAAAATATTCAATTGAATTGAGAAGAAGAATTTAAGAATATTTTTTATTGCAATTCGTTAATTAAAAAAACCTCTTCTATTCAAAATGATCCTTTGTTTTGGAATGGAGGTATAAATAAATCTATTATATCAGCAGAACACTTCAAATTACAAAAGCTCGATGTTATGCACGTACAGTCTTGCATTAAATAAATTATTTTGTTCTTCAATATACTTTATCGAATTCCATCAGAATATAAAGCACAGTAAAAATTTTCTTTTTCTCATTTACCAATTGAACTATAATTTAGAATAATGTTACACATTACTTTTACTATCATGTATTCAATAAACTTAAAATAAAAGCACATGTCATTTTTCCAAATAGTGAAACAACTCAAAATAGACCTACTATGCAATGTTAATTATTCATTTGAAAGCTCAAAATTCTCTTGTTACAAAAAGAACTCGACTATGAAATCCTGAATTGAAAATTAACATCACTATGCATAGTGAATTTAACTATTTCATTTCTCTCAGTATATCAGTATTTTACAAGTACACTTTTCATTTCTATCAAACACAACTTTTCTACATATAATTTATATATTTATATACACATATATCTCGAAAACCGAAACCAAAGATATATTATTATTCTCTCGCCATCTACTTCGTGACAGTTTGCCCTACTTTTCGTGTACATATTTACTACCTAACACTGCAATAAAATATCTCTGCAATCTATAAATATATAAAAACAAATAACTAAAGTTCATAAAAAATTCGTATACAAAATTTTACAAATAAAGGTAAAGAAAAATAAAAAATTCATTCACCAGAAAAATAGTACTCCATCTTTATTAATTCCATGAACTCAGCTAACCCTATATTTTTTCATATTATGAGATTTGCTCCCTTACAATGATACAACTTTTTTGTCGAAAGTGGCACGAGTATGAGTGAGACATTGAAAAATATGCGAATAATGTTGCGTTAAATTATTTATACATTTAAATTTTAGACATAAGACAGAAAGAGAGAAACGGAGTAAGAGACGTAGAAAGAGAAATAATGCATAAAATCAATACACTTGGTTTTCATTCAACTCGAGTCCCAGCAGAGAAAAAAAATCGCTTCAATCAGATATTTTTGTGGCTCGGAAAGTGGAAAAAGTTATCAAACCTTTAATAGGAAGAGTCTATTCAAATACAATATTTTACAAAAAAAAAAAAAAAATATATATTTATTCATGCTGAACATTTAATTTAAGAAAAGAATAAGTTTTACTATTTTACCATTTCAAGAGTTTTTGCATTTAGTTGAATGAATTTTCAATAACTCAGTTGAAATACTAGTATTTCAAGAAGTACAATTTTTTCAATTGCTAGTAATTATAAATATTTAATAAAAAAAAAAAAACTGTTTAATTTGTAATAGCAACAGAAGCGTTCGTCCAGTAGTAAATGTTTAAATCAACAGACACTTAGACAGTACAAATGCCAAAATTTTCTTCTGGTAAAATAAATTCAACATCGCAAGTAACGTTGAATACACGAGTTCTATTGTCGTGTGGCGTTGAGAAAAGCTGCTTACTAAGAGTCTATAAGATGTAAACTTCTCACTAATGTTCTGTTAAAAATATGGATTTAAGTGACGTCTTTACATCTTCTACACCCATACGTTTCTCTAGATTTCAGAGCCAACAGTTGCGACAATGTTCAACTAGAGCTCGAGATACTGAGATGCAACACATGGAACGATCAGAAAACTCAGAGCTTAAGTGATTTGTGACCTTGCTTTTAAACTTTACTCAATGAAAACCATTTCCAGCATGCCTCCAACTTTCAGCACAAAACCGCGATATGGAAAGTTTTCAGGCATAGCTGCAGCCATAGGGTTAGAGTCAAGAGATGAATTACCAACGATAATTAATTAAAATTATCTCAACTCAGATATAAATTGGAGAAAAATATGATGAACAGACTCAGTTTATAAAATTATGTCTAGTGAGATTACAGATTTGATGATGAATGGAAAAGATTCATAATTTTGATAGGAAAAAATGAAGAAGATATCAAAGAAGGTTTCAGAATTATCCCAAATGAACTGACATCAAATCTACTGGATGAAGGTATAGCTTCAAGATTAAAATCGTTCAAACCACTAGGCTCAAAGAAAGATTCGAATAATTAACCATGGTTAATCCTGATTTAAGCTTGAAAAGAGACTGAAAAAATATAGAAAGCTTTATCATGTGATACTTGGAGTACTTTAATCAAAAATATTTTTCTTAATTATAAACGAAAGAGAAAAAAAAATTTATCCAATGGTTTAAAAAAAAATATATATAATAAAAAACATGAGGAAAGGTCACTTATAAATCTGATTTTTATCGTATTTTTCTTTAACTGATAATAAAAGCTACATTAGTGGTTGAAACCCAATAGAATCACAAAAAAAACACCAGACCTTCTGAAACTACATTAGTTCTAATGGCTTTCTAATGATCAATCACGGAATTTCATATAAAAAGGAAGCAAAAAAAAGATACTCCTACACATTGATTGTTTGTTTATATTTGTAAACCTGTATTTAATAATACTTCAAATAAATGAAAAATACTTTTCGATCGCCATTTTAGTTAAAATAAATGAAATCATAACAAAGTGAAAAAAAAGTGTAAAGATGGAAAATTTGAAATTATGAAAAGTTTTTGTCTGAATGTAATTTTAAACATTTTATTAAAAGTACAGTTACATGGGTTGTTTACTATATTGTATTTACTCACAGAAAACATACACATCATTTCATCTCATAATTCATGTAGCTACATAAAATCCAACAATGTGAAATTTATGTACTAAAGTGGGAGAAAGTTAATAAAATATTGACAGCCAAAAAAACAATAATACAGGTAATATTGATATTTTAATGAAAATTTGATTTCAATTTCAAGTAAAACCGTGAATTATTTAATCTGTTTTTACAACTACAGCATTGAAAAAAATGATGAGAATATTCTGCCAGAAAAAATCTGTCTTTGCAATTCAATTTATGGAATAAATGAAATTTAAAAGATGATAAGGATGACCGTAGGGAAAAATCAATAAAACTGTATGGAATGTGCTGGATAGATATAGGTATATCCAAGGCAATTCACCACTTTATTTGAGTATTCCTTCCTTTCAATCGATATTTATGATGATTCTCAGGTTTCTAGAGAAATTGAAATTTTTACCGTTCAAAGAACATAACAGCATCACTGTAGTAATACGTTCCATTCAATTTTTCAATAACACGTACATTTATAAAATGTATTTCTCTTGATAAAAATAAAATTTAAATATCCGAATAAATCGTTGTGACCAAATTCCATTTGTTTCATTTTATCGATTTTTACTAATATAAATAAAATGTAATTAAACAATAAATTACAGATAATTTCCGGCAATTAAATTAAAAATAAAATCCACTTCAAGCACTTTGTGCTTTATGTACTTAGAAATAGATTACAAACTCAATAATCTTGTCAAATAAACTGATGCAATGAAGAGTAAAAGATTAAAAAGGGTAAAAAAAGAAAATGAGTTAGAGAAAGAGAACAGTACTTAAATCTGGGGGGTTAAAGAATATAATGAAACAAAAAGACTATAAAAGAAAACCAAGAAGGAAGCGACATAAACCGATTATCTTTCATCAGAAGGCGACCCCGTAGTTATTCAATCAAGCTTTTCACTTCACAGGAACCTCCTTCGACTATTTTACTTGGTAAACTTTTGCTAAATTTCCAACCCTTCGGGGCATTGTTGGAAAATGAAAGGGACAAGTTTGCGTAACTTTGCCAAAATTTTTCATCAACTTTTTAATGAAACAATATAAGTCATAGTTTGAACATGCTATTTTATGATCGTAGGTAAATATTACTCATTCACCACAAAATGTTGTATAGGTAATCAAATAATCGAGACAATACCGCTCTTATCTAACAAACAAATATCTGATAAAGACGAAAAAATAACATTGTGAATAAATATTAAAAAATTCTCAGTTTTACATTGATTTTAAGCTTTTTTCTTTACAAAAAAAGTAAACTGAACTCTATTTTAATAATTCTATTATTTTCAAATGTTTGAAGTTTGAAATATTTAAATTTTTCTTTATGGGCAGCTAATAAGATTAAGTTAGCGATAGTATCATGAAGTTTTTATTAAATGGAACATTAAAATTCTAAACTTATCAAAATGACTTGACGTAAACGTGTTATCGACGGTGAATATTTGTGTAATGTATTCAAAGAAAGACTTTAAATTCTTTTAGCAACCATTTAAATTATATCTAATAAAAATAAAAAAGTTAAATTCGATTTATATCCATTCTGTATAATATTCAAGTTCACTTTGTATGAGTATAACATCAATGAGACACTATATTCAAGAATTTAAGGAAACCACTTTATTTTATCTGCTCGATTTCTCAATCCAATTGTTTACTTATGCGGCGGTAGACACAAAGTTGGGAAATTTCTATAGATATTCTAATATAAATGATACTGTAAATTAATGTGCATCATAACAACGAAAAGTGTCGTCTTCTAAACGTTATTAACTGAATTTATGATATTATTTTCCTTTGAAAAGTGACTGTTAGTTGAAATTAATTGTAGCCGTGAAAAAATGAACTTGTGGGAAAATGTAATTGTTTATTTGTTATATTTATTCCATCTTCGATACGTTCAATGTTATCAATCGTAAGATAAATTCTATTTAATTAAATAAAAAAAAAACAATGGGTATTGATTATTCTTTTTATTTTGATGTAGATCTACAAATTTCACCATTTTCTGGGCCGTTCCAACATTTCTTTGCAAAAACTACAAAATTGATTTTGATGACTTTCTGGAAAGCATTCCAGTGATACGAAATTCAGAAAATCTCAATAAAAAGAATAAAATTGTCACATTCAATAATCCTGGTAAAAATAATTAATTACTTCTTTATAATTAGTCTATGCATTTATCTTGATAAAAACTTGTATTTTTTACAGACTTATTAGACGATCGCTTGCCAGAGAAAATGGGTATGATAAGTTATGTGAGTTTGCAGAAAAATGACATACGCGAGAAAATCTATAGCACCTTCAAAGGACTTGGAGTTTTAAACTACACAATGTGGCAGCCAATTTTCAGACAAAATTGTGGATCTTTAGAGTACTTTTATAATAATTCTATTGAAATGGAAAGAAAACTATATCCACTACTAAACGAAGATCAAACTCGAGAATTGGCTGAAATGAGATTCGAATTTGCTACGTCAATAATATTAACAAACTCTATCAAAAACATACAAAATAGTTGGCCTCTAGCGACTTGGGGACTTTTTGATTATCCTAAATGTTTTCTAACAGAAAAAAAATTAAGTCATGAATGTGATAGAGAAGTTATAGAGGACAATGACAAGTATGGAAATTATTCTTTCATGGATTAATTTTAATCAATTAAATATTTCAAATGTATTTTTTTCAGATTATCTTGGCTTTGGGAATTAGATATCGCTTTGTTTCCCTCAATTTTTATTCCCGTCTATGGCACGTATTTAAAAAAAGAAAATTTTGTTGAAGCACGTTTGAGAGAAGCTAGAAGAATTTCACAAAAATATAATCCTCCGTTAAAAATTTATCCTTACTTAGCACTCAGTTATGATGACTATGAACTATTAATACGTAGGGTATGTATTATTCGTTAGGATTTTTTCGATTTTAAAAGTAAATTAATTGCTTTTTTTTAATGATTTCAGGCAGACCTTGTTACTATATTGAGGCCATTTTTAACCATAAAAACAGATGGTTTAATTATTTGGGGGAATGAAAATGACGTAAACAGTAACATCAAATGCCAAAAGCTGTATGAATATTCCACGCGCTACCTTGGAAATGTACTAAATGAATTTTGGAACCTCATACAAAATGAAACCGATATAACATGAAAACTAAATTTCTTTTTTTAAGTATTCAGAACTTTGCGTCTTATTCTCTCAAATAAAAGTAAATGTCACCACCTGCATAAAACCTTACATCCATTGTGTTAATTAAACTTTCAAAAGTATGATTATTTATATTATTATATTGTTAGAAATAAATTGATAATATTTTGATATTGAATAGATTATCAATAAAGAAACTGATGATCTTGGAATTAAATTAACAATAGATTCTTAAAACTAATTGCTTGTTTAATACTTTTCATTAAATATAATAGTTTGGGAAATGAAATCTTAAAGAAATTTATAATACTTTTTGTTTTCTATATAAATTGTAATTAAATATTTTGTTTACTATCTCATAAAAACTCATAGCCGTTCTGTTGTTATTTAAAAAGTTTAAGATTTGACGAATAGAAAAGGTAGAAATTTAATTAAAAATACGTAAGAAACTGACTTCCTTCCAACTCTTAAAAAAGACTTTAAGCTCTAAGGAATAATACGAGGATTCCACTTGAATAAGCTTTTCTTATCCACAGTGAAATAGAAACTTGCGAAAATTACTCGAATAAAATATGAATTTCATCGAGATAAATAACTTGGAACCATTTTTTAATTTTATCATAAGAGAAGATAATGTTAAAAAGAGTAAACATTCGTGGGAGAGTTTATCTGGTTAAAATTAACGTCGACTACAATATGGAAGTGTAAATATGTTTTTTTTTCTTTTGCAAACTGATGAATATAAAAAAATATTATATATAAATATTAAACAATTATTTCAAATAGAACTAATTAGTAAAATGTCAGTTATGCCTAGTAAATTAATTAACTCAGTTATATCAAAGTTTTCGAGCTGCACAACTTGACTGACTGAACGATGTTACAATTACTGCATGAAAGAATATTCTATTGCTGCAACAGATTAGATGTCGGTCAGACAAAACAAAATCTATCAATATTTTTACAGCTAGGAAATATTTGCAATGCAATTGAAAAAATCAGAGCCAATTGAAAAAATACATGGAAAAAAGACAAGAAACAGTGAGAAAATACAGTCGTTAGGTATATTGATAGAGAAGTTGAGCAGTGAACTAGGGGCATTTATTGATTTAACCGCATGCTGACCAATATTGAGTTTTCCTATACTATCTATTGTAAGTTTAACATCCAGGGGCAATGCATTCGACTGAAGACAATTTTTTAATTTTTCATTACAAGTTACTCTAGAAGACCAGTATATCTATATCAGATCACCATTAAAGCTATCATTTCTATTTCATCTTAAAAAAAAATTGAAAATAAATAATGTACAATTATATCTACGATCCCCATGTGAGTAAAATTTTTAAATTGTAATTTATATGTATATATTAGTGGTTATCTACAAAAGAAAATTATTATATTTTTCGTAGTATTGTTAACTTCCGGTTCCCCAGACTCAACCCCGATAAAATCACCCCGATAATTTTGGTTCCTCGATAAGAGCATCTGTCACAAACTCCAAAATTTCCCATCGTTAAAATGAATTGAAAGGTATTTTTTATATTTTTTGTAATTACTTTAATTTGAAGTTATAAAACAATTTAATAAAATTAAAAGTAAACTAAGGTAACAGTAACATTTTTCAGTAGTATTGGATTTTGTATAGTTGATGATGGTGTTTTCATTCATTTAATTAAATTAAAGAATATGCGAAAAATTCCTGAGTGTATGAACCTTTTTTTTATGGCTAACATTCCCATTTCTTTTTTTTATATTATATATACTGAAAGGGTTGTTGAATACAAAAGCTATCATAGTATTAGATAGTGCAAGTATCTGTTACAAGTATTTGAATACGTAAAAAAGAATTCTGCAGGCAAATATAGGTAATATATTCATTCTATACCACTATCTCAAAGAGTACTTTCTGCTGGTTTTATACTAAATTTAGCCTATGATACTTTATATGGAGTATTGGATTTTTATAGACTCGAAAAAACAAAATAAAGTCTGCATGTTTAAATGACGTATACATAAAATACAACATTCTGTTGTAGCCAGGTCAGAGTATTTTAGATTACACACATTTCGAATAAATTTATGATAAAACATAACCATTTTCAATTCATCTACTTTTTTTATTGTCAAGTGAAATGTCCTTTTACCAGCAATAAAATTTATCTAAAACTTAATATATTTTTTTGATAAAAATAAAAACTAGAAGTATAAATTTTCATTTTTTTATTGTATGTACAGCTGTATATTTGTTACAACCTGAAAACGACTATAGAAAATATTTACAAGTCAGCTAAATTGAAAAATTTTTTAATCTGTGAATTCAAACAATTTTTTTTTTAAATTGATATTTCAGAATAAAAAATAAAAACATCCCTTGTCCATTAAAGAAGGATTATAGTTAAACCATTTAAATTAAAAGTAGTTTAATTGAGAATTATTTCAACGCTGGCATTGGCGTTAAAATATATTTTTCTAACCATCTAAAGGCTGTAAGTATACTTCGACCAATTAGAAACTGGTACGGAGAAGATGATGCGTATTCCACTTTCCTGTGAAACCCTAACGGAGTACTCAGTGCAAATTCTCCCTCAGAGACCCTCACTCTTTTCAGAGGCAAAGCATTCCACAGCAAGGATCTGAGTTTAACTGGCATTTAAATCTCATGCTCCGCCTGTTTCTTCGCTTATCTAGAGGCGGGTACGAGGATTTACTGGACGAATACGAGATGTATCTCAGTTTTTTTCACCAATTTCTAAAGTTATTTTTCTATCTGTAAAATAATGACAACATTTTCTCCAACACTTTTTTTTCAAGTAGATAATATTAAAGTCAAAATAAAATAAATATTAAATACATTATTTGAATAAAATATTCTGTTAATATCTGAACTAGTATCCAAATAAAAATAAATATTGGAAATAAACTCGACAATATTTCTCTCTTGTTTATGTCATGTGATGTTAATGACATTTGTAGAAGAAAAATAAATAAAAATAAAGAATACATATTTGAATGACATAAAAATTTTCAAAATATGTAATAGTGAATGCAAATAATTTTTTTTTAACTGTGATGAAAGTCATATTAATTCTCATTAAAAATTTTTTTGTTCAATAGAATGAAATTAAAAATGTTTCTCTTGAATAAAAATTTTTAATATTAAATATTTTTTTAATAGATATTCAATGTCACTGAAAACTACTTAATAAATTCATTTTTTTTTTTAAATTCATAATCAATACGAAGCACCCGTATGTGAGATAAATTAAAGCACGTAATAAACGAACAACTTAGGTTTTGTGAAGAAGAGTTAAAATGAAAAGTTTTTCAAGAGACTAGGGAATTCTACAGATGCACGAAGAAAACTCATTTCCAGTGTAATATGAGGCTCAAATAGAAAAAAGAACAGAGAAACTTTGAAAAGAAGGAGATGTCAATTGGTGGACGCGAAATTTTCTGAGAGTCGATACCTTAGTTTTGAAATCTTTATCTCTCCTTTTATTTCCTGACCTTAAGTAACTAGATCATGTAGCTATTTATTGGTTTCCTCACTGGTGATTTTTCAATTGAGGTAAAAGAACAAAGAACACGGAATTTATTTAGCTAATTAAATTAATAAATTAAACGACACTAGACATAATGGGTATACTGTAGCTTTATTAATGATATTCAAATCAGATACGCGGGACAAATACAAACATATTAGGACATCTATATCTATTACCGTCAATGTCCTGTCTATTCATGTGTCTATTTACTCTATCGAACGTATATCGCTATACGTGTCTAAATTGCCAAGTGCACAGGTGCATGTGGACTCACACAAGTTACTCAACAACAGTTCGACGCGTAGACTCTCTGATGCTTTGGAAACGAGATGAATGGCATAAATTGCCGAAAATACCCCGTGTGACCTAGCGATAAATCGAACGAGAAATTGTTAGAGTGTCGGAATAAAGAATTTAAAAAATGCATATAATTTATCGAATGATATATTGATCATTTTATGTACCTAATATGTCATTATCTGTACTATGTAAATATGTGAATGACCACTATTTGAACTGGGGTCAACACAAATGGAAACAAGGGCCAATTGTAACAGTTGAAAGAAGAATGCTATTCAGTTAAAAAAGTCTTTTTGGTTCAAAAACCATTTTTTTACGAGTTTATTGAAATTCAATGTTTCATTGATTTTAATAATAACAGAGTTTATTCAAACAAATACTTATTTTCATTTGTGACAATAAAAAGACAATTGAATTTTATTAATTACGAAAAATATTAAATTGTATTGGAAGTTAATTATCTATCATTTTTAGTAGAATTAAACCAAATGAGATGAGCAAGAAAATTAAAATGTTCTTTTATTACGAAACCTACATCAGTTTACCAATTATTTTGAACCCACAAATGAAATCGAATGAACGATCTAATTAATTAGTGACAATTCACTGATCTACGAGAGCATTTAATTAAAATGTATAAGTGTGTATTGTATTAAAATAAGACTAAAAAAAATCTGTCGAATAATTCATTAATTTTCGATTATCAACCTTCTATTTATTTATGCACGATAATTATCTAGATAAACGTATATTATTGTTCCAAGTGAATAATGGAAGGAAGATTAATATATTCATTTTTGCATGGCTGAAAATCAATATATTATTCAAATTTTATCGATGCTACCAATGTTGGAATTTAAAAGTTTTGATAAAAAATGTAGTATTGCACGGATAGAGGAATTGAGTAAAAATATACCCTGAGAGATAGTGAAATTTGTCCTACAAGAGAGGATATTTTACAAAACAGAAGGAAACATTTTATTATCCTGCAAGATACTCGGGTCATCTAAAATTGAAAGTTAATTTTTACTTAAATATTCTTCCCATCTATTTATTTTCAACCTTGATTTTTCTTTTATTTCATTATGTTTGAGTTTATTTTACTTTTTGTTGATAAGTAGAGAACACGAGTTTTAAATTACATTGAAGCACTAGCTAATAAAAATTACTACTCTAATAAAAAGTTGTAATTTAACAATAGGAAGTTATTACTACAAAAACATTATCTCGTCTGTAACGTGAAAACTTCAAACAAATGTAGTCGATAAATACAATATTTTTGATATATTTTTAGAATTGCATATGTTATTTTATGTAGGGGAAGGGAGGGTAAAATGTATCAATATTTCAATTTATTAATGCATTAAAAATTGTTAACATTTGTTATTATAATGAATAAATTTTTGATTTACTTTTTCTCTTATTATTTCACTTTACCTCACCTTCCCCCAATAAATTTTTGATTCAAACTTTTGAAATAAATGAAGTTTTTTGTAATATCCTGTTTCAACTTCAATTTCAAAAAGGCCGTTATTCACTCAATTCTTTTTTGATATCTAGTAAATTATTCATAAACTTTTATTCCTATTGTGTAATATTTAAATTCTACCAAAAATCGTAACTAAAGTAATGGGAATTTATTTTCAAATTTTTCGTGTTATTAATTCTAAAAAAATAAACCCATTACAAACGGACATAATATTCGTATTTCATAAACGTTCTATTTCTGTAATTGTTCTATAATTAAAAAAAAAAATCCCCCAGGACTTGAATCAAAAAAGAATAAAAAAAATTGTGTTTTCATTTTAAAAAAGTTGGTAACAATGTAATAGATAAACAATGACATCCATAAGATACACGTTATAGTCGACGGCTCTACACACTTGCAAGTTTGAACATTTTTAAACGAAAACAAAAAAGAATAAACGATGGGATTCACTAAAATCCCTCTAGTAATCTCGTTGTAAAAAAATGTACGGTCGAGCAAGGACTGAGAGAAAAAAAGTACTGTCACATATTACGAAGATGGTATATGAGATAAAATAAAATAGAAAAAATAGAATAGGGAGCGAATAAAAAATAAGAATTTTTTTTTTCAATGAAAACGTATCTTCGAATTTGTCAATCGGATTAGTGCGCGTTTACACTAGCTGAGCGGATGTTCAGTCTCTAAGTTTTTTTTATATCTACGAATAAAATAGATAAAGGTAGAGAAATTTGCGGTTAATCCAACTTTAAAAAGTTTTGAATAAAAAAAAAATATATGCCTTTTTTATCAAAAATATTTCACAATAAACTTTTAATTGCAATAAACATGAATTCATTAAAAATATGAATTTTTAATTAACATTAATATTGGTTTTATTTGTAACAAAGAAAAAAAATCTTAAAAAATAGGAAACTTATAATTATTTTTTAACAAATAAAAATGGTTTTAAATTAATGAATATTAATATATTTTAGCATTCATTATAGTTGGGATGGGCAACGTCATTGATATTGTTTTCATCATACTCAAAACAGAGTATATGAATAATCAGGAAAATTTATTTTACCCTAAGGTTAAATTTGACTTGTCTACATAAGTTCGAGACCACATAAGCATTTCGGTTGGCTAACATAAATGTATCCTCAGACAAGGCAAGTTCTCTTCAAACATATTCTCTTGAAAATATTCATAAATTGCATACCTATGTTCTACATGATACTGAAATTTTTTTTTATTGGCTAGAGAAACAGAAACTTAATTTTATCACGGGATAAAATTAAAGCATTTAACTCAGGCTATTTTTAGCCTACAATTCTCAACCCACAAATTGAATTTTTTTTTCACTTATTTTTATTGCTCTTATACATTTTAATTTTTTTTTCTCTCGTTAAAACTATGCAAATAAAAAATACATTCAAGTTGAATAAACACTCGAGAACTGAAATTTTTTTTTTTGGAGCACAATAAAATAGGTTTTTGTTAGTTTACTCCAAAAAGAAAAACCCTATATCATTGATGATATTGTTGAGGAAAAAAAAATATATAACGTCTTTATGATAACTACATTATCGTTAAGCTGCAAATAACAATCTAATATCATAGTATGCTATCCTATCATGACTCGAATTGCCTCATTCTGTCGAACAATTATGAGTGTTAAGGTGTGTCGGTGTCGAACGTATTCTATATCTATAGGTAGCTTGGTATCATTGCGCAATCGACCAGTTATCGTACTCTATTCCGCTAATAATTAATCAATCAATTTTTTATTTTACTTCTGATAACAGTATGAAGATGCTAAAATATAGCAATAATAGTCCACAAGCTGAGAAGAAAAATTTGCAGTAATTTTTTTTTGAAAGCATTAAAAGCAATTAAAAAACATTGACAAAAAAATATCATACTTATCATTTATTATTTTATCTTTTGTGTTTGAAAATAATAAAGAATTAAATAAAAAAGTACAAAGTCAACTGAGTCGGACAACATCGGTGGTATATTTTTTGTTCTAAAAAGAGGAAACAGTCGCAATTGTTCTCGCTTACACGGAATGAGAGACAATAACGTTCAAAGTGGTTGTTTCAGTGGAAAGCAAAACGATTCGACTGACGATGCGCTGGAGAGTTTGAATAACTGTGACTAACTCTATTAACGCAGAACGTTAGTTACAAACAAGATTTAAGATGAAATTGTCCGTTGTGGGATAACGATGAGACGATCGAATTATATATCAAGACTTCTAATAATATAATAGCTTAGCTTCAGATAGTTTTTTTTTATTAAAAACTTCTGTAATTGTCTGGAAGTTTGACTCTACCCAAAAACGAAGTTGAAACATTTTCAGTCAAGTGGATCTTTTTTAGAGTACTTTCATTAATTAATTTCAAGTGGGAAAGTAACATTTTAACCTTTGATTACTTTTTTTTGCAAAATTTCATAACTTTCCAGACCAAAACACTTCACATATTGCTAAACCTAGTAATTGTTTTGGCATAATTGTTAAACCTTTTGTAAAGAAAACAATATCAAGCAATCGTTAAGAAATGAATTCTTAAAATTAAAAATGAATAAGGGCATGTTATATCTAATCGTATTATTAAAGAAATATGAAGAAAATTTTTCTAATAACTTTAAACGATTAATCAAAAGTTAATTAACACCTTATATTTGTGTAAGAAGAAGATTAAATTTATTAATAGTAATATGCAATGTATAGTTATTATCTTCAGATAGTTGTCAAAAGCTCAAGAGACATGACTCTTCCAAAAGCGAAATCTGCTATGTCTCATCTGGATTGCCAATATCTCAGCTCTCGCCACGTCAATGAGTAGACACAAATTATGCAAAGCATGATGTGATCACGCTCAACTAAGCATTAAGGTCATATAATAAACCAAAAATTGTTGGATAAATAATGGTTTTATTTAAATAATGATTATTTATTGGAAAATAGAATAACATAAGTTTCATTCAATAGAATTATAACCATAATATTTTCAGCAAAACGTTGTTCATGGCAAAAAAAAAAAGTTTACAAAAAGGAAAAGAATATAAACTTACAAGATTAAGCGACTTCACGTGTTTTGCATTTAACAAGACTATTTTCGCGATGTGAACAGAAGGAAAAACATATCGACATCAATGGGAACACGTCTCTACGGATTCCCTACTCAGCAAGAAACCGGACGAAAATTTTTCTACATACAAATATTCGCATTTTTTAAATATTAAAATAAAGACAAAAATTACAATGTTTTTTTATAAAAAAATATGCAATAGTTATTTACCACTATCAGTATAGAAATAACCTTTACTATTGATGTTCGCAATTTTTTTTTTTTTTTGAGTAAAAAAGTTCGAAAATATTTGAGTACTGATACCAATCTTTCCGACATTAAAATGAAACTGAAATTTATCTCTATCTAAATACCATTATCTTAGTAATTTTCCAGCAAAGTCGAAAGAAAATAAAAAAAAATTTCGTCATAAAAACAGAATAATAATTCTTAATTTGAAAAACAGTATTTTCCTAAACTTTTCCAAGAATATTTATGACGTCAATTAATAAGAATACAATCGATAGAATGGGCCTGCAGTGCGAAATTCGTTATCATATAGCAACATAAGTCATAAATTTCATTTAACTTGTGAAGAGAAAAATGATAAAACAAGAAATGTAACAGAAAGAACAACCGTTGGAAAATCGTGAAATGGATGGTAAGAGGGTGAAAAGACATAAAAAAATATGACAAGTGTAAAATGAGACAGCGTAGAAAAGAGATGAAAAAACAACATCGTGGGTGGAAGTCACGCGAGAAGGGGAGGATATATTCGGTAAAAGAGAGAGGAGACCTTGCGGAACGGGTGAGGCGTGGTGAGTCGCCAAACAGGATCAGTCAGAGGGACATGCATGTCGACGATTAAGAGTTTATACCCGGCACATGTTTCACTAAATATTACGATTATGGTCACCACATTAAATAGAAGAAACGAAAGAAAATCAATTGAAACTTTCACTTTACAAGTATTGAGCAACAAAATTGTTAATAATGTCATTAAAAATGAATTTGTCGTCAGAAAAACGTTTATAAATTAATCGGAAAACGACTGACAAAGTTTGTCGTCTTATTTATTATATAATCAAATGAAATGATAATTTTTAATGATATTTCCGGGTATTTTTAACCGATCTCCCGCGACATTTGACAGCTAACTTTGACTAAAACACGCGGGCCTTCTTGGGCTCCAAAAAATTTAAGAACTGAAAATCGCGAGAATATATTTATAAAAAAATACATAATAATAAATAAACTCACCAGGTGAAGAACGGTGTTGACGACTTCCCGATTAGACACCTGTCCAACTTCAATAAGTCCAATCAACACGGCGAATTTGAGGCTGTCGTTCATCGCCATCGCCACTACTTCCTCTGGTCTCTTAATATCACTAAAAGGTGGACTTTTCATGTCCGCCATTGTGACAAACACTTTTTTGCGAATGTCAAAACACGCACGAAAAACTATTATATTTTAATGCACTAAACGTCCGTCACTATTCGGAGATTTTCTCCGTCACATGATAATACAACACAAATTCATCTGCCATGTTAGAAAGTGGACACTGTTGTGAGAGTTCTGCCAGAGCAACTAACTGAAAATCCCTAGAATAGCAGACTGATGTGAGCGACACCATCTAGTCGTGTGGCGACCATTAGAATTTTTTTGAATATGCATCAGATGTATCAACATGCTTCTTATCAAAATTAAATAGACGTTATCAATATTAGATACAATATACATACACTTCCAAGAACTTTCAATGTAATTTATGAACTCATCAATCTTTCCGAATTAGCGAATAATCTGACATTTTAATATTTTCAATATAGATTGACAGTTTGTTAGCATATCATTTTGATCCTCGATTTTTTTATTCTTCATAAATCGTTAAATTTTTTTGTATGATAAATTAAAAAAAAAGATGATACGAATTAAAATTTATTGCATTTTTAATATAGTGCAAAGAGATAGAGATATTACAAATTTATATTTTATTTGGTAAGTACATTGTGAAATTGTATTAAAAAGTTACACATAACATAATCAGAGTACAAATTATTAAAATGAAAGTTAAATAAAATGCAAGTATTGGTCAATGAAAAATATATTAAATATATAAATTTCTTATATATTGATTATAATGTACTAAAGTACTACACTAATACTTAAAAAGAAGTTATATAAATGAAAAGTCATAATCATAAATACTGAATTATAATAACTCATAATGTGGAAGAAAATTCATGTCCCGCGATTCCGATTACTTCTTTTTACTTTTTCCAAGAGTTAATGTATGATGAGATTGTTGAGAAATTTGGGCTTTTCTTCTATTAAACTCTAAAATATCGTCTTCGAGTTTCTTACGGTTTTCTTCTAGTTTCTTTTTTTCCTCCATGTGGTCTTTTTTCAACTTATCAAATTTATTGTGAAGCTTGAAAAAAATTAATTTTCAAATATAACCGAATAGTTAAACAACAAAAATTTTAATTTGAAAACTCATTTACCTCTTTCTCTGCTTCCTTCAATTCTGCTTCTGTTTCTTTAACTCTGGCAACAAACATTTGTCGCATTTCATCTTCTTTTTGTTGAAGTTCTTGTAAATGAGCGGTTCTCATTGATTCGAAAGTTTGCTGGAAGCTTATAGGTTTATTCTCACTGTCAACATCACTGAATCCCATCTACCCGAACAAATCAAATATCATTTACGGATAAATACACTATTTATTAAATAAGAACTAAAAGTAAATTACATAGAAAATGAAAAAAAATACTATTTACCTGTTCTAATCGTTTTTTGCGATATAATTCATAGTGGCGACAATGGGTCTTCTCATGCATATCTTCCATGTTAGTTCTGATGAGCATTTCACGTAATTTAACAAAATCACAATGCGATTCATTCTCGACTTGAACAGTTCCCCATGGATATTGACGGGAACGCATCATTTTGTTCCCTACACGAACAAAATCAATACTTCCGACTACTGCAAATGGTACGTGTGCATTCATTGATGTATTCATGTCAGCTACACTTTCATCATCAGTTGGAAATTGATAAATATGAACTCCATTATTTTGTAGTTCCGACATGATTTTACTCTGAAACAAAAATTTTGTGTTTATTATGCAGCTAACACCTCACAATTCTGAAGATAACATTATAATAACTCTCAATCAGCCATTTGATTAGGAATACAATGTACAAGATATATTATGCACCTTAAATTTTTGTAATTCAGTCTTTGATATTGTATCAGCTTTGGCTATAATAGGAATAATGTTGACTTTGGTATCGAGTTTCTTCATACACACAAGATCAATTGATTTTAGGCTAAAAAATTAATTATCAATTTAGTTTCTATTGATAAATTATTATCAATTGAATACACTGTTTTTGGACATTAAAACTTACCCATGACCAGTTGGACAAATGAAATATAAGCAGACATGAATTCTGCTATCATGATAAGTAGAAAGAGATCGTTTAATTTTGAGCTCTTCTTGAAGATAAGCTTCAAATTGTGCATCTATGTAATCAACAACAGCTTTGAAGCTATCTTCTTTGTTAATTTGATCACCATATCCAACAGTGTCTACGATTGTTAATTTCAGTCTAACACTACTCTCTTGTAACTCATATGTATGAGCCTTTAATTTTACAGCGGGTAAATTATGAGGACTTGGATTCGATTCGAAATTAGTGTTGAATAACGAATCCATAAGCGTCGACTTTCCAAGGCCAGTTTCACCTTTGAAAAAAATTCGTTTTAAAATCTTTGCACGAAATAATACGTACAAAATAGTGAAAACTTTCAAAAGTGATTAAAAGTTGTTAAATAAAAGTACTTTAATGATATAATATCAGTACTTACCAATGCAAAGAATATTAAAGACAAATCCATTCTGCACAGATTTGTTCACTAATTGATCAGGAAGACTATCAAAACCAACGTGTCCAAAAAGTTTTAAATTCCTTAAGGTTGATTCTAACTGTAATAATTTCATAATAATTTATAAAAATAACTTACAGATATAAAGTATCGATAACTACAGGAAAATGATTCATGCAACTTGACATAGTTTTTACCAATTACTATAGTTGAGAGCTCATGAAGGTTTTTTTAGGTATTTAAACAATATACTTCTACATAAGTTCCAACGATTTTGTTACTAGTAAATAAATCACTGAACAAATTTTTTATTCTTAAATATATGATAACTAAGCATATTTTTTTGAAGCATAACAATTATTTATTTAGAAAATTTATTTACTAACCTTAGCACGCTCAACTTCCACAGCCGCCATCTTGTAACAGAGTCAATATGGCAACGCGAAGGATGATCTAAAAAATGCTTGGAATCTCCTGTTGTCAAATTTAAATCGTTAATATTGTAAAATATTAATAAGCAATTGATTTCAAAAAAACGGTAAGTTTTCTGGCTAAAATTAAAATCATTGAATGTTATTATACTCAAAACTATAATTTATGATAGAAAATACCCAAAAAAATTTCATGCCTATTTAGATTGCAAATACTAAAAATTATGTAAAAAATGAATAAAAAAAAAATAAATCTATTAAACTAAAAAAAAAAAGCTTATAAAGTTAATTATAATCTGAATTAAAATTAATTACTGAACTATTTATTTATACCAATTATATATGGATAAAAATAATAGAGGCGTTTTTGGCTTGTTTGAAGTCAAGCTCTCCTACTATAGATTTAAACAGTTAACTTACTAACAATACATAAATCTCCCTCCCTAAGTATACATAGTCTTATATGTGCATATGCTGGTACTAGTTGTTCACGTTCCAGTACATAAACCTAAAGTTTACTGAATCGACAATTAATTTCAAACTTAATTATCGATTTGACATAGATTGGGATAATGACAATAAAATAGTTGGAGTAAAAAAATACTCAGGCCTTTGTATGAACATTGAACATTTTATTAAAAATAATTCAATGAAAAATAACAATTGAGTATTAAATTATTGCATATTTTAAATTAGAATTTGATTATAAAAGTAAAACTATTAATTACTATAAAGCAATATTTTTCACTTATAATTAAAACGACAATTTTTTTTATTAATAAAGTGCAATATACAAGATAATGATAACTTATTAAATATTAACATAGCACTCCTAAAACTTTTTCTATCCACATAAATATTCATACATTATTGCAAGTTTACTTCAAAGCAATGAAATAAGTTATAGAATTATTAATAATTTAATGGCTAAATCACTGAAAAATACTAATTATTAAATCATTAATAAATTTTTAACGTAAAAAATTTTAATTACAATGTGGTATTCTCAACGTGCTGACATAACTCGTCGTAAATTCCTCCGTTTCGGTTTTTCCTTATTCATTCTATTCTTGCACTTCTGAAATTTGAATAAGTATGTACTTTTGTATATCCAAAAAGGCTAATCTAATGATTTATATAAAAGTACAAAAGATAGATTAGACAATTGTCATTAACAATACCAAGCGATGATCTACATACATACTAAGGAAGATACATGTATTAATTGTTTAATGATTATGCATATTTCTAATTACCATCATACAATGTATGATAATACAGAACTTCTTATCCTTAGAAATGAGGTTAAATATTATTCCTGAATAATATTCAACTTGGCTGATAATTTATCATCATGCTTTTAATTTTTAAGGTGCTGATCGTAAAAATATAGAACGATTGATATTGAATGATGATTAAGACACATGAATGTTATTGAAAAATTGTTATTATAATATTGCTATCAAGTGAAAATTTTTTCTTACTCGTCGAACAATGATTGATTTCTCACTACTACCATCATGACTATTTTAATAATGGTATATATGCTACCTTGATATTAATTAATTTTTATCAAAAGTGGTATGAAAAATAGCATTACGGTGAATATCAATTATAACAGTGCCATCTGCTTGATTCAAATATATGTATATATCGTACGAATATATAAATATTATTAGATAGTAGGCAGTGATTGAGGCTAAGTGAAAATGGACGTGTAAAAATGCTGTACGAGAATGTGAGCATGAATCTTTTAGAATTAATTTCTAACAAATTTTGATTCTAGGTAATTCTCGTAAGTGGGATTATAGGCACTGTGCACTTGTAGAATTTAGCGTTGAGAAATGGATTCTGAAGGTGGACTGCGATATTTGGCTCGAATGTGTAGAAAATTGCCATGCTTTCCATTGCTGTGAGGTGGTGGTGTACTTTCTCGGCTGAGGACCCTCACCTGACAGGGGTCATGTCTTGACAAGAAGTGTTCTAAAGTATCCCACCCGCCGCCAACCCTTACCATCATGTGTCTTCCTTTCAGAAGCTAAAAACACCCAAGAAAAAACATCATTAGCGAACAGTTTTATTAAGAGTCGTGAGAGGTGTCACTTGGAATATAAAATGTAATGTTGAGATGTTTTTACCCTGATGAAGACATTGCGGCCAGCAATATGATAGCGTCCCTCACCGACTTTGCGTACTTTCAACTTTGAACATTTCTCCGATGAACACTGACAAAGTCTTTGAAGAGCTTCAGCAGCTCGCCGTACCTGAGAAATTTATAAAAGATTTATGTAAAAGTAATCCAATTAAGTTTCCATTGAGAAATAATAAAAAATAATATTCACCTTCCTATCAAGCTCTGTAACTGGTCCAACATGCTCTGGTGGCTCAGCTGGTGATGGAGAACTTGAGGGACTAGGAAGTTCATCAGGATCTTCAGCACTTCCTCGAGACCAATCATCTTCAGTAGTATCACTTGGCACACCATCACTTCCAGTCGGTCCATTGTCGCTCACAGATCGACGCATTTCGGACTCGTGAGGTGTGGTTGGTGACGGATCTAGCCATAGTGTAGCAGACGTGACTTCTGATGCTGAACTATAATTCAAGATTTATTGTAACAAAGCCTGGGTCGTATAATAATTGTATCAGTATATCCGGTATTAACACGGCTAAGGAAGACTGCAAGTCACAGTCGTCAGCCACTCCTACTTGAAGTTGTATTATCGTTTAGTCATATTATTCTTTTTCATGGTAATATATTACTTTAAGTAAGTTTTATTAACTCGATTAATCTCTCGGACATTAAAGAAAAAATACCTAAAAGTAAAGCTTTGTCCCTATTACTCTATAGGAGAGCGTACAAAAATTCAACAAATTTTAAATTTAAATTCAAAAATGATCAAATTTCAACCGAATTCTTATGCATTTCTTCATCTAAATTATCGTTTGACAACACCCTTTATGTATTTTAATGGTTAAAAAAGTTTTGACATTGAAACTGAAGTGGAATTTTATTTTTAGTAAGTAATAATCATAATATTTCATGCTTTTAATAATTTGTGATTTTGGTAACAAAGTTCACCTGCTATGTTTGATTTTCTCAACTTGAGGTTTCAATGAAGAGACAGGCGATGGTGGTTGGAATTGCCAAGAGACTAAACTGCTGTGTGATATTCCACTATCAGACATGCAATGCAAATCTCTCTCCTCTTCTGCAATCTCTCGTTCTAGTTGAACTAATCCCGGGGGTTCCAATGAATATTTGGATGCTAATCGAGCTACCTCCAACAGACACAAAACCACATTCCGTGGTTGTCCATGAAGAACTATTCAAAAAGTGTCATAGAATTAATTAAATATATTCAATTAAAATACTTGATGACTTAATTTAAAATCCGCTCATACTTTTTTTTAGGTTAATTAGATTCATTATTCATTATTTTTTATCAAGTTTTATTCCACTACACGCCCAGTCTACGTGACGTTGAACTTTTCAGTAATTCTACCACGAAGAAAGTTGAGTGAGATGCCCTCGTGTTGTGATCATTATGTATTTGGACATGAGTCTGTCTCACAGTTCAGAAATTACACTCAATAACATTTGAACTCAATCACGAATAAAAAGACTGGAGCAAAGTATCTGCTATATTCAATTTCTAGTTATCATAGTTCTAGTTCCATATAAAATCCCCTTTTTTTTCATTTTATCATAAATATTTATTCAAAAATTTTTTATAAGTCATTTAGATGATTAATTATTCACTGGGTTATTTTTCTTTTATATTTCATGTAATTTATATCTTTATAACTCAACATTAAACAACTAATTGAAAACATACCTAGATCATCGCTTTCGAAGAGTAAATTTTCATGAACTCCCAACCGTCGACAGAATTGAATGAAGTTCGCAATATTATCTCGTGAAAAAAAACTCCGTCGTGCTGCATTTTCCCAGCAACGTCCACGAATCACTGGTGCAGGCTAAATTAAGAGACTTTAATTAAATTTTACGAACTTTTGGGTTATTGAATTAATTAAAAATTTAAATTCACATTAACTCATTACATTACCCCTTTCACTCGTCCAGAATCAACTGCAGTTCGAGCTTTTTCTTGTATTACTCGAGCCAGTCTGCAAACTATAACTCCATTATCTAAAATGTCGAAAAAATTTTCTCCAGTAATGTGATCGACATCTGAAAATCAAAAATAGATATTAGAAATTGTATTTTCTCAAAATTAAACAAAATCTTTCTATTTGATATTTTTTTTTAAATCAACATAAAAATGATTGTTACTATTATTTAAAAAATATCGATTTGAATATAGCAATAGAATGAAACAGAAACGAATGATAATTATGAAAGATATTGTGTGCAAGCTAAGTCTGCTCGTGACTTGGCACGGCAACACGCCAACAATGGGGTTGCAAACCTGTATCCAAAGGAGCCAAAAAAATGAGAGTCTCTAGAACATCGAGTCATCACGTCTGAAGAATATCATAAAAAGTTGATGGAATATATTTACAGCAAAATAAAAAAGTGATGGAATATTATACACATAAATAAGACATATGTATGCAAAATACTTTTAAGAAGACCGATTGTATGGAAGTCTTTCAGAAGCTTCTTGATTATATGTAACAAAGGACATGTAATGCGAATTGCATGCACTCATTTTATATCTTCCCCATGTACAAAGCATCAAAGAGACCTCCAACGATGTTAAGAGCCTGTTGAAACTTTGCGATTAACGGTATAATGTTGTATGTTTTGTAGATTAGAATAGATCTCACAGGATGCAACTTCTATCAGATATAGTAATAGAAATGAACGAGTTTGTTCAGGATAGAAACGTACTGGTGATATCTCGGTCACCCGGAACATCAAGGTAGCACATCCATAATCTTATCCTTTATTATGACTTTCAATGCTTCACAACAGATCACGTAAATCAAGACAGCTATTAACTTGATTTTTTATCATTGAAATATTTGTGGCATTTTTTTACACAAAAAAAATTGTATCTTAGGTTTTTTTTTCTTCGATGTCATCAGAAAATGATATCGCAAGCAGTTTGTTGAAGAGTTCTGTGGTATTAGCAAAAAACCGAGAACACGATGGAATAGGCGAGCCGTCTTATTTGTAGACAAGGCACACGTGAGGCATTTACGAGAAGACGTCTACAATCGATCAGCGTCGAGGATTCTGACTATGCGCATGATTATAGAGACGTGGGATGAGATCTCTACGGGTGTCCCATAAATCTTCAAGTAATGCGTCGTCAAGGAGTCAATGGGAAGGAATAGCTTCCTCTGCTCTTTCTTTTTTATTTCAACTCAAGTTCTTCCCCACAAATTCAAACTTGTATCACATCGTCCTCCATGACCCAAATGCGAATTCACTCTTGCTTTCAAAAGCTCCAAGGATATGTTACTCTAAGATACATGTGATTTAATTTATTTCACATGTCATTAGTCTTGAGATAAATATTGAAAAAATCATTAAGCATGAAGGATTGTATGTGTCACGCTCAATCAATAATCCATGACATATTTGATATTTTAAGCTGACAATTTGCCAAAGGGTCGAGGTTTTTTAGGCGCTGGCGTGCCAAGTTAACTCTATTGTGCGTAATGTGACATCAGGAGTCACGGAGGGACGTGACGGTGAGTGAAGGAAGTGCGGGGTGGGCCGGCTGACATCCGGTGAGTCAGAGTCGGTGCAACCGGCGACAGTTGTGGTGATGGTGAAGACGGAAGGAGCGTAGGATTTCCGTATTTATTCATGTTTATTCGATTTTTCATCAACATCTTCAGTTTTCCAATTTTTTACAAAAATTTCATTGATATTTTTTTAAATTTTCAGCGTTAATAAATAGAAATATCTTCCAATGTCCAGAACGAACAAGAGTGAAACCTTATGAATCCTTTATTTGCTAGATAGGCTTCTTTGTCTTACAATTGCAACATTGAAAATTCTCATGAATATTTACGAATACGTCGTTAGTCTAGAATGCTAAAAGAGCTAAAATTTTATTTGAAAGGAGTAAAAAATTGTTTTGATGAAATAGATTTTTCTGGTAATTTAGATTGATACTGTTAAGTAAGGTATCAATAGGGTATGAGAAAATTCAACTCTTACTGAGGCATAAAATAAAAAAGAAATTAGTAATCGATGCATAGACAATGTAGAACACGATTGTGAGAGTTCTAGGGCTGAGATAATGATCACAAATCGAATTTCTCACGATCATAGAACGTGTAATGAGATTGTGACCCAGGAAGCACAATCAGTAGCAATGTTCAAGTTTTTCTTTTTCTTTTGGCCCTTTCGAGATACTATCACTCTATCGGATCTGAACACTCGACAAAGGTGGAGTCGCATGAATGTCATTGACTAAAGCTAAGAGTTTAGTTCAACAATGATGAGAATCTAAAGTGAATAAAGTCAATTTACTTTCTATTCTTGATCTAGTATTTTTCTAAAACAAATTACTTAATGTAATGACGGCAAAAGTGTGCAATAGCGACAGTGCTAAATAAATGAACAGTCGATATCTATCGGAGGTCTGAAAAATCCAATCGGCGCATCCAGTTCACCTTGATAAGTAAATGATTAAGTAAGAGACTCACGAATGGTAGACGGTCAATTCTGCAATTTTAAAGAGTTGAATTTTTATCATGTCGTAACTCAGTGGCTAAAAACATTGAGGTCACACCCATGTCGTATTTATTTGCCTCGTCATTCCCTTAAAAGTTATTTTTGCTTCTCGTGCATAAACTCTACACCAATATTTTTTTCAAGACAACATCAATAAAATAACCTACTCAGGTATCGCGCAATATCCTCGACAATTGGATCTTGATCAAGCTCTATGCATGAAAAATTATACTAGTATTATCTTTTTATTATTTATCAAAATATAATTCAATACCTTAAAAATTGATTTGATCCAGACTTCAATCATTTATATATTGTGTTTCATTATTACGTTTATTATTCTAGAACTTGTACAATAGTCTTTCGTAAGTAACTCAATAACGTGAAAGAAATTTTATCTACTATAAAACTGCATTTGTCCATAATAAACTAAAAGAGTTCGAATTACCATTTTTTCAAATTCATATGCAACTGGCACGATATCTTATTCAGCCTTATTGCTTAAAAATTCTCCAAGTTTCATTAAAAATTACTCAATGCATCGTTGCATGTCAAGTTTTTGGATACATTTTTCATGTCGGATGTGGTACCAGACATACTGGCATGCTTGAAATATGAGGAAATCGGAGTAAATGCTGTGTAAAAGAATTTTTTCCCACCCACATTGAGCCAGATGGTGTTCTGCATAAGAGAAAACCTTTCATGCAGCCAATGATAATGTTTTTATTAATATTTTTGCACATTTCTATTAATAATTTATGCAAGATATCATGAAAGATTATTGAAACAAAGGAAACTTTAGCATTTTTAATTTTCTATTCAACTTAATTCATGAAAAGATGAAAAAAGAATTTCCAATTAGATGCTTAAAAAATAGTCTGAAACTTATAATTAATCTAATTTGAGAACTTATGAAAGACTTATGAATGCAAAAATATCTTGATATCAGAACCGAACACATGTGTTTGATATCTAATCTAATATTAAATGCAAATGGCAATGAGAAAACAGCTTGATTAAGTCGATTTTCAAACGCGATTCTACCTGGTCGAAACTTTGCTTGATTAGAATAAATCTTTCCTCATAAATTAGAAACAATTTGACCGGGCAGTACGAAAATCGTGAATCGCGTGTGAAACTTACTGCTGACGATCCGGCAGTAAAATATGATGTATGACTAGGGACTACATATGTATACAGTAGTCATGCTCGCTCACTTATCGTCTTGTTGATCCAATCGGCTAAATCCTCCTGAAGCGGGATCAGCTGACGACTCTGGGCGGAGTGAATACGTTCATGATAAAATTCAAATTCTTCTTCTTCAGGTGAAGGTCTTGGTATGTCGGCACGAGTAAAAGCTGATACGGATGATGGACCCCAACTGCTTCTATATCTTGTATGTTGGCTGGGAGGGAATCGATTAGAGAATGACATGGTTCTTCTTCTTGTTTTACTCCAAATTGCTTCTTCCTTATTTCAATGCGGTCAATTGGATCTTGTTATAATTCTAACGATTACCCAGTTGTAGTGTGAAGCAGGAGTACCAAAAAATTCTGCAAGTCTAAAAAATACAAATAAAATAAGTTAGCAAGTTAAATAAATTCCAAGCATTAATAAAACGTATTCAGCTAAATTATGACAATAGAGTAATTATTGTTTTTGATTTCAACAGTTGTTGCCATGATATTACAATAAAAGTTGTTGTAATTAGCAATAAAAATAATGATAAAACAAGTGTGCCTTCAAAAAAACTAAAGTCTTATTTAAGCATCATGATTGAGAGTAAATGGGCCGAATAGAGTCATGATGTCGGATAAAATGTGTCGTAGAAGTCGAGAGTTCTCCATCATCACTGGAACCGGATGAGTGAAGCATACAAGCTTATGTATACGTGGGCGCTACCCCGTTACACTCACGTTGTTGTGGAGCTCGTGCACGAAGCAATGCTGAATGTTCTGTATAATGTCACTCGGGATTTTTGCCTGCAGCATAACACATATGTATATACAATATACATATATATATATACTAGCTAAAGGCAGAGTTTAAGCGTGGGAATGTTTCTATCATGGGACGAAGGCCATACCTTATGTTGGTGTTTACGTGATATGCGTTTGAGTGGGTGATACTTACGTGAGAATTGACACAGATCACCTGATCACCCTGGAGAATTCGTAGGTCACCTCTATTTGTTTATTTATCTTATATTAAAATATTCATTTTTATTAAATATATTTTTATCACTACATTATTCCAAGTAAAGAGTATTTATATTACTAAAAAGATATCTTGGATAAAAGATGCTGTATTAATTTTTTTCAATGAATTTTATTAACTTTCCATTGGGTCCACATATTGTAATGAGTTCAATTTTTAAAATTCATAATTTTGTCGTCTCTTTCTGACAAAATTACAGATTTCAATAAATGACAAGTTCGTCATCGGGGCACAAAGTATGTCCCCACCCATTTGTCAATTTAATGTTGAATACTTTTTTTTCCTTTAATAAGGCTCATTTATTACCGAAACTGTTGAACCTCTTTCTAGACTCATGTGTGCACAGGATAATTTGTCAAAGGATTATCTTCATGATCAGATATTTTTTGATGGTGATCAAACATCCTAAATTACAGTGTCCAGGATGTTTAATCAACAGACAGTCTAGAAAATGAGGCGTGTCATTTGAGATAATCAAATAATTAACTAATTTTGAAAGATGTTAATTTTTTCACACATTTCATTCTCATGAAAGTAATTCTTAAGATGTTAAAAAAGTAAGAAAGACCACAGTCTGTTATTATATTCATCATCGTTCTGAACAATTATTAAATATGTATATGGAAACACGGAATGCTGTTGTGAAATTGAAAAATATTAACTTGGCAAACACATAATAATACAGTTTAACCAGAAGAAATCGTTAATTACTAGTTGTGCATGAACTGCTAAGATCAAAAATTTTTAACGTCAAGTTTTGTCTTCAATTAGAAACAAAATTTACAACATAAACTCGTTGAAAGAAATAAAAGGAGAAAATATATTATTATTCATTAATTAGAAGTATATTCATATTATGCTCTAAAAATTAAATATTATTCTTCAATTACATATTCTATTTATGATAAATTTCGAAGATATCCTGCTGAGATAAATTTGAAATGATATTTTTTAAAAATGATTAAATCAATCAAGCTAATTGACTTTGATATTTAGATTCAATATTTTCAAACCCACGAGGAGAACCTATTGAAACTATCATTGTCTAGTAGTATTGATCATGTTGAATTAGCAAATTAGTTCTGCCGCTAGTTAAGGATCATGAAGATAAATTCTGACAGATTTCATGAATTATTATTAACATGCCTATAAATAAGCTGCCATCAATGAATAAAAATTATTGATTATATTTCATCGTCACTTGACAAAAAAACCATGCGTAATAATCTTTCATTAAGCTAACCGATTGAAAGCTATCGCCTTCACCCTTTACAAATTAGATTGCTAAAAATGAGCATGTAGGTGGTCCTGTCTGATCGATCACCCATCATGTTCATCGATTATAAAATCTCATGGACACTCAGGTCACCTTAGAAACCACATAAAAATCAATAAGACCAAACTATCGAAAGGTTATATTACGCATTTTCTACGTCAATGATCTAAATCATCATGAAGTGATCATTTTACGATGAAAACTGGAAATTAACAATCACTGAATTATTCAAGTATTGAAGACTTTCTTTGGAAAGTTTGATATAAATTCCAAAATAGTTGATGATTTAGATTCTTTATGTAACATAGACGTTCTCCAATTTAATTTGTTCTTGTCACTAATTACGCTCGAATTCCTCTTGATTAGGCAACAATAAGATTCAACCAAGTGTTTCAAGATTATTCTAACTCAAAGTAAAATGATGTTGCTTAATATTTACTAAATATCGTATTAATTAAAGATAAAAGGGTGAACGTTAAAAGGAAGAAAACATGTAAAAGTATTCATTAGGGTACGAAATTAGTGCACTGCTTTGAGTGTGGAAACGCATGAAAATAACTGGACCGCATCTATGGTAAGTATGCCCAAGTGCACTGAGTTTCCTGATGGGCGAAGAAGCCCAACAACTTTCGAATAAACGCACTCTCGAACATTAGAAAAGACAAATTGCCTATTACAGAAGAATGTCTGGCACAATTTTATCTGCTATACTTACTAAGTTATTATTAAACGCTTTTTCGAATACTGAAAATTTCCAAACTAACCATTGAAAGATTCATTTGTTGTTCACCTTTTATTATAAAAGCAATTAACAAATTGCATGTAAAACTTTCATTCCAATTGGTAGTGAGAATCATCAGTCAATCTCATCGTTTATTCTCTTTGGAAAGTTGCAAAGAAAGAATATTTTCTGTAAAAGTTCGATATACTTTTCCAAAGTAGAAATAAGCTAAGATTTTATGTCATGACTTCTTGCTACCAGTTTGCTAATTTAATTACTTTGTTATGCTTCAAGATGTAATGAACAGTTTGTAATGTAATCGATGATAGAAGTACATAAACAGCATGAGTACAGAGCATCTGACACCTTTTGTAACGGTGTAGGACGATCATCGAACTGTTGCATCATCACGTTGCGGAGGCGCATAACATGCAAACTAATACATATACGGTATACCCATGCATTAAGAAGCATCACTTCCATTGAAAACTACTGCTTACAAAGCATCTGTGATATGCAACTCTCATTAATGTGAGGAAAATAATATAAAATAAAAAGCAAATTGTATTCTTCTTTTTCATAGACCATAAAGGAACCATACAGTTGAGTATAAAGAAGTTAATTTTCACAACATTAAACTAATGGACCCAATGATTTTTATGTGAATTCAACTAGTCAGCCTATTTATTTTACAGTAAAAAAAATTCCTCATACATAATAGCTTTTGAAAATAATTAAAATTTACGGTGAATTTATTTTTTCATGTTATGATTCGCTTAATGAAATTATATTTTTGTATTATTACCATAACTTTATGAATAAAATCAGTGATGAATTAAAAGGAAATCTTATTTTTACAATAAAATAATATGAGCCGTTACAAATAATAAGATTGAAGCAATAAAACAGTTTTGGAGCGTGACCGCGAGACGCGCAAGGTGTTCTACTATTAACAGGAAGAAGTTATTTCAATCATACAGATGCAGTAAGTAAACGTGAGAGTATATTTTAATATTAAAAAACATCTTTTTTGTTGTTGTTATTACAAATAATATTTATCTTCAATTCGATAATAATTATGACGAGTTTAATTTAATATACTTCAAACTCTCTTTCATAAATTAAATACTTTTATTTATCAATTTATTGAGATAAGATTTAATTTGTTCAACTTGAAGCTTTAAATTGTCCAATAAAAAAAAATTACCATCAATTTAAGCTAGTTTTTTAATAGAAAGAAAAAACAATAATTTAGTTTGGCATAAGATAAACATTACTCTACAAACAATCTTGATAAGATACTTTATAGATTTTAACTTGATAAATAATACAAAAAAGTATCTAATAAACGTTGGCCATTGTCCGACGCCTTAGAAATTCTTTAATGGCTTTATGTCGCGCCGTACACAATTGAGAAACTCTGGACATTCATAGAGGCAAGCTTCACAACTGCAAACGTACATTACATTAATGTTCGAGTAAAGGGGAGCAAAGTAGCCATCTCCAACCATTACAGATAGTATAGATATATAATCTCTGAAGCTATTACTCTTTGATGATATTTATCAAATGGAATTGGCTGTAATTACTTATCCATGTTAACAGTTCAGTAATCCTGAATGATAACAAAAGAAAAAAGCTTATAACTCAGCTAATTGGTTTTTGTTTACTTACATAAACAAATTAGTTTATTACAGTTAAGGTATTTACAGCTGTACGGTCGTTAAGTTTATCTATTGTTATTCTTTTGATTGCGAGATCGATCAGTTGTAAATTCATTTGAGTTTCTGATAAGATTAAAAAAAAAAAAGCTTATTAAGGGAAAAAGGCTTAAAAGCTACTCTGTATTTCAATAAGTATTGATTTATGTATTGTGTAGAGTAGTACATATTGGGATGCTCTTCAACTTCCTTTCATCTCTCCTCTTTAGACAAATCTATTGAAGCAAAAAATTTCAAACTCATCCTCTTGTGCAAATTTGTAAACACTAACTATTTTGTATACATTCTAGTTAACTTACGACTGAAATCTTTACCTCAAAAGTATCTACATATATTATAGGAGATAAAAGAAACAAAATTCTAACATTAAAATTAGACATCTACAAAACATTTTAAACTTCTTTGTTTTATTTTATACTATGAAAGTCAAAACAAAAAAAAATTTCACGGTTGACGCATAATGAATTGAAGCAGTGCATTTGTTCTCAGATAACTTTGATGTTTTTTTCTATTTTTATAAAGAGTAATATGATAGATGGTGTGTTGGTAAAAGCATACTAGCTAATATAACTCTTACTTTCTTGTTATTTATGAAACTATGAAATAATATGACATAAGATAAAGCTCTATTGTTGATGGCACTTAACAAATGTTTGAATTTTCTTACATAATCATTATTTTGAATTTAATTAAGAAATTATCATAACAAGAATATGCTAAATCATTGCGTAGAGAAATTAAATAGAATGATTTAATATTCTTAAATAAATAAAAATACGATGAAACGACTTACTTTAGACAGAACAATTTTATACGTGTTAAAAGATAGATACATGAACATGTTGAATTACAGTAGAAACTGCTTGTTTATTCACTGCTGAATATTAATGCACACTTGATCTCTTTAAATAATTACATATGTAATTTATAACCTGGAGACAAAAACTAATGAAAATCAAACAAACTAGAAAGAACGAATACAAAAGTTAAATTGGAAAAACAAATACATAGACTAATGAAGTAAAATTAGTTAACGTGGAGATATTTACTTTTAAATAACAAAATTAAACGGACTTTATATTACCTTTTGTCTTGCCATTTCCTAAAATTCTAAAACTCGGCCTTAATCACCAACAACTTTTTCAAATAAACCAAAATTGTATTTATGTTTTTCAAAACAAAGTTTCTGGTCCAACATCTCATACAAAAAAATGGAACGAAGTGGACTGGTTGTGTTACATTTACGAGTTATTCAATCACAACTGACACCTTTATTGTCTTTTTTCTGAGCTGATGAACCACACGCGACGACGACTAAACGACAATCGACGCGTGCACTCGTGCTAAATCGCAACTGCTCGTATCACCGTGCTTTCTCAAAGCTGTCCTGAGAGCGTCTCTTGGCTCTGATCCTCTTTCACTACGCAACAGTCCAGTATCTTTTGCCGGTCTGTCTTTCCCTCTCTGGCATGGTCGGTGCTATGCCTTCCCTTGTCCTCCCTCCTTAACAGACACCACGTGCACTTCTAACCGGCAACACTCAGTTGTTTCTGCGTTCTCTATACTACGTATACCCTTTGCTTGGTTATATTTACTTGTATATTCGTAGATATTTCTACTAAAAACTACACCAAATTCAAATGCACGACTGGTCGTTTAGCTATCATTCACTGTACCACACCTTATTTGCATAATAACGCAAAAGTCGACCCTTCCCTGAGAAAAGTACATTTAATTGTGAATACATATCATGAATTGAACTATGGTTGTCGTGTCTTCCGTTCTACACCCTCTCTACACCCTCATCTCCATCCACAGTGACCCCACCATTCATCCTGAGCGTTCGGAGAGGAAAAAAGGAGAGGAAGAGACGAGACGATCCCTCCGAGTTCCTTTAATCAATACTGCGCCCTCCGAGCTTCTTGGTCCATTTTGGACTTTTTCACTTCATTAATCGTTTAGTTACGGTTTTTGTGAAATTTATTGTTTTATAAAATCTGTCAAATATAAAATACTAATCAAATCAATATTGAAGAATCTATTGGATAAATGAGATTAAATGTTAAAACTAGTTTTTGACAATAAATAAAAGTTTTAACATTAATCAAAATTTTAATTAGCTGACAAATAAATTATCATCTTTCAAATAATGATATGAGCATTTATATTTCAATTAAAGTTTTTTATGAACCATAAATTATAAACTCACGATCGTTGAGTAATATTTTATTTATAAGATTATAAAGTACTATATTGTTGTTCAGATAAATAAACAAATAAATTCATTTATAAAAAAAATTTACGATTATCTAAAAGTCAATACACTGAATGAAACAGTTCTTTCGAGATAATCAATTAGAATAAATAATTGCCAATATCTAGAAAGATAAAATATTTTATCAGTCACGTAAAAGTTGATTATAAAATTTCTAACTATTTAATTTAAAAAACCGGAATCTAGACAGGATGAAAATAAACTGAGAAAGAACATTTAAATAATGAAAGGCTTGTTAAATTTTTATTAAACAAAGTACTAATTTTATATGCAGGATAAATATAGCAGTCTCCAGCGCTTTGTACCATTTATCTTCCCAAGTACCATCATTTCCAGCAAACAGTTATTAATTTTCTATTATCTTTATAATTATCATGATGAGCTTGATTTGTTCCTGTGAAATAGCTGTCACAGTCAATTGATTTTTTCATCGTTTTTCCAAACCATGACTTTCAAATTTCCAATTGTTCCAAATACTTCTATCAGCACCTAGATGAAATACATAAGTAGCCCACATTATTCTGTACATATTGAGTTCTAAAAAAATATTAAGAAATAAGTTTTTATTCTCGAACAGATTGTATCTGTTAAAGCATAAAAATAATTAGATATAATTTGAAGAAAAAAAAATGTTTACCTTCTAGAAGGAACATATTGTGAGTGGATGAAACTGGTCGCAGGTAACTAGTTAAGTAAATGGGCATCGATTTTCCAAGCATTAATGAGCCCATTACTCAGAAAAAGTCTTCGTGATAAGTATTGAATTTTGATCTTTAAGAAACTGTAAAAAATCTTCTGGTACCAGGAACTGCCAGTTACATAGCGTGCTTTAAGTCTGTCCCGAGCTTAGCTGCCATGCACAGATCATCACCATTATAGTTATATTGATTAACCCAAAAAATATATTATTTTTTTTTCATTTTCAATATAAAAAAGGAAATGTACGAAGTCAATACTAGATCATATCATTAATATTCAAGAGAAATTTTACATGGTTAATTATATTGTATAATATACATCGAACCTTTCATTTTTAGTACATTCATCGTTAATGAACATGGTAAAAAATTATCTTTCTATTATTTTTATTTGCTCTAGCGATTTAATTAAAATATCCTTATATTCATAAATATTGTAATAAATAATTTTTATTGGTGACAAAAAATAAGTTTGAATAGTTCATTCATCCAAGTATACAACCTAGTAGTACGATATAATTTCAGTCAACAGTTACCAACTTCAGCAGCAAAAAGATATCAATGTTATTGGAGAATACTCCAAAATATGATGTTAAATTTATCTAAATAAAAATTATATGAAATTATAATTAAAGGTGCTAATGCATTTAATTCATTCATGGATCTTAAACAGGTACTGATGTTCATAAAATTACATTCGAAAAAGAACGTATGTCAGAATGGTATTTGTACTTTATTTATTTTATGTTTTAGTTTATGGTTCGTCAACAAGTACTTACACTTTACCGCAAAATTTTAAGGACGATAAAGCAAGTACCCAATGAACAGGATAGAGAGTACTTAAAAAACTGGGCAACTTCTGAATTTAAAGGAAATAAGAAAATTGCCGATGAAGTGAGTTCAGTGTATTAAATGGATGAAAGTGATATAACCTTTATATTTTTTTCATTTCTTACAGTTTGCTATAAAATCTTTAATTGTGCACGGTGAAAACTCCATGAATGAATTAAAAAAGAATTTAAAGCTATCTAAATAATAAATAATCATGTCAATCACATACGAATGAATGTTAAAAGAATATTAATTGTAAGAAGTATAGTTCCAACAGAAACCAATGTTAGTGGGATTGTATCTCTCATACTCTTATTACTAATAAATGGTCTCAAAAGATTCTGAGACAACTCTATTACGATGTATTGACCATCGAAAAAGAAACAAGGAATTATATTTATTACAGCCAGACCTGCCGATAGCACGGTCATGTATTTACATAGTATCTCCAAGGATTCAGGAATATTTGGATTAAAAAACTGGTGTCTAGGTATCCAGTTAGATATTTTTACACTCTGATAAATTTCATGAGGATGTCCCAAGAATAATACATCACTTCCTTCTTTTCTTGATAACTGAACAATCTTTTAGAAACAATAATCAAATTTTTATGGTATTTTCAAAATAAACATATTGATATAGCAATTAATATAAGAATCAATATTAAGTCAACTTACTTTAGTTGAATTATTCAACTGCGGTATCATACAATGAGCATTTAATTCAGCACATTGAAATGAATATTGACAGTATCGGATTGAACGTTCAATTAGAATTCTTGCAGATAAACATGAGTGTAATTGCAATTGGAGAGGTCCAATTGCTGAATCCTCGACATGTTCGAAACATAATTTGCCATTTAAATTTTCATTTAATCTACAACAATTGATAACTCCATTTTCTACAGTTGCGGGAATTGATTCATCATATTCCTAGAAATTATATAATACTCCAAAATATGTTCGATTAAATAACGAAGACTATTTTATAATTAAATTAAATAATCACCTCAATAATGGACTTTACCACACAATAACCTGGCGTAGGTTGTTTAACTGATTGTAAAATACAATGATACCAGTCGTTATTATTTTTTACAGGGCAGTCATTAATTTTGTAAATTATATCATTATTGAGTAAACCTTTAGGCCCGAGTAATGGTGAATTCTATAAAAAAAGAAACCGAAGTACAAATTAAAAATTATTCGATGGATTACCTGATAATTAATCTAATTACTTACTGGTTCAATTGACTGTATGTATACGCCTGAATTTGAGAGAAATAGTGGAGCCCAAATCCAGCCACTTACATAAAAAATTATTGCTGCAACTACAGCAAGAACAAGATTATGCCACACACCAGCGCATAATATTCTTAATTTATTTTTTAAACGCAATTGTTTTAATTGATCACTATCAATAGATACATATGATAAAGGAACTATGAATGCTAACATTAATCCAACTCCAAATAGTTGAACGTTTTCAAGAGATGATGCCATAGCATGGCCAAATTCGTGAAATATACTACATAATCCCAAAGTGATAATGTAATATTGAATATCAGAAAATGGAATATTGATTCCAGGAATCTAGAGAAATGTTATAGATTTCATTTTCCGTGATTATTCTTTGTTTTAAATTAAGAATTTTTAATGTTAGAAAAATGTCTTACCATTGGCTCCAAATTCCACTGACGATTAGATCCTTCACTTTCTGATTGAAAGAATAAATTATCAAACGTCATTTTTAAGACAATTATTGTTGCAATAGGCAGCAATATAATGCTGACAACAACTCCAATATCAAACCATAACGTCCAAAATCTAGATCTGTCTGTTGCCCATTTAAGAATTTTACGATTAAAAGCTGTAGTGTACCATTTTAAACTCAATGTTTTGATTTCTAGTCCAGTATTTTCCAGGAATAAAAAATATGGATAGTGTAAACATGACTGAAAAGAAAAACAAAAGTATCAACTTTAACTTTTAAAAACGTTTTGAAATTCTTATATTTATATTCATAATAAATAAATGAAGACATCCTTACCTTAAAGATCACATTGAAAAAAAACAATGAGCAGTGAAGAAGACCGGCAACAATCAAAAAGTTTATAGTATCCATTGTGAAATATAATGTGGTTAATTTATCTTGAAAATGAATTATAAAAGATAAAAATAAACGTATTTTTGTATGAAAATGTAAAAAACAAATTTTTATAAGTTAAAAATATGAAAAACAAACCATTAATTCAATTTAATGTAACTGAATGACTGTAGTATTGTTTTATAGAAAAACATTTGTTTTGACATTGTGCACGTAGAAAAATATCATATTTATTTTAACTTTTAGCGAATCACTTATTTTAAGAAAAATTCATGCTTTATTTATCAATAAATAAATATCAAAAATCATGAAAACGATACACAGATATACGCGGTTATTAGTGACACAATACCACCGAATTAGCTAAAAAATATGCATCGTATCAGTGTTCGACTACAACCGAAGTTCTCTTTTTGATATTAAGACTATAGATAAATCTATTTATAGATTTGGCAGTGACATGAGAAATCAACAGTCTGTCGTTTCTTGTAAATAGTGCTTTAACACTTTATCACTGGTTGATATATCTGTATGTGTGCATCTCTTTTAAACATTCCATCAATTTGATTAGTTTTATTTAATATATCCATCTAACAATTTGACAATTTTGCAATGGTAAGTTTTTTTTTTCATTCACAGTATTTTTTTACCAATTAATACTCAACATGTTAGTATTAAATATTGATTGTTTTTTTATTAAAATAACTTTCATTCAATGATCCGTATCTGCCCTTGACCTTCTTACTGGCTCACGTCCAATATATTTGCGAATCATGTTCAACAATTTCTTTTTACAACTTAATGCCGTTTTGTTATTTTGACATTCCATTAAACTTTTTTCATTCATATTTTATTACCTCAATGAAATATTTATAAACCATAAAATTAACTCTTTATATTATACTACCATCATTTGAAAGACAAAAATATTATTCATTAATTTTCATTGAAACATATGTAACTAATATGTGTGGATGATAAATGATTGAAAAATAAAATTGATAATGAATGATGATTATTCTAATTATCTTATCAGGCTGAACCAATCAATGTCGTTGTTACTGGAGCAGCCGGCCAAATTGCTTATTCTCTGCTGTATCAACTGGCAGCTGGATCTGTCTTTGGTCCAAATCAGCCCATTAATTTACGTCTGTTAGATATTGCTCCAATGGTCGATGTTCTTAAAGGAGTAGTCATGGAGCTTGAAGATTTAGCTCTACCTCTTGTAAGAGGTATGTTTCGGATGATATGAAAAAATTACTTATCAGATGGAATGATACCGCATTTACGATAGCTATACCGGAATGAAATCATCACAAAATTTACTGTGCTAAATTTTTAGAGATTCTCCCCACTGCTGATCCCGCTGCTGCTTTCAAAGATGCTGCAGCTGCATTCCTCGTTGGTGCCATGCCTCGAAAACAAGGAATGGAACGTAAAGATCTTTTAGCAGCTAACGTTAAAATTTTTAAAGATCAAGGCGAGGCTTTAGATAAATATGCATGTAAAGATGTGAAAGTTTTGGTGGTTGGTAATCCAGCAAATACAAATGCATTAATTTGCTCTCATTATGCTCCAAGTATTCCCAAAGAAAATTTTACAGCTATGACTAGATTAGATCAAAATCGTGCACAAGCTTCTTTAGCAGCTCGTCTTGGTGTCCAAGTGAGTTATTTTTCAACATAAAATTATTATTTGGATGATGGTAACAAAATCTAGTTTGTAAATAATGCATATTTCTTTAAAAATAATTATGATTTCATAGGTGGATAAAGTACAAAATGTAATTATTTGGGGAAATCACAGCTCCACTCAATATCCAGATGCTGCTCATGCCAGTGTAGAACTTAATGATAAAGTAAGTTCAGTACCTGCAGCTATTAATGACGATGCTTGGCTCAACGGAGTATTTGTGGAAAAGATCCAAAAACGTGGAGCGGAAGTGATTGCTGCACGCAAAATGTCATCTGCCATGTCAGCTGCTAAAGCTGCTGGAGATCACATGAGAGATTGGTGGATGGGAACCAAACCAGGTTCATGGATATCAATGGGAGTTGTCTCTGATGGAAGTTATGGCATTCCGAAAGATATCGTTTTCTCATTTCCTGTGACTATAAAAAATAAAAAATATGAGATTGTGCAAGGTCTTTCAATAAATGACTTCGCTAGATCTAAATTGACAATAACTGCCAAAGAACTTGAAGAAGAACGCGCTGAAGCACATCAAGTCCTAATGCCGTGACTGGCGGGCCAAGAAATCGAAAATAATACACAAAATTGTGTAAAATGTAGATTGTAAATCTGTTATCAAAAATGGATGTTATGAATATACTAGGGAATATACACAAATAACCAGTTGATTGTTATTTCATTAAAATATATTAACAAATAAATGTATAGATATAACAGAAGCATTAATACCGTAACATAATTTTTCTTTTATTCATCTTCCCGATAGTTCAATATTAATTATAATATACAATACAGTAATTAACTATTTTCTCCATTTCAATAGCGTTATTAATTATATCTCACATATATATTATTTCTTATGGGTATGCTAAACGCTATTACATATATAATGAATTTTTGTTAATATTTTCTATTTTATAATAATCCTGTGACCATTAAGTAGCGTATTTTACAAATATGCGTAGTGCCTGACATACCAAGTCTTTATTTCTGTTGCGAACAAACTTTAAATCACTAGTTATATTTGGTTTCGATTCTTTATGCCATTAAAGTCCAATGTTGTAATAGAAAATGACTAAAAGATTTGATCTTTGACACATCAAACATTGTGAAAATTATTAAAAAGTTTTTAGATCTTTGATTCAATATAAATTTTTTATACTAAAAAATTTTTGTTATTGGAATGGGAAATTAATATACTTCAAGTATAATAGATTTAATAATAAATAAATGGTGGCTTTAATATTTATGTCATGAAAATTATTGACAGGCAAGTTCTAGATCTTGAATGATCATAAAAAATGTAAAAATATAAAAGAAATGTAGAAATAACGCAAATGAGTGAAAAAAAGAGATAAACATGAATGAAAGTACGTCTTATGAATGAAGGCCGTTGTCATTATTGGGCCTTTAACTTATTTAATTTTTACAAATTTTGTTAAATATATATTTAACAATTTATCACCATCAAAATTATGTTCCCACTCATTTCATTCCAAATACATTAATTTTTTTTTAATTCTCAATTAAAATAAATTGTATTAGGGAAGGTTAATTAACTGCGATGATCATTTTTTTTAATTTTCTTATTCCAAAACATAAATTTTATTATTTCCAACTGATTTTTATTAACTAAATTTCGTTTAAACACTAAATGGTTATGGACCAGAACATATGTACGATTTTTTATATCTTTATGTTTGGCAGCAAATATTATAATTGCTTCCTGTTCATAATATCGCTATAAATACATTTTGTTTTACCTTCCCATGATTTTTACATTTATAACACACTCAAACATGTTTATAGAAATACATCAATTTCGATAGGTAAATATTTACTTAATAAACGCCCAGTAACTTAAAAGAAAGAAAAAACTGCAAGAAAATTCAGAAACACTGATAAAATTAATGAAACAATGCGAAAAACTGTAACTATTGTTAATGGTAAATATACAGTTTAGACCAAAATAGAAATGGATTATTTATATAAAATTGAATACTACTGACTTTATACATAAATGAATATAATAAATAGATAAGTGGATTAACTACGTAACACTGTAATACAATGACGGATCTTTTTCTGCTATTAAATTTTTATGCAGACGGAATAGATGCTAGTCAACAATAAAAAAGGTGCGGAAGATTCCCGTGAAGCATTCAACACAAACCTTATGATATTAATTTTTCAAAATCTGATAGAAGTATTTTTTTCACTAAAAAATTAAACTCAATTACTCAATATTATATTCATAAATGTCAACAAACTTCTATATATTTTATTACTCGAAGACCAGAAATATAGTACAGCGTACGCTATTATATATTCAATTGTCTAGTGCCTGTATCACTGAGTCATGTTAAAAAACTGTTTGCACAATTACACTCCATACACTTAAGAAAACATGAAAAGATTGTAACCATAAATTACATTGTTGTGACATGAGATCTTCATAGTGTACGCAACTTAAATCAAATGCCTTGAAATGATTATGCAATTCAAAGCTCATTTTTCTTTATTCTTAATTCTATTGATGAAATTAATTTAAATGAAAACCTCTTTCCCGCGTGGCCGCCAAAAGTCTTTCTTTTAAAATATCTTCTGTTGGATACTCTGGCAATTTCAAATAATGTACGCAAGTATTTACAGAAGGATATCCTCCTGCTCCTGCATCTACTTTCCTTACTACTGTTAGTCTTGGATGTAAATTGCATAATCCACCAGGAGGTAAAGCTGAACAGCCTGTAGCAAATTGGAGAAATGCTTTTCTTTCAGAACCCGTCAATGATAATAAAACATTTACAAATCTTTGGAATCCAGGGCTATAAAAAAATAATTCATAGAAATAAATTATTTATTATTTTAATTAATTTTTATTTCAAGGAAAAATTATTGATACTCACCTTTCCCTGGTGTATCCAAGTTTTGGTTCAGTGTAATTAAGCAAATCCTCACGAGTCCAATGAGGATTTTGCTCTCCACAAAGCATCGCTCGAACTTCTTCAGGACTGAATGCATGAAGTTTTTCCATAGGGAAAACTTTAGAGAAACCTGCTCTAAAGGATTCCAACTGTCTAGCAATCCCACGATTAAGACAGTAATCAATAGTTAATTCAGCATATTCATGAACATTTTCTATGGTAACTGGTATTTCTGATCCTTGATTTACCAATTCTGCATGATCATGTTCAAAAACTTTAGATCCTGGCAAATAAGACATTGTTAGTCCTAAATCTTCAATAGCAATTGACGTGCCGGACGGATGAGTGATGCGATTAACATCCTCCTCAGATGATGAATATTCTTCTGATACAGTTCTTGCACGTCGATTGACTAATGCTTGAATTTCTTTCAAGAAATTTCCTCGAATCGGATCAACCGATGCTAAATCATCAAGATTGAGGATTCCATCGTACCAAGGAGAAGGTTCTAATGAAGATAATCTATCTTGGTCCTCTTCTTCTGAAATAAAACTGCTGGACATACTAGATGATATGCTTTCTTGAGTAATACCTGTTAATCCAATTCTTTCATTTACATTATTGGTAATATCACCTCGACACATGAGTTTTAAGAAAGGCCGCGATAACGGCAAATCAACAAGTCTATTGTCTTGAAGAACTTTGGCAAGGAAAACTCCAAATAACCAGAAATATCGAACTGCGCGATTACAAGCCTCAGAATCTTGAGGAAGTGGCGCTGGGAATAAACCACTTGATCGTGTAACGTAATATCCTGGTGGTCTTACTTGCTCATCAGATGGACATGAATGCTCCTCATCCACAGGCTCATCATCACATAGCCATAAACCTAAATTTTTTCGCTGGAATTCAGCCGCAACAAGAGCGAAAAATTCTAATGTCGGACCAAGTCCTGTACCTTCTTCTCCAATAAATTCTACTTCTAAAATACTTTTTCTACTAGCATGTACTTTAAGGACTTGCTCGGCCCAGTCTAAAAGTTTATCTCCTCTTGGCACACTTACTCGCTCATGTTTAAGCCGACCAACTCTGAATTCTTGGCTATCATCACGACGTGGGCTTAATCCTGGTGCCCGTTGTCTCTCTAAAACCGCATCTCTCTGTGTTTGTAGCCAAACAATTGATCTTGATGCTCCGAAAGCTGTACAACTGAAATATAGACGTCGAGTTTCAAATGGAAGTAAAAATGGACAACTTCGAGCTAATTCTTCACACCATGCTGGAAGTGCACCAGCTGCTAAAGCCAATGGATCTTGTATTTGTTGAACAACTTTATTAGTAATCTTTTTTGATGTAAATTCTTCTGGATTAACCCAACAAACACTTTCTGATTCTTCAATTACATAATTCTTTTTATCATCTCGCGTTGTACTAAGAACATAAATATGTCTGAGCAATTGAAGAACATCTTCTACTGTACAAGTATTCGTATTTTGTACTGATTTACTAGAATAAAGTGTTACAATTGGTGTTGCACGACCTGAAGATTCCTCTTCTTTAGCTTCTTGATAAACAATTGTATATATTGGTTCCCATATTCTTCTGAGTTTTTCTTGTCTACTTCCCAGTTCAGTCATTTGCATGAGTTCTTGAACTGCTTGGAAAATACTTGAATGTGGTTCTGTTAAAGGCAATTCAACATCTGGTACATCTGGAAGTCCTGGTCCCTTTAAAGACAGTGCAAGTCGAGGCATTGATTGGATACCTACGCGCACACTTGACTGTAAATCACTACCAGGTGGTGGAATTTCTAAATCTGTAGTCTGATTAACATTAGTTCGACCTGGACGAGGATCAAAGGCAGGAATAAGAGCAGAAAATTGTCCTTTCAATACAAATTCATCATCCCAAGCGCGTCTTTTTGTACTTTGAGGAGTTTCTTCTTCCATATATTGAGCTAATAAATTTCGACTAACCATAACTTCTTCATAATCTTCACCGGCTTCAACTTCCTCTTCATTTTCCTCATCGTCATCCTGAAGAAAATATTGATACATCGAATTGTCGGGATGAAATTGATCAGTTTGTTGACGCAGTATATTTACCTCCTGATCATTTTCTTCATTATCATCATCTTCCTCTGCAAGTACTTCTTCATCATCATCTAATTCTCCAAGTAATGCTGGTCCTCCGGTTGTACGAACTCCACCTGCACTGGAGCTCGCAACTCCACCACATGTTTCCAAAAAATCTTCAAGACTAACCTGTGATCATAATTATTATTTGTTTAATTTAAGTTTAATTCGTACAAAATGATTATATTAACCCTTTCTCTGCCGATGCGAAGAAACTTTTGTTAAATAAAGTAATTTACCATATCTCTATAAAATTGAATGTAACTTTAAACTAGAAATATGTTTAAGTAAAATACTCTTTACACAGAGTAAGAGTTAATAAAAAAAGCCAATTAAAACAAGTTAATTACATAAAATGATTTTAGTGAATAAAAATAAAATCTTACCTGTTCACTATCGCTGCTGGTACTTGTAAGGGACATGGTCAGCGCTTGTCCCAATCCAGCACCAGTGGTTGTGGTAACACCGCTACCAGCTACCTGACTGCTACTAGTTAAACTTGGATAGCTCTGTGCTGTACTTAATAAACCACCCGTGAAATTTGAGCTGAGAGCTAACCTAACAAAATTGGACACTGAAGTTGGTCCACGTGAATTTTGAATAGTGTTAGAGTTAGGTGCTATGTGTTGTCCACCAGTTGGTCCTAAAATAATTAGTATAACAGTGTTACAGATGAAAAAATGTATAGATGAATAATTATATAAATAAATAATGATTCGATACACCAACGCGTGAGGGATATTTGTGGGAACCAACCTAGAGTGCGTCTTCGGGCCATCGCGGCAAATGTTTCCAGTAAACCAGTAGCAGCCGTTGTATCCAAGGTGTTGTTAACATCGGAACAAGCGAGATTGGGCACTGAGACGGACATGGGATTGGTAACCACAACCGGACATCCCCCGGTATCATTTTGCGAGGACGAACTAGCTTCTTTGTCGCGGCTGCATTCTTTAATCGCTAATTTTGTGGTAATTTAAAAATTTTAAACAAAAATAGAATCTCGAATTGAAAATCAATTATTTTTTTATATCGAAAGTGAGTTGTTAGAATAAGCAAGACATGTTACTATGCTCGGGATTGATGATATTAAGAATGTGAAACAGACTATTTAATACATAAAAGCGATCCCAGATACGTACCATCAATTGCTGTTGAAGTATGTCTCGGTATAGGCCTGATTCTCAGGGAATTGTCTTCAGTTTCGCTGGATACACTTATTCTTACAGGGACCAAACCGGGTAATAATTCTCCACTTAAGAAACTATTAGTATTATTACGCAGTCTATCGGCACCTTCTCGGAGACGATCAAGTACTTCAACTGCTTCAAGACTTAACAAACCACTAGCAGGCTAAAAAAAACACGTACAATAAACATAAACTGAATGCACTGTGTTAATGCACCATGGATATAAATCTTACCTTATTACCACGAACAGTTGTAAATAGAGGTTTAGAGCTGCTTGTCGCTCGATTACTACTGCTATTAGTGGGACAATCTGTATTAAGTGCTAAACTTTCAACGATTGTCACAAGATCACTAGTTACAGCAGTATCAGGTCGTGGATGAAGAACGACAGATAGTTCTCCCGTATTACTACCTCCTCCCTCACCCGTCACAGCAACGACAGCTTCCGCACGAGCTACAGATAATACACTCTCAGCAATGGACTCAGCAGCCTGCTTCGTTGCAAGATTTTCTGCACTAGCTGCTTGATCTGTTGACGCAACGGATCCTCTCATGCCAATGTCTGTACAATCAGGAAGACTGGGTGTACTAATTGACTTTCTGCCTGTTAAAACACCGGTTCCATTCTTACTTTTATTTCCTCCATCTGAATCAAGACTTGTGCCGACGAGCCGTAAGTCATATTTTCCTTCAGCTCCCATGCGATATGAATTTGAACCTCCATGATCCCAAGTAACGTCGATCCAACCATTATGTAATTCTCCAGTGATAGATCCTTCTCCAGGTGGTGCTCCATCTTGGTCTTTCCATTTCCAATCAATTCCGCGGGCAACTCGTGCACCAGCAACTAAATGTCGTAGCATTTGGGATTTAATTAATCTTCTTTGCTTTCGCATACCGGCTTCTGCTTCTCTTGCAGCTCGGCCAAGGTCTTCGCATACTCCAGTGATTTCTCCATAAACCTCGAAACCGGATACTGATAAATAATGAGTTTGGCCAGATGCATTTTTTCCAGTCTGATGAAGACGAAGGTGTCGCCAACCCTGTGTTTCTTCACTCGGTGGTTCTAACGTCCACGTTGCGGTGCTTCCGGGTTCATTTAATGAACAATCGTCTACATGTGTGTATAAAGTTGTCCAGTTAATTCCATCTTTAGATGCTTGAAACATCCAATTTCTTAATGCACTTTTGCCGTATCCTCGAGCGTGGCGAAGTGTATAAGCACTTGGAATCACCCATACTCCTAAGTCTAAAGAAAACCATGCTCGTTTATCATCATTAGTATGGCAATTTAATGGATTGGGATCTCTACTAAGAATATCTTCTAGATGACCATATGGTAAACTTCTTCCATCACTGGATGTCACTATAACCAGGCCATATTGACCAGGATTAGACCATTCTGGACACGTTTTTGCATTTGTTCCAATCCAGTATAAAATTCCATTTTCATCGAAGTCATGTTGATATTGAAACGTTAATCTATTTCCTTCTTTTAATTTCTTTACAAATGTAAATGTTGATCGATCGTGATCATGCCATTGCTTTGCCATCATTTTTAAAAGGTGGCTTTCTAATTGCTGAACAGTACTCAACGGTTCCATTTTCAAACTACGGCCAGACCTATCAATTAATGAACTTTCACATGGAGCTTTCTCCAATCTAAAACGCAATCTTCGCGTGAGAATCTGCAAACCACCAGACCCTGGTGTATCATACAAATAAACTGGTAACTTTTCTATTGATTCAAGTACTGAAACTAATTTCTGCACTAAAATTTTTGCCGAATTATTGTCATTAATATCTTTTGTTTTGAAACAATTTTTGAACACGACGATCCTTTGTAGTCTCATTTTATTAACTTTTGTTGAAGGTGGTTGAGGGCCTGATGGACCAGCCAATAATCCAAGTAACGCTTGAACTAAACCACTGGAATGCAACTCGTAAGCAGAAACTTTTCCTTCTTCATTCAACAACATTTTTAACTCTTCTAGAGCACTTTGTAATATACTGCGCCATTCACGATGTCCTGCAAGTTGTTTTTGATATGCCTTATCTATTTGACTTACGATAGCTGCTAGTTTTGCTACGACACCACGTGGTTGAGCTTGAGCTACTTTAAAATAAGTTTCATAAATCTCTTGAGCTTGAACTTTTACTTTTTGCTTTATTGCTTCTATTTTAGACTTTAAACGTTTGCCACGTTTTCCTGCCCATCCTGCCACAAAATCGGGTCCTATAAAAATAATAAAATATTTTAACATTTTTTAAATTTTTATAATCTTATCAGTAATTGTTAAAACTTCAAAATGTAGACAATTAGACAAGTAGACTTATTCAATTTCAAATAGTCCATTTTTCATTAAAGTATTATTATAACAGACTTTCAGTAATTTTTTTAAATTACTGATTTAGTTAAGTCATAAATCATTCGAAAAGAAAGAATTGCAGATAAAAGGAAAGTTAATTCATGAAATTTTGATCCAGGTTGAATAAAACAGTTTTTTTAAAATAAAGAATGCATTTTCACTATGCATTATTGTGTCAGAGAAATATAATAAATTTATTATTAAAAACCTGGATTGAAATTACTATTTATATCCAACTTTTCTCTTATCGTTAATTTAGAAAACAATAAAAATATACCTAAGCTTGTCTCAGCCGTAAAAGAGTGTTTTGTTCCACGATTTGATTCAAAAATAAATCCTGGCAGATCTTCTCTAAGTATTGTAGCTTGCTGTTGACCATCACTATTATGGATACATAATTCATTTTCCTTACGAGACGATAAAGACCAATTTCCTACCACCAGACGTGTTGGTCCCGGTCGTGATAATATAGGTTGGCTTACAGTATTTGGTTTTACTTGACTTCGAGCTCTTTGTAACTTTTCCAGAAATTCTCCTCGACTTTCTGCAAATTTAATTTAATATTAGAATAACTTTGTAATAAGATGCATTAGCAGATTTTAATTTAGGAAAAAAATATCTTAAAAAATGGATAAGTGAATCCAAATGAATGTAAAGAATAATTGCTCCATAATCATATAGTGCCATTAGACTGTCAATAGATAAAAGAGAATCAATACGTTGATACTTAGAAAAGACCTACCTTCCGTCGTGAGCGACTCAGTGTTCCTCCCCTTTCCTGTAGGCAGTTAGTAAAACCAGTTATTTTCTAAACTAATCCCCACACTACCGTTAATTAAACATGAATGAAACGAACACAATAAAAATTATGGAAATTTAATTGCAAACAAAATTAATTTTGTGTGATATTAATTATAAATAAATGGATATAACACGTAAAGAATCAAAATTTATGTTGATTATTTTTTGATAGCTATTTGCTTACCGGTTGCATCTGTACCGCCTTCAGGGCTGCCACTGGAATACATAGTAGCTAGCTTCCCATCAAGAATAAATCTAAACCACCCATTACTGCCATTTGATAATTCTAATGCCGCAGCATCTGACCAAACATAGAGACAATCTCGGCCTCGACAGATACACCAATCTCTCCAATGATATGCACGCCCAATTAACAATTCTCTTGCATCTTCAAGTTTGTGTTCTTCTCCCGACTGATTGGTTTCATTTTCTAGTTCTGGGAGTGAATCTTGAGGTCCCATTAATGCAGCAACTTTGGAGAATACTCCAAGTCTTGCAAAGTGTTCTAAAAACTCATCTTTTCCTTTCATCATTAAATCCTGGATCATTTGTAGAACTATTAAGTGGCCATCTTCATCTTCCTATTAGTAACATATAATAAACTGTGACATATATTTTTTAACGAAAATACAAGCAGAAAAAATGAATGTAATAATTTTAATTTTTCATTATCATTTAGGCTTGCAGGCAGAGAACATTCATGTCCATTGGAAGCTCTTTTCCTGGTGATAAATTTTCATTAATTCACAATTGAGAAGCCATAGATGAGTTGATGTTTATTTTCTACCTTAAAATCATTATTGTTACATACAAAAAAAAAACCAAGAGACAAGAGACCAATAATCGACAAAATAACATTACAATCAGTATGGAACTAAAAATTATTTAAACTTGGCAATCGATTTCCTTTAAAATAATTTCAGATATCGAATAACTATTTGTAAATAGACTTTCACAAATTAGCAATTCTCCTAGTGTACTCTCGACTTGTCGATAATTGGTTTTTTTGCCATGTATAGTTAATTTATTTAGTTCAAGTTAAAAACATTTCACACACCCATTTTGAGTTTAAAAATTTCACACATTTTAGTGTATTTTTTAAATCATTGGTATGTTTATGTATATAGTAAATAAGATCACCTAAATTAAAATTCCATGTATTTTTTAGTTAAAAAAATACTTGAAATAAATCATAATTAAACTTCAAAATTTTTCTCTAACAAGGAAAAAAATTAATCTATCTCGCTGAATATCTTCAGAGAATTAATTATAATATTCTAATGGAGGGGGAAATTTATCATACTCTAAATTATTTATAACAATTAATAACGAAATATTATACGATAGAATTAATTAAAAACAACGATGCGAACTTTTGCAATGAATATTTCTAAAAATTAACTGTAATTCATTGTTGGTCTCACACTCACTACAAATATTATTGAATAAAACAATACACGTTCATTTATTTGAGATAATTAATTATTGTGGTCGTCAAGTGATTACAAGAACGACAAAAGGAATAATTTGCAGGGACAAAAGGGTGAATAATTCTGCAACGGATGTTACCGTTTTATCGATAATGTAGTTCTGGGAACTGGAAGACTTGCGAGATATAAGACAGGACAATTTTGGACCAACAATCAACTTGAGAGGCGGAGGTGGTGGTGGTGGTGGTGATTCCTGAATCTCTATTTCCTGCGAACAGTTTTTAGCTAATTCATGCCTCCATCTGCCTGCATGCCTAATTTTTAGTACTTATTTAAAAATTTTTATATATTTAATACTTTCAATACCATCCTCTTGATTCCTGAAAATAAATTATTCCATAATTTATTTTACTTACTTCGTTATCAAGAACGTTAGCGATTACTTCAACTAGAATTGCGCCACATCCAGCAGGATCAGCTCCACATGTTTCAACAAGTAATTCTGGTTGGATGTAATGTACCATTTTTCGAATTAGACTCAAACTAGCTTTTCTTACGCTTGGTAACATAGTTGATTGAAAAGTTGCACAAAAAACAGGTAAAAGTCTTTTCAAGTAAACTGGTGCCATTTCCGGATCACCTTTAGGTTCTACTTCACTATCAGGTTTTCTGGTCTCTTGGCTAGGAGGTAACATCCATTCTCCAGGGGATTGAAGGATAGCAGCAACCTCTCGATGGCCTTCATCAACTCTTTCTCTGGCTTTATCAAGTGGAGTTTTTCCATCTTCATCACGTAAATCTGGATTAGCACCATGTCTAAGTAATACTTTGGCAATTGCTGGTCTTCCGAAGCATGCTGCATAATGAAGACTTGACGATCTTTGACCCTTATTAACATCTGCACCTTTATCACATAGAAATTCAACCATTTCTTGGGTACCAAAAGCAGATGCCCAATTTAGTAGAGTTTGGCCTACGTCATCCATGAAATTCACTTCTATACCTCCTGATTCGATAGCTTCAATTAGTGCATCCGTATCTTTAGAACGAATGCAATCAATTAATTGACGATGTGACTTTTCTCCAGCACTATCTAGTCGTCTTAATCGAGGTAATAAAGGACCTGAAGGACCGCCGGTTGTACTACGACCTAATGCAGATCTTCCTTCAAATAATAGCACTAATAATAGATCTACCAATCTCATAGAATCAAGAGCACATCTTTCATCACCCTTTAATGCTTTCTCGATTGCATCAGGCAATTCAGATCGCAGCAAATCGTGAGTAATTGATGGTGACCCACGACACAATGTCGATAATAGACTAATTATTGTTGACACAGATGCGCAAGATTTAGACTCTGGTACGGGTATTGTAGATGATGTTGTAGATATTGGTGGATTTTTAGGATTATTAGATGTTGTGGCCACTGATGTACCTGGTCCTGCAGCATTAGATAATCTATAAAGCAATTCTGACACTAAACCATTCGAGGCTAATGGAGCAGGGTCTGTTCCTCGGCGAGAAAATCGGTCGGCCAATGAGGCAAAACATCGAAGAGCACCATCCGCAACATGAGCATCTTCATGCCTCAATAACGTTGACAAGGCTTCGACACAGTCAGGTAAGGTCTTATCTTGTGGTTCCACTTTTCCACATAAACGTGACACAACAGCCATTGCTGAATGAAGCGTATCACGGTGTACGCGAGCTCCATGTTCTCTAATGAAACAAAGAGCACATGGAAGACCACCAGCTTCAAACACTGCACCTGCTTCACGTGCACACACAAGCTCCAATACTTTAATACACTGCTCTGCTAAATCCCTACTTGCTCTGGAACCTAAACCAGCGCCCGATAACCGTCCACAAATAGCTTTCACTGCACCGTCCATTGCGACTACACGGCGAGTACATTCTGCTGATACGTCCAAGTAATAGGTAATGGCTCGAGCTGTTACTTCTAAAACACTGTCTGGTGCGTGCTCATCAAGAAATATTCGACACAAAGCAGGAAGAAATGTTCTAGGTGGACAAATTTCAAAACAACGATCAACATTATCTGACATCAATAGCAGCATACAGAGCTGCTCTAATGCAATCAATTGCATATCACGTTCATCTCCTTGGCCCATGTTGAGCCATTCTAATAATGTTTCAGGATCTACTTCAGCCATCTACAAATAAAAATCATAGATTTAGGTTATTATTCCAGAAATTTCTAATTTTAAAAGATCTTACCTTGCGATGTTTGAAGTTCTTTGTCGCGTTTATTCAGACAATCTGAAAAAAAAGTTTATATTAAACTAAACTGATTTATTTGTTCGACTAAATATAAAACGTTAAATGACTTTAAAAATAATATTTTTACTTTTGTTTATTTTTTGATTATTTTCATATCACGTGGGAATTATTATTTTTTTAACAGTGATTAAATTATTAATAGTAGTAAATGCTTGAGTAATAAAGTAATTGTAAAAGATTATTTTAAAAAAATCTCTTATAATTGTTAACAATCATCGTCATCGATCTAAAGTATATGATAAACATAAAATAAACGGTAAAACAAAGAAAGTATCTGAATGTCAAAATTACAATAATCAAGACCTTGAACAGAATTTAGCCCGATGTTCACATCAAGGACCGTAAAAATGTTGTAATAATTTGATAAATATAATATACGTAGACATGTATATATATAAACACATTATATCCAATCATATATACATATACACATACATATACATTTAATCGGAATTTAATATAATTGGAAGTTTAATAATTTGAGCAATCGAAATATCAATAAAATCGAAAAATAATAATTTTTGCATCGTGGTCAACAAAAAATACATTAGACATTAGAGCACAAAGCAAAAGTGGAGGGAGAAAATATTTTGCATGACGGGTTAAACAGTAAGAATAATAGACATTCATTTAAATAAAAAAAAAAGAAGACATAAAGTTTATGAGCACACTCAACACTTTAATAGCTATTTAGACAATTTTTCATAACTATTAACTTGTCCGGATTGTTTTTTAACGATTTACGACAAGAATCGACTACGAAACAACTATCAATCAAGAACACATTTTTATGAGTATGAAGTACCTCGAGAATTTATAATGTCTAGTACGATGTTGCATTCTTTGTGAGGTCAAGTCGCCATTATTCCGAGCTCGAACAATTATCAAACATTAATACGTAAAATATTATTATCCATTATATCACTTTATCACTCGTTGATTTGATTTAATACTTAAATTATTATTGAACAGCACTTATGAGCTAAGAAGCCTTTATTCTCTCTCAGTGTAATCCGATATACTGTACTATTCACGTGACGTGACGATCAGGGGTGGTACAATCAGGCTTATTAATGTTTCTATTTACCAACCGAGTGCCTCCATGAAATTTCTATGTAATCATGTTCAATGATCGTTTGATTATGATTCAATGACAACCATGAAGTATTAATTGAAGCTATTTATAAGAAAATAAATTATTTGACCGAAAATCGACTCAATCACCATATAAATTCATCGAATTTTATTGATTATTTCTGTTTTTTAGAAAATAGAATTTTTATCCAGTTGATTTTTCAAACATTTTTCAAATGATTCCCGTAGGTGGCAGTCATATCTTATTTTACTACTACAGCGACATCTGCAGTTCATGACTTTGAAGTCCTGAGACATCTGTTGGTCATTTTAAAAATAAAATAACGGTAAATCGCCATGCTCAGTTAATTAAATTTACGGAGCGGGAAATAATTGTTTACGATCAGAGACAATTTTGTTCAAATATTTATCCGAATAAATATAAAAAATTGATATTTTAGTTTTAATATGTTTTTTAATGTTGTGTTATATTTTTTTATAGATATGAGTAAATATTGTCTATTAACATGATAGGAGATCAACATAATAGGACTGCGTCAAGCCATAGGTAAGTATTTTATAAAACAAATTATAATTATATTATATTAATCATAATTATTATTAGTTGTTAGAATACATAAATTTATTTTTTAATCACAAATATATTATTGAATATAAATGTTAAGTGTTTCATAAAATAGTATTTAAAGTTCATGAGTAAGTATGAAAATTTTGTGTTGGATCCATTAAAATCATGTTTTTCAAAGAAGCTTTTACTGCAGTCATGATGGCTTCAGAATTATCTTTACGAATGGCATTTTTAAAACATTGAGTCATTTTCAAGGCTTTTGCAGAGTGTTCACTATAAACTGGTTGTGAACTTATCATGCTTGTACTATTGGTGTGACTCATTTGAGTTATTAAAAAGTCAAGAATATTTCGAAATGCACAATACAGTACATTGTTTTCAATCAATAGGTCATGATTTTCTTCTTTACATTGCCGAACAGCATGAGATATCCATTCCCAATCATCCCAAATTTCATCATTTGCTACCATTTTGTTATTTAAATTCCACATTAGTAAAATTCGATACCTAAAAATTTTCAATCATTATTAAAAAGTCATGATTTAATTTATAATGTTACAAAAATGAATACTCACTTCCATTGCCATGGATTGTTTCCAATCTGAACATTTTTTAAGTATGGCATCAAGTAAAATACATTGTAATCAATTGTCATTAACTTGTTGTTGTCCAGATATAAATTCTCCAAACGCGGAAGTAAATAAAAAAAATTAACGTCCATCACATCATTGATTTGATTGAATGATAGATCCAAGTGCCGAATATTGGTTGGATAAATAAACCACTCAGCTGATACACGTACTAAATTATTTCCCCATAGCACAAGTTTTTCTAAATAAGCTAAACCAAAAAATGCATTTGTTTCAATGGCATTTATCCCTGACTTATGGAGATCTAATGATAAAAGTGTTTGTCCAAATTTGACAAAAGTATATCTGTAAAAAACAAATTGATACTTGAAAAAATAAGAATTAATTAATATAATTTTTATCAGAATATATTCACTTATTATTCTTACCCTGGTATGTTAACAAGATTTGATTCTGAGATTTTGATAGATGTAACATTTATTGGAGATTTATCTAATACTCCTAGCGAAGTTATATTAAAGCATACGTAGGACGTGTTAAATAAGTAGTTACATTCTGATTTAGATTCAAAACTTGATACACTCAACCATAATGAACAGAAAACAATCAAATTTTTTACAAAAGACATGATGTTTCGAAACAATTTAGAACAATACTAATTCTTTTTTATGTAACTAGATCTTTTTTCCTCTCTTACACAAGAGCACAACCTGCATCCTGTGATAGTCTTATCAAGCATTTCCTCATTGGAGTATCTCCTAAAAATAATTGTAACCACTAATATCATGACGTAGAGTTTTAGTTTGCTTTTAGATAAACATCTGTCGATAAGCGATAATACATAACTGTCGAAAACTTTTTTATTTTAAAAGGATCTAAAGACAAATGAGTATTCTTGTTTTATTTATTTATTAAATCTTTTGTATAGTACATATATTTTAGTTATATTCCACTAATAAGATTGCATTTAGTCCTTGGAAATAACAATTCCTCGTTTTCATTTAGACATTACAAATTTATTAGAGTTTATATGATGTTTTTATTTTGAAGTTTTATGAAGATATTTTGTATAAATTTCCTTCTTAAACTGCTCAAACTGACGACGATTTAGAATGTTTTGTCGTTCACGCCACACTGAACGATTTCTTCTGCTTTGTAAACCCCAGTGAACAGTAAACACTGGAGATAGAACTTTGAATTGATAGCCAGCAATAAACATTTCATAAACCTAAAAGCATAACCAATAGATATGCATTAAAATTTGTTCTTCATTCAATTTAATATCTATAAAGTAGAATTACAATTTACCTGAGTGTTTCTAGTGTAACCATATCCTAAAAATCTTTCATCATGAGCTGGTGCGATGTCCTTAGATACATAGAAAGGTTCATATAGAAATTCAAAATTAGTGACGTTGTGACTAATGTAAGTCTTTCCAGCTAGTATATTTTCATATTCTTTGGACCCTGGTGAAACATCTAGCACCCATCTATAAGTTTTTTCAATTAAAAATTTTATTTCTTACTAATGAAATTAATAAATACATACGTTACCTGGTGAAATTAGTTGCATACTGATTATGAATAAAAACTTTCCAATGGAATGGTCGTGCTAATCCTTTCCGTGTTAGTCTCATCAATTCTGATTTGTTTGATGGAAACTTGACCCGAGTATCTATTTCATATGTTGGTACGACATAAGCACATTTATCACATTTTTCAGTATCACGAAGAAATTGATTAAGTGAGCTAGCAAGACCTATACTTGGTATTATATCAATATCAGTCAAAAATACCCAATCTGTTTGGCAATTTTTTCGAGCCAAGTTTCGCATGTGGTTCTGTGGATATACATTTCTCAAACGCCAGTTTGTATGTTCTTCAGAAATTTGGCTTACAAGATTAGATAGTGTAGCTTCTGGTCTTGTGCAGTCATAATTTAAAACATCAAAATTTTGGGGTTGTTTAGTAGGCGATTTTTGTTTAGGCACAGTAAGAGAAAAATTAATTCTCTCAAAAATAGGCATGTAACATTTTCGAAGAAAAATAAGGTATTTTTGTAAAGCTTCAAATTCTTCATCACCAGCTGCATATATAGCAACTGATATAGGCCCAGTCCAATGATGAGCTACTTGGACTAAAGAGTAAATTTTTTCTAAAGATGATTGCGTCGCTAAACAGACTGCATTTGATTCAGATAATTCCAAAAATTTAGTGCCTATCAAAACGGAATCAAAACTCTTATAAAGTCGACGATTATCCCATTTTCCTAGATGAATATTTAGATTGAGGACATTTTCATCAGCAAATGAATCATAATTTTGTGACATACATTGAACTGTTAGTTCTTCTTGCTGTTGTAAATTATTATTCCAATGTGTAGCAGTGTCAGGTTTTAAGACTTCTAGAGGCGTATTTGTTAATGTGCATGTCTTTGATTGAAGCAAGAGAAAAGTAAATAATATATTAGTTAACGAAAGAACCATAACAATCAATAAGCTGAAATATCGCGAGCGATGATTCATCTGAAAGAGAAGAAAAATTGTTTTACAAAATAAAAGATTCCTTTTTCTTCATAAATATAAAATAAACAAGAGTATCTAGCAGATTTTTTCTTTTTTAATTAACATATGAAATAATTTACTGCTATTAAAATTAACAGCAAACTTTTATTCAAAACATTATATTTTACTCATTAATTCGATTCATAATTTACATAATCAGGATTTTTTTGTGTTTTCAAAGATTTAAGTGTTTCTTTTTAACGTCTCCAACGAACATGTTATGAATGCCTAAAGTAGTACATTCATCTCGAATAAAAGTATTATTACTACGTACAAAATCTGCCAGTATGTGATTATTTAAAATTCTCAGTTATTTGAATGAATGATTTGAACCTTAAAACTAACTAATGATATCGTGAGGCCAGTGTAAAAATTATTTGATGAATAGTATTTCAAAATGAATGGGAAGATAATGTCTTACAGGTTTTTACTGCAAATAATAATTCGATTGGTACTATTAGATGTTCGTTCTGCGATAATGTGCAAAGGTGCTCCAACCCGCTGAAACCACATGCGATTTCTGATCGCGAATTGATCATCATCCAGAAACCCAATTGTATAACTCCTCTGTCAAAGACACCGTTTTAATTTTACCCTGTCATATGAGTAAAAATACATTTTTACATAGATACCGCATTTTTGTTCAGCTAATCGATTTCATCAATACTATTTTAATAATATGAGTATCAAAAAAAACATGCAAGAACGGTATTTACTTCTCCAAATTTTATTTCTAAATTACTTTAAAATAATTAAAAAAATTTTAATTGAATTAAGCACTTACTTTGTAATCAAAATTTAGTTAGAAAAAATCTCTAAAAGCAATAAAAAAATTTTCTGCTTTCATGCATCCTGGAACGCATTCTAGATAAATAACTTGAGTATGATTTTATTATTTTAGGCCAGTTAATTTATTTTAGAAAATTCAATTTGTAGCGAATGCCTGAACGTTGATATTAAAGTATATTTTTGATTGAATTCTAAAATCAATCTTGTAGAAATTAATTGACTGACCCCAATATCAAATAATTGATCACTTCGCTGAAAAAAACGTTTTAATGTGCATCAACATGAGCAATAAAATGATTACGTGACCAATTTTATACGAAAAAAAAATAATTACGCAAATATACTAAATAACAAAAAACTACTTTTGCAGTAATTGTGGCTTTTTTAGAACAATTAAAAATTTTTTCTTTCAGTTTAAATATGCAAAATGATATTAGATGTTTATCTGGTGTATCAATTATTCCTGAATGATTAGAGGTCGACAATGATATTCTTAATATTCATGTTTAATACTTTATATGATAATTTAATTAATCTTACATTGAAGTTAGAGATACCTTTATCTTATGACCATAATGTAAGCAAAAAAGTAAAAAATACATAGCATTGCAGATAGCCGTAATTACAAATGGTAAAAGATTAAAAATGTCACTAATTTTATAAATAATCAACTTTCAATAATAATGCATACCTTGCTTCTAAATAATTTCAAATGGTCAGCTTTCTTTGGGTATCATTACCATAACAAATAATTGTATTTATTAAAAACAATCTTCATTTTTGGTTATTTATAAAATATAAATTATTAAAAAAATAAAATATTCTTATTTATAAAAGATATCTACAATTCAACTACCCTTTTCCATAATTTGATTTAAAATAAATTATTTTTCATTACGATAAAAAATTAAATAAAGGATTATAAAATATATGAAACACACATTTTCAACACATTAATGATCATTTAACTATTTTGTAAATTTTATTTCACTCATTGTTTATTCTGTCACTATTGCTACCCGAAAGTCGTTACAAACTACCAACCTCTGACTACCCTTCGAAATACAAAGCAATAGTACACCCCATCATGCCATCTCTGTTTTGAACGTTACAGTTGGTATTGATATTCTGGGGTTGCGAACTATCGAGATAGAATATCGGATCGTTAGAATTAAACATTTTTCACCTACTTTGATAATTTATTTTAAACTATGTAAATGAATTACAAATATTTAGAAAAAAATAGTAAATTTTTATTGCTCAACGTTCCGTTTATAAATAATTACACAATATGAAAAAGCCGAATTATTATTTTTTAATTTACTCGCTTCAAAATTCCTTTAGCAAAAAGCGAGATACAGCTAAAACCTCGTATACAATGCACAGAATTAAAAATTTAATTTTGTATAATATTTTTTTACGGCAATACGTATGTTACTATATTTTACAAAATATACATCATTTAATTTTAATTGGCGGGATACAACAAAAATCTTTCATTATTCGAAATTACAATATAAAGTTTTCATAAGCAGAAAAAAATTACACCATGAAGTTATTTTAATACTATCTATCAATATTGTCTACTAAGAGTTCAAAAAAATGTTTGCACAACTAAATATTATTAAAAATGAATTTTTTTCATCTTCCTATTTTTATAAATTTATTGCTTTATCACTAGTTGCTAGTCTTAATAATATTCCATCTGAGTACATCATTCAGATCTTGTCATAATCATGTTGCAAACATTTTTTTAAATACCATCATTGTAAGGCCATATTATTCTTATATTAAAAAAAATTCTACTACGTTAATAAAAGTATTATAATATAATTTATGGCGCAAAAATTTTCTATAATTTCATTAGTTTTCATTTGTATAGAACTTTATAACCATTTATGAAGTTAAAATAAACATTCTCGGAAAAATTAACATACTCAAAAAGTAAATAACCAACTTTAAAGCGTAAACAGTCAATGGTAGTACGAACATTAACCATCTGAAATATTATAATAATAAAAATAGATATTAATTTCTGCTATCCTAAATTATATAACCTTTAACCCATTGTAAGTATTCCATAGTTAGTAGACTTATTTGTTCATTAATTCAAATCATGCGTTTTTATTGCCGTTAAATGATTTTTTACGTAATTAAGGCATCGACTTTTTTGGCGAATTTGGTGTATTAGCACGCTCTTTTTCTTCATCAGTAAAAAATATTCTTGTTATGACGATATCACCAGTACTCAATGTTTGAGTTGCTGCATGCTTTTGAACAAGTTCCGTTCGATTTTGCGAAGAAGAGGTATCATGGCACATACAAGAACAAGAATTAGCATTTAATGTTTCTGACATTAATTTATCAGAATTACAATTAGTTATTGACGAAAGTATGGCCTCTAGCTTTTCAATTTTTTCAACTCGGTCCATATGCTCGTCAGATAAAATATCATCTACCATTTGCATGGACTCTGTGATTGTAGGTGGGTTTAATTTCAATTGTGCACCATCTGAAAATAATTGAAAATTGAAATTTCATTCAATATACTTTATAATAAAAATACAAAAAAGATTTTTTCAATCGTTTTTTATCTCTATCCTCTTGAAAAGGTAATTTTATTTCTATCTTAAATTCAAGATTTATGGTAATCTAAGAATGTGCTTAGATAATGATAGTTAACTTAAAAATAACTGTACCGTATAGTGCATTATCCGATACACAGCTATCTAAACTCGTACACTCAGTGTCATCATTTTTCTCATCGTCGTCATCGTCGTCGTCATCATCTTCATCAGTACTTTCATTCTTATCTTGCGATGAACTTTCAAGCTTCTCCAATTTTTTTGCTACCTTATAGTTGCATTTTAATCTTTCTTTCTCATCCTCAGTTAGAGATAGATAACGCAAAAGTCTTATTTCTCGATTACTCAATACGATATTCTTCTCTCCAGCTTCATCCATTCGTTTACGAAGATGTACCACTTCTGCTTCAATTTTACGTTGTTTTTTGCGAGCTTTCATTTCTGTGGGAGATATATGCATAAATATTTGCTCTTCACATAACTGTTGAAATAGTGCATACATCTCAGGTTTGATTAACCTAAAAAACGAGAATTCATTAAAAATAGAATTGAAAATTTTCAATAATCAATCGTCGACCTACTTTTATTCAGCTTCTAAAAGGTACCTACTTCGACATAGTTGAATATGCTTGAGGTACTAGACCTAGTACATCACTAGTAGCATAAATGAGCATATCTCTTAATATTGGTCTTCGTGACCAGTATTTTTGATCTCGTCGATAAACGCACTTGAATTGACTTTTTAATGGATTACTTGGTGCATTATATAGTTCACACAAAGTGTTCAGGTTGATATTTTTTACTTTATCAACAGGTTTTTCCGTTTCTTGATATTGAATAACTGCGTGTGCAGCCTATAAATTATAAATGTAGTCAATTACAAGATTGATAAGATTAACACAATTTATTATTTTTATTCAGATGAAAAAAAAACTTCAGTTATTTCTCGATTGATTTTGTTTTTGGTATGTATAATAACCTAAATAAATTTTTATCATAACACAAATCATTTAAAAATAACGAATAAAGTACTAAATATTGGAATACTTCAAAATCTAAGATATCAGTAATGGTATTTTAAATATTACTGTATAATTGATAATATCTATTTTTATTACTGTTATAAAACTTGAAGAACATGATTCTCATTACCTGAGTATCGAAGACATTATTGAGAGTAATTGAAAATTGATTATACAAGTTTACACTGTCATTTCTACAGTCATGAACCACCTATAAAACAAAAATAATTAATTAATTAATCTTTCTATTCATGTTATTTAATAAAACATGCAAAAATTTGACTTACTTTTATCACTGATGGACTCTCTAATAGAGTTCGTAAAGGATTAATAAGATCTGGAGAAGTAAACAAATCGAAAATGTATACAAGTCCATATACAGTTCCGATTTGTATCAAGGTGATTTGTCCTTTAGTACCAACGTTGATTCCTTCACAATCGAATGAAACAACAACTTTATCACGTATTGAATTTCTAGGATTCATAATTTCATCAATAATTCGCGTACATTCTTTCACATTCACAACTAATTTAGTTTTTTGTAAAATCTTCAATTTCCAGGCATCACCAACTTGAACATTATGGGAACTTCGATCTTTTTCAGTATTATCTGCAAGAGTTTTCATAACAAGAGAGTTAATTCTCTGCTTAAGTGTTTGTTGTTGAATGTTGATTGGTGATGCACTTGTATTACAATTCACTTCAACTGGTGGAAAAACGTCATTATTTGTTTCAGAACAGTTGGTTTCATTATTACTATGAGGACGAGAATCTGAATTAGATACTGATTCATATGAGGAAGAGTCTGGAGTATCAGTATTCCGTCGACGATTTTCAGCATCTTTTGAATTATTTTTATCTTGTCGAGGATTTGGTTTCTCCTTATCACATACAGAAACTAATTGCTTCTGAACGTTGAATGCATGCGGAAACATTTTAAAAAATATCGTCAAGTCTTGTGATGTCGTAAAGATAGTATTACTTGTAGTATTATTTGTAGCCAACAGTAATAGTTGTTCAATTGAGCATGGACCTCTTTCTTTGATTAATTTTTTAAAAAATTTGATTAATTTCGTAGTCATTTTTGGATCAACGGCTATTTCTGGCTCCAATTCTCTGAAAGGAACACCTTGCATACCTTCAAATCGTTTTAACATAACATTTTCATCACAGACAATAAAGTCATCAGGGAATTTCAGCAAAAAATCACGAAATTCTCGGTAATGTTGACCAGAAATATGTCTAACTTCGGGTGAAGCTTGTGATCGATGGCCTAATAAACATTTTATTGGTACATGTGCTCCTTCTCCATATTCCATAAGCTTATTTGTAAAATATTCAACAGCCTCTTTAGCGTAGTCTCGTTTACCAACTTTTTTAACACCAGTATCTTGCTCAGGAGATGGCTCAAATGTATTAACGGAAACATAATCACCATTAATAACAAATAATGAAGGATATTGCGTCAAAAACTTTCGCAGGCCACTTTGTGAGCCTCCTGCTATTTGACGCATTTCTTTAGTAAATCCTTTAGCACCAAATTGACAACTTAGATCATGTAGAGTTCGTGGACCACCTTTATCCATCAATCGTTCGAAAAAGAATAGAAGAGTGAGATTACGAACTAATTCATATTCAGAGCTGTCCATCATTTATATTTCTCTGAAATAAGAAAAATACTTTTATTAGTTATCATATCATTCATGGCAATTGAGGAATAAATTATAAATCATTCACGAAATAGAGAGTTGGGAATTTTTTAGTGGAAGTATTTTCCCTTTCCTCTATTAGTTACCTCTAATTACATCCTCAATCACGCCTTCTATGGTAACAATCAGAATATTTCAACAATTAAAAATAACAAAATATAATGAATTGATGATTCATTTAGCATAATTTGAATAAAAGATTGGTTGTATTTAATTTAAAAAATTTACCAGGATTTTTTAATTAAAGTTAAGAAGGTTGGCAATAACTATAATAAATTATTAAATTATTCAATTAGATGTTGGATTAAGGGTATATATAATATGCACGTATATTGTCAATAGATAATTACAAAAGAATATAACATTACATAAATAATTTTACCTGAATATAAATACGACTGGTGTAAGGTTAAATATATGATATTCTAACCATTCAAATAACGAGCTAGAAATTCACCTGTACACTGATTTCACAAATACTGTTGGTAATCTTTTACAATTTTTGAAGGTCCATATTTGTAATCGGAATATTAATTACTGATATTTGATAAAAATTTAGGTGTAAATTATAAATAAAAAATTGGAGGAAGACTGTAGGTTAAAATATTCGAGTAATGTTACGAGTATCGAGTTGAAAATAGTTCTAACTGGGCTTAACAGCAATGTGGAATGTGATGTGGATGGAGATGTACTATTTCGAACGTCACAAGTATTGGAATGCGCGGTAAATTTAAACGGGTTGAAAGAGTAGTCAAAGGATTATCAGTAGATTTAAACAATTTCATTTATACTCTTCATTCATTCATTAGCATTTTAGCATTAAAAAGTTAGAATATTTTTTACAGTGAATTTTCTGCATAATAATTTAAATAAATAAATATGAGTTTAACAAGATACGAAAATAAAATTATTTAATTAATTGTTTAAACAAATTTTAGTGTAAAAACTTAAAAAAAATATATTTTTTAATGTACAATATTAATAATTGATATTTTTTTGAAAGAAAATAAAAAAAAAAAAAAATAAAAGAAATTTCTCTTAGCGCTTTCAATACTTCAAATATACAAATTTCAAATATTTCTTCTAAGGTTGCGATAGCGTAATTGGTAACGCGTCGGGACAAAATTGACGCAGACCACGATGTACGTTATTCCAGAGTGCAAGCAATTTGTAAATATAATTATAAAAATTGGAGTTAACTTTGTTAATGCGTTTGTCAGTAAGCGCTCTGACTAAATCATTAACAATAAGAAAGCTCCCTTGCATTCTTTAATTTCGTGCTTAGGTAAGTGTTGTGTGTTTGTAGTGCTTTAGGTAAGGTAAAGAGATAAGGTAGTCCTACAGAAAAAGTATAGTCTCCTCCCGCCCAAAAATCAAAAAAAAATATAAAAAAAAAAAAAGGCAGTGGCGAAGCCGAATATCCTCGCTTACCATCGGCCCGAACAGCAACGGGGAATTTGGTTACAACATTCATTTACCTGACCCGGTGGATGTTTACCGCATAAGTCCGTCATTGCTGAAAATAAAAAAATTAGTGTGTGGTGTGGTAGGGGTGGTACTGCCTTGGTGACCCGAAAATCCTGGTTCAAATCCAGGTCGCAACAATATTTTTTTCATTTTTTAATAAGTTGATTTTCAAAATTATCAATTGATTTATAATAAAAAAAAATTCGAGTCTTAAAACAATTACGCTATCATATGCTCTGAATTAAAAGTATTGATAGATTCAAGATATATGATCGTGAATGAGGACTTTTACCTTACAATTATTCAATGTCTGTAGGTGTCTAAATAAGTATGATATAAACATACCTACAGTCTTGGTGACATATTTTCACAGTTAAATAAGTATTACTTTCAAAACAACCTTGATGTGTTCAATAGTATTATTGTAGCTCATAAATCAAAATAAAATCTACTGCAAATTTATCTTAAACAATTTATTTTGTGTTTTAACCTCAGTTATTCAACATATATGATACACCAAAAAAATTTAATGAAGTTTATATTGATATGTGTTCTGCATAAAAAATAATGCAAGACTAAAATTTATGTAGTACGGTATCTATATGATAACTAGTTATACATTATATTATTACTGTAATCAAAGAGAAACAGATATGTTTCCATAATTATACTTGACAAGTAAATTATACACCATAATGTCTTATGTATTATAACGTTATTTAATGTGTATCTGAATAATAGAATAATTTTACTAGGTTTTCATTCATGCATTTTCTCTACTAAGAATTTTTCATTTTATTCAAAATAATACATAGATTTTTTATAAATGAGATAAAAATTATAATTCTATTATTTCTATAACTTAAAAAACTTGTTCGTAGAATATTTTACCGATAAATTGTTGAGATTTAAAAGAACATAGATACGATAAAAAAAGAATGTATAAAAATTACATAAAATTAATTATCTGTTAATTAAATATCACAGAGTGAAGAAATTGAAGTTTGATCCTTGACAAAAAATGTAAATTAATTCATTGTAACATTATAATTAGTAGTAATATAGTCTCTATAAATGTAAATTTAAATGTTTTTCTAGTTTAATGTAATTACTCGGAATTATAAGAAATAGAATAAATAGGAAAACGCTTGATTTTTGTTTGAATAATTAACTAATATCTTTAATATTAAATTATATTTGTCATTGCTCGACTCTTAAATTTACTGATGAAGAATTTCTGATGAAGTTTTCTGAAAGAAACAGTTAAACTAAGCTTGTTTTGAATTTTTTTCATACACTCAGTAATCAAACGTAAAGTCAATAAGCAATCAAATTGATACTTAATTTTTTCCAGATTTTTTTTACATTGTTAGCTATTTCAATATACTATTCCGTTGTAAATAAATTCAAATGTATGTAGATAATCATAAATTCTTCATCAACTAATCAAGTGATTACATTGTAAGAAATAGAAGTTCTAGAACTGAATATTAGTCTTGTTCATGATCTCTTGTGGTGTAATCACGAATTTTATTTCTATAACACCATCTAACTATCATACATTAACTTCTTAATTAAATGGAAAGTCTTTTGAACTATTAGTAATGAGTTTTAAATAATTTTATTATTCAGAGTAACTTTATTATAATTAATATATTTTTTTGATATAAATATTTTTTATCATCATGAAGATTTCAACAATATACTCTGCTATGTTAATTCCAATATGCGGGTATATTTTTAATTTTTTTGTAATTGATTTCGTGGCAGCGGATTTTCCTGAAATAATGGAAAGGAATTCACCATTATATGCAATTGTTTCTAATTCGCATATCTTAAACAGTTCAAGTGTATGCAGAAATGAACTCAGCATTTTAGAAGAAGGAATTGATAATCGATTAATATGGAGCTTAAAGGGTTAGTGTAAGATCAGGTTATTATTTAAATCACACTTTCTTAAGTTCATGATAGAAATAATTCATAATAGTAATGGATATATACAATCGAATTTGGAAAATTAGAAAAAAATGCAGAATTCATTAATTTTTACTATAGTTTTGGATACGAATGGTGTACCAGAACCAGGTTTTATTACTGGCAACATTTTTTGGCTTGGCTTAAGAAGTCAATGTCTTGACTTGGGAAATCGTCGGCGTCTTGAAACTTCTCCAGAATTGTTCGAAAAATTTTCCATAGCTCATAAATTTGATGAAGAATTCCCACCTTTTGAAGTGAATTATTTTATTGCACGAGCACAGCATAATGCAACCATCCAATTTCACTTTGATAGACCATTTGAAGTAAGTGATTAGAAAAATAATTATAGATTTAATGTAACAAGTGTAGTTAAAAACATTGAATTATTTTTTCAGGACACTATAAATATTGGGCTGTGTCTTCCTAAATCATGTTCGACAAAAGAAATAAGCTTAATTTTAAAAAAGATTTTCAAGGAAAAAACATTAATATTTACTAATGTATTTTCATTTAATTTAAACCTTATACGAGTAATTAATTTTGAAAACGATTATGAGTGGCTTTATAATTGGCGTAGTATAACTGTTGGGTAAATTATTTGTGAACAGCTCTTTGATAATTAATTGTTCTTCATAATAATTAGATAATGAATTTCAGAACTATTTTAATAATTCTTTTTTTGATGATTGTTTTTGGTACAATATACGATTTTATCATTCATCAAAAACGTATAGAAAAATTCAACAGTGCAAAAAATGAAAATAATTCAGAAGAAACATGTAAATTACTTATACATTAACTTTTACATAGTGATTCTTTTCATAGAATTATAATAAGAATAATAATATTCATTTTAGATAAGCCAACAAAAGCAGAAAAAATTTTAATAGGCTTTTCTGCTTATTCAAATTCTTTACTCATATTCAATACCAAGTCTTCATCAAAAAACATTGGAGCTATTAATGGAATAAAGTCTATGAGTTTATTATTCACATTTCTCGCTCATATATGTGTTTTTTCAGATAATTTTTTTGATAATCGCATTAGGGCATTTAGATTGACTGAAGGAATGCTAGCTCAATTAATCACTAATGCGAGTTTATTTGTAGATTCTTTTTTAGTAGTTAGCGGTTTTTTAATATCTTGGAGTCATTTTAATCGACGAGAGAAGCTCAAAGAAAAGGGAAATGTTAATACTAAATTTCAATGGAATGTACTTTTCCATCGTATTATAAAAAGATTTGTTAGGTGAAGTAATTTTTGTCATTAACAGCCATTTAATTATTATTTATAATATCAATGCTCACATGAGTTTTTATAGATTGACTCCAGTCTACATGTTGATAATTGGAATTGCATGGATGTATTACAATTGGATCACGAGGAATTCTGTGTTTGAAATTAGTGAAAATCAATTAGAAACGTGTGCCACATACTGGTGGAGAAATCTTTTATACATTAATAATTTTTTTTCTTATAAAGATGTGGTAATTGATACAAATTTTTCAGCTAAACAATTATTGATGAATATTGATAGACTCTTTTATTTTCAAGTGTTTTCTTTGGAGTTGGTATTTATCTGTTGACATGCATTGCTTCATCATTGGCCAGATATTGCTTTGTTTATCAGATATGTAAATAGCTATTTTTTCTATAAAACTTTTATTCCATTATATAATCCATTTTTTAAATTAATTAATACTTTATTTATAGATTCTTTTCTTTAGCAGCAGCACTAACATGCTGTATCATGATTGGATCCATGATACTCTTTGCTCATATTTCTTACACAAACAAATATATATACACGTAAGTGTTTTTGGATGAATTTTTTATAAATTAATAGATATAACTTTGAATACACTTGACAATTATTTTTTTGTTAAAGAATGGAAGAATTAGCGAAGAAGTTTGATTTGATTTATACTCCAACATGGATACGAATTAATCCATATTTAATTGGGATGATTACAGGATATTTTTTGATAAAATTGAAAGGCAAACTGGAAATTGAAAAAGTATTTAGTTATTAGTTGTTTTATTTTGTAATTTACAAAAATATTTAATGGATTGTATTTAAAACTTCCCAATTCCTTTATAGAAAACATTATGGGCACTTTGGATTATCGGATTATTATGCATCTTTGTTGCTTTATTTGGATCAACAAATAAAAATGTGTCTTTTACAACAGCAGCAATTTACGTAGCGTGTAGTAGGACAGTTTGGGCAATTGGTATTGCTTGGATATTAGTCGCTTGTTCGACTAATCATGCAGGAATTGTGAATAGTTTTCTTTCCTTTAAATTTTGGATACCTATAAGTCGATTGACTTTGAGTGCATATTTACTTAATCCAATTGTTACTCAATCAATTTTTCTTCTTTCTGAGAGATCTTTACACATTGAAATGTTGAATTTAGTAAGAATTATTTTTCCATGTGCACTTAATTATTTAATTTAGACCATTTTTAATAATTAATCATTTTTCCAATAGATCGCCCTAGCACTTGGTGCATCATTTCTCACTTATGCTTGTGGTTTCATCATGTCAATTGTGGTAGAAATTCCAATGCTACTTTTCTTTGTCAATTGTTTGGGTCTATAATTTTTAACATTTCGAATCGATAATTTCGTGAGTTGAACAAAAATGTCAAGTATCCTATGAAAATCAATTTATTCATTTGGAATTGAAATTATTACGGTACCATTGTCAAAAGAGTCTACATAATAATTGAACTAACGAATGTAGAAATCTACTTGTACAGTTATTCATACCAAGACCCAGACTAGTTGTATTGAGCAACGTAGCAGAAGATTCCAATGTTATCGTTCTCTGTGGATACTTACTTCTTTGATGGTACAATAATTTTTGAATGATGAATACCAGAATGCTTTCCATCCAAGGATAATGATTAAATTAAAAAGAAGTAATACGTGAAATTAATTTTATTGATGAGTGTATCGTGTGAGATAATAAATATTTTAAGTATTGATTAATTGGTAATCACAATTTATTCCTCTTCTGGCTCCTCTCCTGGTTCTTCTTCGGGTTTATTGAAAAATTCTTTAAATTTTACTACATCACCATTTACAGCTTCAAATCCTGGTATTGCACTTTTCACTCTTTCTATCCAACTACTTACATTTGGATATTCTTCAAAATCAAATCCTAGTACCTGTATTTTTTATTTAAATAAATTACCATGAAGATCACTCATTATTAAATGGTATTTTAATAAAAAAGATTACTTCAGCTGTTGAAGTAGTAGCAATTAAAGTCAAATCAGCAATGGTAAGATTCTCTCCTGTGACAAAATCCTTATTTTCAAGAATTTTATTAAGAACATCAAAGCCATCTTTAAGTGGTGGTAATTTAGATTCATCAAGATCTTGTCCTTGAAATACACGTGGATACTACAAAAAAATTACGTGTAAAAAAAATTAAATAATTATTGATCAATCAAATAATACTTGCATAATAAGCTGACATAGACGAATACAGTTTTCCAGCATCAAACTGCAGAAATTGATTAACTAAAGCTCGTGCATTAAGTTCTGTTGGATAGAGATTAGAATCACTGCCATATTGATCAACTAGATACCCCATAATAGCACGACTAAAAATTATCAATAAATTTTATAATTACGTTCTAATAATGAATATGTTATTTTCATATTACCAAGTTAATTACCTTTCACTTAATTTAACATCATCATCAACCATAAATGGAATGGTTCTTTGTGGGTTCATCTGAATATAATGAAAAATTGTTAATAACGATAAATTAATTAGTTTATCAACCACTCAAATTAATATAATAAATTTACCTCTTCATATTCCTGAGTAAGATGTTCACCATTCAATATGTTAAGAGTTTTATAATTAACATCAATTCCAAGTGCTTCTATTGTCAGCATGACAGCACGACAAGGTGGACTCAGTGGTAAGTAATAAAGATCAATAGTCATTATTTTTTAATATTACTGAAATAAAATAGAGAGTAATAAATAAATTTGTTTTTCAATCTAGTTTCTTTCCAATATTCAAGTTTATTATTATACCGAAGATATCACAAGTTTTTTCCCCAGATTTAATCAGAAATTCAATTGTTTTTTTTTTGCAACAATAGTTATTATTGCTTGCAATATTAATCAAGATAACCAAATTATATAAAAAGTATTATTTAATAATTCAAAGTTTACTTACGTCTTGTTGCAGATTAGATTATATAATATTTTGAACAAGTTGTATATTTTTCTTGATGAAAAATGATTGAATTTACCTGTTTCCTTTCGTGGGAATCAATGGACTGAGGAAAGTACTATGTCACCGAAGAAAGTCGATATGTGCATACGTATTTCTAAAAATAGCTTCTCGTAAATATCCTTGGTTATAGTTGTACGATTTTTTTTTTGTTTGGTTTTAAGAACGTTTAATATTTTTATAATTTATATCTCTCCAATTGTGTCAAGCTCTCGAGAAGGAATGCAGAGATGAATTTTAAAAAAGAATTCTAACTTGAGCAAGTTAAGAAACATAAATAAAATAATGGTTCATGAAGAATAAATTTCTCTTCTTATCCACAACTTTAGAGAAAAGAATACACTTTTTCTAAATAGTGAATTCAGTTAGTAGGATAAATGCTTAATTCATTGTAAGAGTAATTAAATTGTCAATATTTTAAATATCATCAATTACTTTATATTCATTCTTTTCATGAATAATAATTCAAAAATACATTTCTCGATATCTGTTAATTAAAATTTGCAACGAAAAATTTATTACTGACACTTACTATTGTTTTAATGGCATTCCAATTTACGCTGTTAAGATTTTACTGTGGTACAAATAGTAAATTTACCCAATTTCCAATGCAAACAACTTTTTATTGGTCCTACCAATGAACATGTTAATAAATCTGTTACCGAAACTAGATTACAATTGTATTGGTAATTAATTCTAATGAATTACATTAATAGAAAAATTTCAATTTTTAATGAACTCAACTATTATCTGCTTCGTTAGCTGGGAATAATGAATTCCACGAGAATTGTTGAGTATATTAGACTAATGACAATACCTGGAGCTGAAAATTGGATTTTCCGGACATTCATAAAGCTTTCAATGTCAAATTAATATTGTGGCGGAATGTTCATTTGCTAATGCTTGAAAAATTCATTCACATTTAGGAGCAAGTCGATATTATAGTAGCACGCAAGATGTCCTCTTTAATATGAAACAGTTCTTTTTTTTCAATGAAAGATAAAATGGATTAATTGCTTTTGGATATATGAGAAAATATCAAGCTGAATGACTGTTATGATATGCTCTTTTTTTATAGATCGTTAATACTTGCTAAAAAAATAAAACTTTTTAAAAATAAACGAACTAAAAAATTATCTTTCTTAACGATTTTGTGTCATTTAGTTGGAGAAAAAAAGTAATAATTGTTCCAATGCTGAGCAATGTTTCAAGCTGAAAGATTTTACGAGGGTTCTATATAAATTTTACTAGAGACATATACAAAAGAAGATATGTGAATATAGAAGAAAAAAGATAGAGAAGGCCATCACAGAAGAATTAGTTACTCAAAGCTTACAGCGATAATGAGTTTAAATAAATTAAATGACCAAATAAAAAAGTATAAGTTACATGAGAAGAAAGTACATATAATTCTATAGGCTAAGACGTGCTTAAAGCTGTAGATAAAATGTGTGAGAGATGATATTTTGAATGTAAAGAAAGAATTTCTTCTAGGCTTTAGAGTTATCATACCAGCTAAATCAAAGTTTATTTCATCTTATCCTTTGCATCATAAATAGAATAATGAATCATTTGTAAAAGAAACCTTCTGAAGAGTGAATTTAAAAGAAATTAATGAATACTCATATTTTATACAAAAACAGTTGTAGAATATTAAAGAAAGTTTTAACATTTAACAATAAAAATTATTTATTGGATTGAAAAAGCTTCTTCAAATATTTTGTTGAAATAAAAATCAGATCAACTGTCTGTCAATTTGTCCACACAATGTTTCATGTATTCTTTAGTTGAATATCAAATGTCCTCTCTGTCAATTTAATATTTTTGAAATAAGGTTGTGGGAAAGTAGCAAAATTGATAGCCATTGACGTTTCCGAATGCTGAACTTGTTCAGAACGATAGGGCTTATAAGAACTTATAAAGTTTTCAACGATTTCTAACAAGTGACAGGGGAGCTGAGTAAACGTGTGATTCCCAAGGAGAAGAACGTGAGAATTTATAGCTTGTTGCCAGTAGGAACGAAAACGTGCCAGCTTATTTTCTACTTCTGCGTTAAACTTCTTAGAAAATATTGTTTTGTACTCGAGAATTTCATTTATAACTTACTCCAATTTTCACAAATATAAAAATAAATAAAATAAAACATTAAATTGAGTAACAAAGTCTAATAAATTCTTTTAAAAAATTTTTTATTTTAACTTTCAAGCGTAAATCATATTATTTTATTAAATACTGTGCCATTGATAGCAGAACCGACGATCAAAGTATCTTTTTTTTTCTTTATTTCTTCGTCAGAACATCAATTAAGCCTTGGAATGCTTTAAGACCTTCACCGTTGATTTCTTCGTATTTGGGTGCTTCAGACTTGATTCTTTCTAGCCATTTAGTAACATTAGCATACTTGCTTATATCGAATTTGATAAGCTATAAAATAATTCCATCATTTAAATATTCATTTGAATAATCACTAAACTCATTAATTTTATGTTGATCAATTACCTGAATATTGGTAACACTGGTAACAAGTGATAAATCAGCGATAGTCATGTTGTTTCCAGCAACGTAGTTTTGTCCTTCGAGAAATTTATTAAGTAAATCCAAGCAATTACCAATTTTTTCATACTTGGTTGGATCGTGTGGAGCACCGGCAAATAACATTGGGTACTGAAATAAAAAGAACAAGTGGTAATTCACTAACTGAACTCGAAACAATTCATTACTTCTTATTCATTTCTCTAACAAAGTACAACAACTTACATAATAGTCACCGAAAGATTGATAGACTGTACCCATATCAAAATAAAGTCTTTGGTCGACTAAAGCTCGAGCTTTTGGATCTTTAGGATAAAGAGAATCATTTTTTCCATACTGATTCGCTAGATAACATGAAATAGCTCGGCTGTAAAGCAGAAAAAAAAACATGTTGTTACTTAGAAACTTAGGCTGTAAACTTTGTTTACGAAAGTTTGGAAATTCCTGTTTTGTTTCAGGGTCTAAGACTCTGTTATACACAATAAATACTTATTAAGTTACTCGCAAATAGAGTAATAAAGTATTCAGCGATTTTAGGCATAAATAAAGGGAAGCTTTTTTTCGTATTCAAACTGGTATGCATTTGCTTAAAAAAGCTAGATAATATTATTTAAATTTAGAACAAGGAGTGACAGTTTAACAGAGAAACTGACGTTGAGAAACTAGTTTACAGCAAGTTCTTATATACATAGGATAAAACAGTTATGGGAAATATAAAATATTTATACATCTTTTATTACCTTTCCCATAATGTCAAGTCACCATCGACCAGAGTTGGCACACAATGCTGTGGATTTATCTATAACATCAAGCAAAATTAAAGATTAAGACTACAGTTATTTCATTATAAAAAATCTATACTACTTGAAAAACTTACTTTGATGAATTCTGGTTTAAGGTGCTCACCACCCGCAAGATTTAGTAGTTTAAGATTAAGATTTACACCCAAAGCTGCCGCAACCAAGCGAACAGCACGGGATGGTGAACTTCCTGGTGTGTGATAAAGGTCGATTGGCATTTTAACTTCTGAATAAGGAAAAAAAGATCAATAAGCTGATGAAGAAAAATATCTATCAGTAGGTATGAATATAATAATACATCAAGATAAATGAATTAAAGTGTGTCTTGTGTGAAGGTATTATAAATACATTAAACTAAATATATTCTTCCTTTCACTAGACCTTCAACTGTGCAAATATTATCATGGTTATGTAATATTTACCTCGTACTAGTATTCTATGAATTCTATTCTAAACATAGGTAAATTTTATCTCTCTTTGAAATTGTTTTTATTAGCGCTCCATCAAAACTTTGGTGACTATCAAATTCTAACACTATTTTGACTGTTCTTATCTTGAGATCAGTTATCAAAAGTAATCTTCTACAATTAAAAATGGTTTCTTTTAGTCAGCAAATAAGGGTTATTATTATGTTCATGTAACCTTGAACAGACGGATATTTTAGTCAGCCTTGAAATAGAGAATTTTTTATATCTAATTAATGAACCAAATCATGGCGACTTTTATTCACAATCGTTAATGATAAAAAAATAATTTTTAACTGGAGAATATCAAATAATGTTATGTAGAGAAACTGAGACACACATAAATTTACTCCCATAAATAATCTAATTTTTCAATTAATGGATTCATTGAAAAAAAAAGTTCCAATATTAAATCAAAGTCTGAAATTTTTCCATGAATGTTTTATTTTTAAAAACTAATAATTGTGAATGAAAATTTGATTTATTAAATTTTCGCTGAAAAAAACAACTTGGTTAAAATAATCTTTACTTTTATAATTCAATTGCGTTCATTCATGTACGGTCATTGACCACTACAGTTTTCTAGTTCTGAGTGTTTTTATTTTGTTAGCATATTTCAAATGAAAAATTTACTGTATAGTTTTTAATTTTAGTTTTAAAATTAAACTATCAATTGACTGCTGTAATTAAAATTGCAAATTAAAGCATTTATGATAATTTAAACTGACCTATCCAATGCTTGAAACAAAATTATTAGTCATAACTAAAACTGCATGTTATTATCAATAAAAATAATGGCATACCTTTATTTGCAATGATAAAACGTACTGTCAACTAGACCACTCCTCAACGTTGGTATCGCAGTTGAAGACTAAGTGGGATTACAGTTCTCGTAGAATGAAGTACGTATACTGTTGGATCATTACCACTTCTCTCTAATACAACCTCTGCGTCATATAATATAAGCTGTGTTAGAAAGTAAGTTTGCCACACGGAGTACAGTATCCATGCAAGGGGAATAGTTGAGTCAAGTGGGAGAAAACCCCACTTTAGTTGACGATCTCTAGAATTCTCGGTAACTTTAAAGTAAATGAAGGAAAAATCGTAAAACTAATAATATTATTCACTATAAACACGAATTGATAACTTACTCATCAGTACAACTAGCATGACTTGAGAAAAAAAAATGCAAGTCATTTATGTGTCATGTTGAACAGGGTAAAAAGTGAGATAATATTTTTTTTGTTTGATAGAAGAATCCCTTGATCGATAGATGTTGTCGAGTTCAAAGTATCCATTTTCGATAATTATGAAAAAGATTATTGCATTTTATTAACTTCCCATAAGAAAGTTATTGTAATGAGTTTGATTTTTAAAATTCGCAATTTTGTTGTTTCCGGACGTTTTAAGACATTTAAAAACATATGAGAAGTTTCTAAAATGTATGTATGTATGTGTGTATGTACGTGCGTGCATATGTCAAGTTTTTTTTGTTTTCAATATCTCGAGAACCACTGAAGATATCAACTCCAAACAAAGTTCATTCGAAAGATAATACAATGAAGAAGATCTGAAAAAAGTTTTGACAAACTCGGTCCAGCCAGTTTTTTTTTTAATAAAAAGAGTGTGAAATAAGTTGAATAAAGAAGAGATTTGAAATAGATTCTACTTATTAAGTGATTAATATGGTCCAAAACTAGTGTCAATACAATATGGTTATTAATAACTTTACATGATTCTAAAGAATTATTAAAACTTTCAATCTTTTATAAACAAAAAAAATAAAAGATAAAAAAATAACGGATTTCAATTAATGGGAAGTTCGTCTTCAAAATGCAAACTAAGCGCAGATTCCTTTTTTTTAGTTTTCTCATTTCTTTTAATGTATGATATTTTGAAAGAACTTTTAAAAATACTTGCAGAAGTTAAAATTTTTATTACTTACTATTCAATTCGGTCTAGATAAAATCATAAAGTAGATGAATAGAAAAACTATAAGTGTATTCTTAAAAATTATTCTTTTAGCGATTCCAAAGTGTTTCGACAAAAGTTTATATCGTAATTTGTTCATCGCTTTTGAACATTTGGAATAAAGATAAAAACTTTTGTTTTTAGATACGAATAATAAAGATAAAAATCACGGATTAACAGATAAATATAAAATTCAATGTTTGAAAATATACACAATCATGATCAGCTTACGGAAATAAAAGTTTTTAAATTTGATTGAAAAGTTAGTATACTAACCGTAGAGAATTGATTATTTATGTAAATAATAAACTTGGTTAAAAGAAATATTTAAAGAATTAAGCACAAACATTTGCATATTTCTTTTTAAATACTTCCATCAATGAATTGAAGAAATATCAATATATTTTCTTGATTATAATTTTTTATAAAAATAACTAATTGTTTACCTTTTGATATTGTCCGGATATTTTTATGATTTTTAATAACCACTTGCAATTAACATGTTTAATGATTATTTTTACATTTTTATCTTTCCGGGAAATGCTGATTAAAATCCAAGTAACAATGATTTAAATAAAATTAATCCATCAATTCAATTTTAAGTCGTGAATTCATTAAATGTTTTTTACCATTTTCAGGACTATTGTCTTCTATTTACAAGAAAGAAGATTTTTCCCTTTTTTCACGCTTATTTTGTCGTTTTTATGCCACGTCATTGTTGAGCAATTTTCCGAATAGCAAGGAATTACGAAATCGTTTAGCATTATGTCGTAGAGACGACGAGAGATAAAAGAGAGAAGCATTATTGTTTGTGTGTCCGTAGCGTATCCAATCTAATGGATTCGCATGAAGTATAAGAAAGCTTTCAAGAAGCTTTTTAATTTGTTCATTTCTGTAGAAAGCTTTAAAATATAATTATTTATTAAACGAAGAAATAAACTTGTTGAAACACAAAATTAGTTTTAAAGCAGCCAATTAGAGAATAAAGATTGCTTTTGAATTTTCAATGATATAATACTCTACTTTTTATTTTCTGCAAGAAATATAGTAGGAAGGAAACGGATATGACCACTTCTGGTTATGACAGTGAGCAAACTTGATACTAGCATTGACCACTGCAGTACATATATAGCAAGCATACTACTACCACGCTTTTATGTCATGATATATATATATATATCTTTGTATCTTTAGGAAAAAGGGATAATATTGAATGACTTTTTCTATTTTATCTTGTTTTTTTCATTCACAAAAATTTTATTATTTTTCTTAGAGTTTTTAGTTCAACTCAAAAACAGTTGAGTTAGAATTTAATTGTGCTTATAAGAAATTACTTGAGAATAGTATTCTCTTAAAATAGGTCAAAGCAATTTGGGGTTTTTTAAAATAAAGTTTGTTGTAATTTTTTTCAAATCATCATATGGTTTTTTTTAACCATTTCCGGATAATACTCTCTTCGGTAATTGAAATGAAATTTTTCATTTGTGTGTTTTATGCTGAGGAAAGAATTCATGTTGCAAAAAAATTTAGATTGTATATTTTATATAGAATAAAATAAATATCACTAAAAAATTTACATATGCAAATGTGCAACATATGCAGATGACTATATTGATGCGAAAAAATTATCAAGCTTTGATGAATTTTAAAGTATTTTAAAACTTCGACTTTTTAATTTTTAAATAATACCTTGAACTTTAATAAAAGTTATATCGTAAAATCAATCAACTCAAGAAAAAGTTACTCAATCATTCAATAATAATAAAATCAATCTTGCAGTAAATCAAGGTTTTATGAAAACTGAAAAACCAGAGATAAAAATATTAAACATATAACTAAAAATCATTATAAAAAATAAAACACACTATCAATTTAATTTTAACTTGAATTAAAAATTATGTTGAATATTTATTTAATACATATTCTAGTATGTGTCAAGTAATTTATTCAATTTAGCATAAATAAACTATTTGCTCCGAATAATCTTCTTAGAACTCATTGTGAAATTGATTTAACAAATGATGAGCTTGAATTTTCTAATAAATTAAGTCAAATTAATGTTTAATTAATGTTTTAAACTAACGAAATATCTTAAATGTCGTTAGAGAACTTTGGAGTAGTTCAGGATCTTGTTTTAGTATTCACATGTTGACAAATAAAATATAATTAAACAACTTCCAAATTAGCACGGAACCATTCTCCTAGTGCTTGAGCTGGAGCGTTAATTTCTTCATACCCATATTTTTCAAGGGCTTCTTGGCATCGTTCAAACCACGAAACAACGTTTTCATATGGCGAAATATCAAAGCCAAATATCTAATGCAAATATTAAGTTCACATACAGATGTGTTTAATATTCAAATGAATAAGGATTATTTGAGTAGAAATAAATAAATTAAATATTTAAATCTCACTTGCGCCATTCCAACAGACATAACCATAGAAAAATCCGCAATCGTTAAATTTTCTTCAGCTGCGAATTCTCCGTTACTTAAAAGTGCATTTAAAATCTCAAATCCTCTCTCCATGCTTTTGACATCTTCTTCATTTATAGCATTTGTCATTTTAAATACGACTGGAAACTTCAACAAAGACAAAATATTAGTTTTGTTAATCCTATTGTATAGACTGAATATTCTTTTAAACAATTATCATATCATACTTTAAACTCATTTATTAATAATAAAATTCATTTATTACAGAAAAAAAGAATTATAATTATTATTTATCATGTTGATGCGATGTAAAATACTATTTTGAAAAATAGTTTCTTTTATAACGAATATGTTTAGTAAATTGTAATGTGCTTTTATAATATCAAATTCAATAAGTTTAGAATTTCTTTCAATTATACATACGTAAGTCTTTGCAATTCGAGGCCAAAGCGTGCATAAATCGAAATATAATCTATCATCAACAATGCCCTTTTTCTTTGGATCTGTCGGATAGAGAGAATCATTTTTTGCATATTTATTCACAAGGTATCCCATTATAGCTCGACTGTGAAGAAAATAATCAAATAAATTTTTATGAACAAATAGTTTTTTCATTTATCAGATATCATTTGAGCAATATTTCATATACCTTTCTGATAAAATCAAGCCATTATCATCAATAGTTGGTATTGTATGTTGCGGATTCAACTGATTTTATTTGATGATAAAAAAAAATTAGAGCTGTTCAATTTTATTGAGCCAAAAAAAATAGCTACCTTTTTATAGTCGTCGGATAACTGTTCCCCTTTAGTAACGTCTATTATCTTATAGTTCAAATGAACACCTATTGCCTTAGCTAGCATCATTACTGCTCGACATGGAGGGCTTACCGGCAGATAATAGAAATCGATTGTCATTTTGTATTACTTCAAGTTCTTCGATCAAGTTCTAGGTCGTGGTATTAAAGAACAAAGGAGTTTTTTCATTAAAGAAAAAGCAAAAAAGAAAAAATTTTAATAAAAAAAAGGTTAACGTAATTATTTTGAAATTCCGTCAACCGTAACAAAGGAAATAGTTTTTCGTGCTTGTTTGAAAACTAATTATTTTTACGTGAATGATTTTTACTCACGTATAAGAATATTTGTTGGCAGGTGCGTTGATTTTTGAATTGTAAAGGCTTATTCAGTGATAGACAAAATAAAATACGTTGTTTTATAACAATTGAAATATCGGTTCACGAACACGTTCAGGGATTCAAGTATACAAGTATACAACGTGAAATGAATTCACATTGTGTTGTGGTACATGCAAACGCAAGCGCAAAGTAACCATGACAATGTTGACAAACAATGAACCAGCAAGATTGGAAGCATTGGAATTCGTGGTTCATCAGTTACAAAAATTCTGCTAAAACTATACAAACAGATAATTAAACACTTTACAAAAGCTTCAGAAAACAAACGTTCATTAACTTTTTTTGCTATTTATACGATTGAATACAAAAATTAAAATTAATTCGTAATTTATGTAAAAGAGCCTGTATTTGTGTTCAGTCTTTGACTGTATCATTCCTCGTAATATACTGGTTATATATGTAGGAGGATGAAAAATGAATGTTATGGAAGCAAATTTGTAAGGTTATTTCATCAAGAAGATATTCATTTTTATCTTCTATGATAATCACTATGATTAAAATAACACGGTTAAAAAATAATAGTTTTTTGCACTTTTATTCGTTTATTTATTTTTATATTTTTTTATATATAAACTCTAATGCCTTACTCAATTCCTATCTTATCATAATGCCTTCAACTACCCCTACTCATTTCTTCCTCATTTAAGCCTGCCCTAATTCTTGATCTATGATCATAAGCCCAAATGATGTTATTTATTTTTAAATTTTAAAACTTACTTATGTGTTACTTATTTTTAAATTTCAATTTTTTTTTTTAATATTTCAAATCTACTCATTTACTTTACTACTCTCCCTCAAATTTTTACTTCAAGTTATTGGAAAAGTTCGCATAGTCAAACATGTCATTAGAGAATTAATTTAAATAGCGAATTTACTCATAGATTTGAAGGAATTTGTTAATTCATATCATTATGATTAACTTTCTAAGAATGTCAATATTAGTGTATACAATTATTTGAAACATTTTAAAGTTATAAATAACAATACCAATGTATGTTTAGTTGGTTGGAAATGTATCATATAGCCCAGAATAATGCAAATACTTGATAAATAATCTTGAAATAAACCTTAACAACTTTTTGATTAACGTTTATTCGGTATCGCAGATGTAAATAATGAATAGACCAGGAAACCAGCATGAATTGATGATAACACAGGCATTTCGTAGGGTGTTGAAAACCAGTTAACGCCCCAGCCAAAACCAGTACACGCTTTTATAAATGGTTATAATGGAATTTCAGAGTTAATAGCTGGTAACTTTTCGTTGATTGTATTTCTGTAAATGCATTTATGTGTACACATAAATATATTGAATTGTTCATGTGTATGTATTGTATAATTGAATATGCCCCATTACTGAGTATCCGTATATGACATTGAGGATAACAATTCTTGCTTACAGTACGATTGTCATGATTTTTAATTACCAATGTTGGATTAATGTAAATACTACTATGTATGTTATAACATTCTAAAATCTATAAAAGTTGAGATATATATTTGTTATCGTTGAATGTTGGATGGTTGTCACCATAACTTAACCACAAATGTCAAGCTGATGCTACAAAATTGTTCCACTTTTTTTAGTAGATACTTGCAGATATTTAAGTCAGTTATGGTAGGAAAAAAGTAGTTCTCAAGTTTAGAAAAGTTTTTGGTCAGATGTACAAGATTCAATGAGTCTTTTCAGGTTTTCTAATCGATGTAGTGGTAACAGGTGAACGCAAACAGGTGGTACCATGATTTTCGTTGATTCAAAATAAATTCAAATATTATTTTATAAAAAATTATCTTAAAAATTTCAGTCTTAAAATCTCTAAGCCAAAAATTTATTTTCAAAACAGCAATGAAATAAAACAACAAAGAAATAAATTGAAGACCATGTTATCTGGTTTTCCTAAGATCATTCAATATTTACTGAATGTTTGCCTTTACTATCTACAGTATTAGACACTTGGTGTTGAGTGTTTGAAGTAAAACGGAATTGTTCTACAGTTTTACGAAAACCATAGGTATAAATGTATTTATTTTTGTCGCGGGAACATGCAGGTGCGATGTATTCAGTAATAAAGGACTACGATACTGAGACCAATGAAAATAACTAGAAGACAGTCAAAGCTGTTGTCACCGTATATACACCGACACTTTCTAGCTTTTGTACGATTTTCAGTAGTACTTTTTATTGACTCAAACACCGTGAGCTCCTTCTTCACATTGTATTCGCTTCGTTTATAACATTCCTTGTCGCAATTTATTTTTATTTCTCATAACACAAAACGAAAGATATATTAGCGTTTAAACCCTCACTTCTTGTTTGTGAAACATAAAAATATCTTGAAAAGATATTGGATTAGAAGACACAATGACATTCTTGATTTGCGATTTACGAAAACCGTTAGAACAATGTCAAGAAGATACAATGATATATAGAAGGGAGAGAAAAAGAGCAACAACAAAAGTACTATACACGGATAGATGAAAGGGGTTGTGACGGTGGGTAATAGCGCAGTCGCGTTAGTGGAACCACCCTGAGGTCTACTCTATGAACAAACGTTGAAGATTCAGTAGTTGACTCGTGTAGGCTACAACATTAACACCTCACACTGCTTCACATGTGTTGAAAGTCTAGTTCAAAGAAATTTTTCAAACATTAACAGAAAAATTCCAAATTCTTTCTCAATAAAATTATTTAAATATTATTAAATAATTTTTGTTTTATTCTAAATAAAATTTTTATTTAATCTTTTGAATTTTCATTATTTTCCTTGACTACTGAGCTGAAAATTCTGCAGATGACGACTTCTTTACAAAAAATTAAATAAAACATAAAAGTAATAAAGGGAATAAAAAACATTAATGTAAAATACTAGAGAAATGTATAACAAAACGCAAAAAAAGACGGAGCACTAATTTTTTGTCTGCAAGGGTGTAGAAGAATAAAAAGTGGTATGAAAAGTGGCTATTAATGTGAATTCGTTATTTTCGTGAAATGTGACCAGTATCTTTTATGTTCAATTAATCAGTAATTCTTTGTGATATGGATCGTGTCCAATGTCATTTTAACTAAAAGGATTTGGTAATTGATATAAATCAGATATACCTTCCCATGATAACAACAATACATTAGTAATGAAATACAATCTAATAGTAATGAGCAATAATTCACATGATTATTTTGTAAAATGATCGTTTAAATATGATTGACGATTTATCTTTTAAATTATTCATATTTATACTTGTTGCTTGAAATGGAGAAGCAGGACACTATTTGACTACATAGATCGTTGATATATATATGGAGGTATAAGCTGTCTAATAGTTTTATTATAGAAATGAGGCATTCCGAGTAATTACCCCCATAATATCGTTAATCAGCAGATTATGCAGACACTTGGAGTCAATTAAACATGATCGATTAGTTTTATCTAACACATTGCTCTATTTTTTAATGTAATTTTTTTTAAAAATTCGCTAAAATTAGTTAATCGTGAAAGGAAAAATCAATTAGTTAACCAAGCAGACAAATTCGATAGAATTGTAAACCTATTAGATTACGTGCCTAGCCAAACTAACTCAGAGTTACAACTAATGGATCCGTCCTGTTGCTAGTTCGCTTGTGGTCAAACTAGCTAAATCACTTAAGTATTGTTATTCTTGTTGCCAAAAGTCTATATATACATATACACTCATTCAGTTGATTTCTCTTAGTTGCTTTTTCACTTGATCAGAAAGTGATTAGTAATAGGTAATTACTCGCTCATCGTCTCCTTGGGAATCGCTTCTGTGAAAATTTTTTTCTGCCACTTGAGAAATAATAAAAAGTGCTGACGATGATAAATTTCCGTTCTTCAGGATTTTAGTCACGAAAGTATCGCTCTCAAGTTTCTAGATTTCTTATTGATTTTGCTAACACTTGGATATTGTTATTCGGACCAGAAACGAGCTACTGTGGAGTCCAAGTACTTGATTAAGTAGGACTTGAAAGTTTTTGATGACTTCCGGTTAAGAAATGTTTTGGTGTACCTTACACTGTATGCATATAATACTCATGCACAGTTATACCTCTTGCATTAACTTTGATTGCCTCTTTAACATGCAAACTTTGGTTGTGTCTGTTTCTGCATAAATATGTTTCCCAGATGCTTTTCAAGCTTCACATTCATGTTATTAATGAAGTTTACCTGTTCGTTCCTTCAAGCTGAAACAATTTTTGGTGTTTTTCTTTTGAACAAATTTTTTAAAAATAATACATTCAATCAATTTTTAAAAACATTATTTCATGTCAATTTCTTTGAAAAAAATACTACCATTTTTTCTCACCATCTTTCTAACTTATTTAAACTTTTTTACTCTTATTAGTGTTATTTCGTAGTTGTAAGAAATAAAAGTTAATCAAAGGAACCGGGTAACAATTTTTTTTGTAAAGAAATCAATGGAATTTTTTTAAATAATTCCATTTATAGTAAACTTATATTAAATGAGAAAGTTAATTTATCATGACCTATGAAAATTTTTAATTAATTCAAAGTAACAAAAGTGGATTGAAGTATGGATATCAAAGCGCAGAATTTTCTTAATTAATTAAAGAAAATTTCAACATAGATTTTATCATACTCCAACGATTTTATATGAGTTTACTAAGAAAGATTATTTTTGATGAGTAACTTTATAAGACAAAAAAAATAAAAATAATTACTTTTTATTGTCTTTTCGCATTTCCTGATTACTCGTTCCAATTTTTATCACGCGAAAATGCAATATAAAATCACTGAGTTTATTATTATTTTATAAAAAATTAATCATTTTTAAGAATTTTAGTATTAATTTTACTAGTTGAGTAATTAACGATTAATGTCATAATAAAATGTTATTAAATGGCGGATAAAATTAGCATAATTACGGTTCCTAAAAATTTAAAGAAAAAGTTCAATTTTTCTAATGAACTTGGTAATTATGAAAATTTTTACTGCTATATAAATTTTTCTTTTATATGTCGTAGATCATTTAACTCGGTGCGTGCTGCATTAGATAAGAGTCATGTTCGTACATAAAAGGAATATTAAAGTCGGGTTAAACAATATTTTCATTTAATGACGATTTTCATATTTTTTTCACTACGATAAAAATAGCACATTCTTGAAAAAAAATGTGTGCGCTGATGTTAGTTAAGTTCTTGTTCACCACAGTAACATGTCACTAGAAATTATAGCAAAACGATTAATCAGAGGGAAATGCATGCATAACAATGTAAAAAAATTTTTTTCTCCTCTAAATTCCAGTTACATGCTTCAAAATAAGCTGAATATTAATAATTCCCGGTATTTGGGATACATAATGGCTAACCATTAAGCTGCATCTGTATTGAGCAAAAAAATAAACTATGCCCTATGGTCATATGCTTAATATCAAACCGCTCCACCTATTAATTAAATATTCTCAACATTCCATGCATTGCTAAAGTATTATTCAAAATTATTCAATAAAGAATTGAATACAAAATTCAGCTCTTAAAAAGCTTTACTTGTTTTTATTTCTGCAAAGATAATTTTTTAAAACACATCGAAACATTCCAAATTTTTTATCCCTCAGAGAGTCAGGCTTAGAACTTCCACTCTTTGATGATGTAGAATTTTATAAATAACTCAGCAACGATTCAAGTGACTTCAATAAAAATTTTATCAACTTGGAGTGACTTTAAAGTACTCCAGCAATCAAAATCATTCTATTGGCATCAAGATATCGTTAGATAAAAATTTTAGTCGAATTTATTTTTTCAATATTAATATCTTGAAAATAATAAAATCCATTTGTACTTTATCTTTTTTTTTTATACATTTTGAAAATTTACCGTTATTGTTACGGTTTTCCAGTGTAATTTTATCCGATTTACTGCTATGACTATTATAAAAAACCAAATGGCGGAACGAAGCTTAATAATTCCACTTACAAACATTTTCACGAGTAGTATTACCTGATTTTGGTCCGACATCTCTTGATGTTTCTTTTTTTTTCTATTTCTCGTGACTGAAATTTTCCCGAAATACCATCGATATGAAGTCATAATGATGTGATGTGCATTGAATGAGCTTACGTTAATCAGAATTACCAATTCAAGCTCAAGCATCAGTGCATACTAGTATATTAGTAGCATGTTGTAATCGAAATGAATGAATTATTAGGAAGTAAAATCCGATATGAAAATAAATGTATACACTGTCTAGAATTAATGCTGAAAATTTTAAGATCAGAAAGAAAGTTTTACAAATTTATGATAATGCTAAGATATACGAAGACTTTCAATTTTGCAACTATACTTTAGCAACATACTGTAATCGGATAAGCCAATATCGTTTTGTGGTAGTTGATAGAAGATAGTTTGGAACAACTTGTAGTTTAACAACCAGGAAATAGCAGGTGCGTCAATATATAAGAGGTATTTTGATCCAATCCCGGAAAATTCCCGCGTGTTGGAATATGGTGGTTGCATTAGTAAAGTAGATATAAACCGATGTATTATTGGTGGTTGAGAATCAAATATTCACGTAATATTCCCAGAGGGGCAATTGAATTTTGTGATTCTACATGGGTTAGTACATCAGTCATGCAATATTTCATTATAAAATTTTAGTTAGACAAACTTGAATGATAGGTAAACCTTTTTCGATATTTTCTTGTTATTCAAATGCTTATGTACATAGATTTCAATTTATTCTGTAAATATACAACATTCACGTACCAATATTTGTGTGTAGAAATTTATTTTTCAACTTTATGTTTTCGATTTTTTTTTCATACATATCTGATATTTTTCTTGCATTACTCTTTATTGTAATGGAACATCAATTGAACATTGTTTATAGGACTGACTTGAAATGATGATACGACTAAACTTGATGCTTTTATGTTCTTTTATGGTTCATGGAAAGATTGGTAAGTCATGTGAAAAAATGTTGATGTCATTGGCATTATTATTATTATCATTATTATTACTATACTTATAAGGAAGAATGGAGCATAATAGTCTTTTTAGATTCCATAATTTATTTTATTTCTATAAAAAAGATTATTCCCCCGTTTTTCATCCTAGAAAAATATCATTAGTGATTCATTTGTATTTTTTTGAAGAAGAAGAAGAGTTAAAATTCTAAAAAACTGTAATGTGCATTTATAATTTTTAAAAAATTAATATTTTTACAATAAAATGTTGTTTTTATTTTATGACAATTGTAAGTTCAGCAATTTCTAAATTGGGTAAAAATTTACTCTTGAATATAAATTATTTCTTTGAGACATTTTAAAGAAATATTTCTTTGTTCCAAGTATTCTTTATTGAAATAAAATATATTCATATCCACATGAATGAATTTTTAAGGTAAACATTCAGATTTTTTACAAATAACAAATAGACAAAATGAGTAAATATTTCTTTGTGGCTAAAAAAGAATGTATTTTCTCTACAGCTGAACCTACTAGTGTTCTTCTGTATGCATATAAACAAAAAAAAAATCATTTGTCATAAATAAAAATGTGCTCTAGTAACAAATTTTTATCTCAATGCATATTTGCAACCAGACTAGTGTTTTTGCATGATTTTTCGCCCATTGTGGTACTATTTATTTTTAGGTTTAAAGTCACTATAAATTTACATTCATTACAGGTTATTTCTGGCATATTACCGATTTCCATTATGATCCAAAATATTCGTCTGAAAGCAGCACCGGGAATAGTAAGTCTCAGTTTACTCATTTAAATCATTCTCATCTTTCTCCTGCTTTTCTTCACTGGGTTTCATATCTCTACTTTTGCCTATTAATACTTACCCTGAAGCTTTTCGCGTTTCAGAGCTCTCTTATCCAAACTTCAACGACTACAGCTGTGTTTACTCGTTGAGTAAATGACACCCTTCGACCTTACTTTATTTTTCTTCATTTCAATCTAAACTCTCAATCTTTCTCACCCATCTAAATATCTACATAAAGTCAAGCTTCTCAATATTGAACAATTTTGGAATAAGCTCTTACGGCTATTACATGATTTTTAATAGATTTGGTAAAAAAAAAAAACTCTTGTTTTGTAACTAGTTTTGACTGTTTGTTCATCATACTGCTTTGAGTTTTATTTTCTTCAAAAAAAATTAAAAAAGCTTTTTACTTTTTTCATAAAAAAAACGAAAAAAAAATTTCATTTTTCTACAAAGGAGATTAGAAAATGTTACAATATAATAACAATTTTAAATTACCTATATTTTCGTTATCTAATGCAAATATTAGACATGAAAGTATTTACTTACAGCATGTTGGAACACGAGAACAAGAGTTGAAGATGGACGAATCAAACCAGACCGCAAAGTAGCTGGAATATTTGGCAACTATAGTTGTGATTCGCCTTGGGCTTTGATTGAGTCTGCTGTACGAGCCATGAAATCGAAACAGGATGAGGGTGTCGAGTTCGTCTTGTGGACAGGGTTTGTAATAATTAATGGCTATTAATAAGTGGTAGATATTGTAACATACTTCAAAGTTGATTATTTAAAATAATTATCTAAATTTTTTGCATACATTATTTTGTAAAATTATGAAGACTATGATTTCTAATTTAAAAAGAATTTGTGTTTCACTTATACAATTATTTATGGTGATGCAAAAATCAGAGATGAGCAGACCACCTTTTAGTTTATGATAAACTTTGAAAGCTTTAGTAAAGTTAAAAAATGTTGGATTGAATTTGAAGGCAACGTTTTGAAACTTGTGCTTCGCCCTTTTATTTGCTCTTCGATGTTGCGTTGTGCAAATTTTTTTTAACCAAGTTACCAACCGTCAAAGTAGAGTACACCTTCACTCTAAATGTCTGTAACTCGTAAATGAATAATCATGTGTAACAATTATTTGAATATTGTTGGTGAGCTAAAATTTTCGTCCAAAATAATTTCAAGTTTATTAAAAAAAAAATTGAATTGTTTTAAATATATTTTTTTTAAGCCATTGTTTTGTTCATTTTTTTTTCATACTAATTGTTAAATGAGAAAAAGTATGAGTCATTAAAGTATTTTACCTTTTTAAAGTGGAGAGTTTCTTAAATACTCACGTGAAAAGTCCAGTTGCCTAAATAGTTTGTATATTCCAGACTTGGAAAATTTAAATTTTTATCAAGCTTGAAATATTAAACAAAAATAACAAAAACTATTTGTATATAGGAAATGCAATTATTTATTAAAAAAGATTTATTAACTTTCCATCAGAAAATTATTATAATTGGGTCGATTTGTGAAATTTGAATTTTTATCATGTCTCGACGTTTCAAGATATTTGTAAGCATACTGACCAATTTTCAGAATGATATGTGTACGTATGTATGTATGTATGAATGTATGCCTGTACGGATGTCAGCATTTTTTTCGTTTTCGATATCTCAAGAACAGATCGAGATATCAGCTTTAATCAAAATTTATTCGAAAAATATTATTATAAAGAAGGGTCTAAGTAAAATTTAAACTACTTCAGTCATTTGTTGTAAACAATTACTAATGGGAAATTTGTCGTGTTAGCACAGACATAGTGTGCTCAATCCTATTTTTTTATTAAGTTAAAATATTATTCGAATAATGTCAAGTTATTTCATAGTTTTATTATAAATGGGATTTTGTTAACAAATGATATGATACAGAAAAAAGAGACATTGAATTTCTACTCACAATGTCTCAATTTTTACAACTTGATAGCTTGAATGATAAGATTTAATGTCGAACAAGTACACTGCAAATCCCAGTTTTACAAAATGCATTATTTTAATGCATACGTTAAATATAACGTCATCCATTTAATTAACATTGTAGTCACTTTTAACGCATTTCTAAGTGTGTACAAAGTGACTACAATGTTAATCAAATGGGTGACGTCATATTTAACTTACTTATCCGCATTAAAATAATGCATTTTGGAGAACTGAGATTCTCAGTGTAGAATACAGTCAACATCAGTTATGTTCTAAAATCGGGAAATTTTACAATTTAATACCTTATTATAACTATAAAACTCAACAGCAACTGTTTATGCTTATTATTCATGATGTTATCATTATTTGATGCAGGGACGCGTTAACTCATGCTGCAGAAATGAGTGAAGAACTACGACTACAATCTTTGAAGAATCTCACAGATTTATTGTCCCATACATTTAGTACACAATTTGTATTCCCAGCATTGGGACATGAGGATGTTGGATTGAACTTCAGCCAGACCGCAATTCTCTGGAAACACTGGCTCCCAAGCGAAGCTCTTCAAACCTTTGAAAAATGTTCGTACTTGCAAATGAAGGCAAAATTTTTTTTTTTCATTCATTTTCTTCCTCTGTCTCTTTTCGCATATGCATTGTCGTCATAATTCACATTTTCTCAGCTGTGTTCATAAAAAAAAAAAAGAAAGAAAGAACATAAAAATGTAGAAGTCTTAATTTGTTATGCATAAATTTAAGTTTAACCAGAGAATAGTGAACTAAAGTTTTCTGTAGCGAAATAGTTTCAACTTGAATATATATCTAAATGAAATAAAATTGAAACTAATAGCGAATTTTTGCTCTATATATTTTTCGTATACGATATTTTCTTATTTAAAACTTATGAAAAATTGGTTTATATAATCTATTTCTTTTAGCTGGTTTCTACGTATTCGAACAAAAGTCTAAGAAATATCGAATAATTTTGCTGAATACAAATCTCTGGTTAGACACGGATTCAAGTGTAGACAGTCGCATTCACCAACATCAATACCATCAACAACAGAGGATAAATGGAGGTAGTACGACAAGGAATTCAAGTGACCCACACAATCAATGGCGGTGGTTTGAATCTATCTTACGAATAGCCAGAGAAAAATCAGAAACTGTGAGTATTTTAGTAATGATGTGAATAATAAATGTCTTTCGTATTATTGTCATTTCACGTCAGGTTAGCACCATTATTAAGTTCGTAACACAATCATAAAATAGAACAAGAAAGAATAATTGATTAATTTTATTTCCGTCAGTTGTAGGATTTAATTAGAAAGAAAAAATAAATAAAGTTTGAAAAGATTTTTGGCACGATGACAAAATAGGTTTGGTATGTCAGAGAGGATCTTGGGGTTGGTAAGGGCAAACATGAGGAATATTCTACGAGCGCGCGTGACAGCCGAACATAGGCCACTGTAATCTGCTTTAATTCGGGGCGAGGTTCTTATTCTCGGTGGCGAAGTGCCCATTTGTCTTGTTCGGAAGACCATTCTTAAACTGTAGTGAAATGATAAGTGGCTCGTTATCGCTTATCTCCCGCTGACTTTGCACAACTTCTTATCACTTATCACTAATCATTTTAATTACATAGACAATGCAAGATCCAAATTAAAAATGAATTATTTCATTTACTCGCTTTCATTTTATTCGATTTATTAACATCGTACTTCTCACTAATTTTTTATGTGTTTTGTTGGTAGTAATTAATTTGATTATATTGCCGTTCATGTCAAATCAGATAGATTTAATAAAACTATTTATGATTGTTTTATATGAAAAATCATAATAGAATGTATTTGATAAATATTATTGGTTAGAATTGATATCAACGACTGCAATTACTATAAATGTTGATGAAATTGGTTTTTCAATTTATTTCGTTGCATTTAATTGGAAAAATTATTCAAATATGTTATGTGAATATATATAAAGGATTTTTTTAAATTCTACTTTCAAGTTTTAATTAGCTTTCAATTTATTTTTAACTTTAATATATTAAATAGAGTCGGCATTTGGTCGATGCAAACTTTTTCATCTTTTGTATGGTCACATTTTATTAGTTCATTTATATATACCGTCAAAAAAGAAAAGATACAAATTTTAAGCTAATTAATTAATAGACAGTATTTTCTGTTATATAATATGTACTATCAATTAGAAATTTATATAACTATAATGATGATGTATCTGTAGACTTTACAAACGTATTTTGCTTATAATAGTATATCAGATTTCACTCACAATAAAGCATGCTTTATTGAACATATTAACGTACTAGAATCAGACATTTACATTATATGTAATATACAATTATCATTACACGTGCGGGGAAACTACTACTATTCCGCACGGGTTTGAGTGTGGAAACTCCCTGATTATCCATTGTAAGGCTTGTCAACAATAATCCACGGGTAATTTTGAAAAACTTGTTCTACACGCGCACATATTGAATGCCCGGCCCCCGCAGATCCCCTGTTCCGCGCCCACACACACTCCCATCCATTCCCGCCTTAGTGAACCCTTTGCCGCACTTGTGATAAAAAAATAGAATGTGCAACTAGAGTAAAAACTAGCTGATGCCCATGATGGCAGTTAACGCACTTACTTCGCTCGTGCGTCTAACACTGCCATTGTGGACAATCAACTAGTTTCCACTCTAGTTGCACAATATACTACTATATCTTTTCATGCTACTATATTATTCGATTCACATTTGAATTTGTAAACAGATTTTTCATTAAATATCAGTTTATTGAATAAAACGTTTTTTTTTATATAACCACACTATATCAAAGATTGGATTAAAAGCGATATTTAAATGCTACAAAAATGCTCATTCGGTATTTAATTATTTTGATTTAAAATATTAAAAAAAGTTTGTTTTTTTATAATTTTTATTAAAAAGTTTTTACTTATAATCCATTGTCAATAATTTATTAACAATGAACATTAGAGCAGTTTGTTTTTAAATACTTGATTGAGAGTAATTTATTGAAGTGAAACATTCTTTTTATCAGAATATAATTTTTTTTCAATTCCAATGAGTATTTTTATTATGTGATAATACACATTTTTTCCAGTTGTATTTATGATTAAAATTAAAAAATTCATTAAACGGGAAATTTAAAAGCTAAAAATGGACGCGAAAAAATTTTATTTACAAATTACAATATTTTAAACACCAACTAAGATTTCTACAAAATTAGACTTTTTTTCTACAAAAGTACATTTTACTTTTATAAAAGCCAGACTTCTATAAAAAGTAGCATTGTTCTTCTAGTTATACTGTACTTGTTAAATAACTGAATAAGAAAATTAAACGCATTTTATCTTTTTTAATTTTTTTAAAATCCTTATTACATGTCATGATTAAAACAATGAACAGTATATTTATCATTAATATTCAGAAACTTAAACCAATGTTTCAAACCTATCAATGAATATAGAACTGCTTACCCCACCAATTATTCATAAGTTTCATTATCGCACACTTTCGATCCCAAAGATTTTCCATCAAAAACTCATTCCACCACGTTTTAATAAAGTGTTTTGACGCAAGTATTAAATTGATTGTCAATTAATAAATTATTTTCTGAATATAATAAGACTTTTGTCTTCATAATAATTCAATTATTTATGAAAGTTTACTAACAAATAAAACTATCAGAGTAATTTATATAGACACACAGCTACAAATTGCAGATCGTTGAGAACTTGTCAGAGAGATCGTTCACGCGAAAAGTGATCAATCAGCATTCCTATTGTTAATTCATTGGAGATCCCCTATCTCATCGTAGATTGACGGTATTCTTCAGGAAGCTTTTGTTCCTGCTTCACCTGTAATTCTTTAGGATTGAACCGACAATTCCGGTTGATTATTTTTTTTTTCTACGATTGATGTAGTATCATAGCCCAAACTTCCATAGATCTGTAATAATGATAAAGTGTGTGTTTTTAATACTTCCAGACAATGAATACCTTTACTTACATTGCTAAACTAAGTTATCTTGATATCCGGTTTCCGAAATCAACATCTAGAACTTAGGAAAATGTTTCCGAGCTGAATCGAGATAGCGTAATATTAGATAACAAGCTGGATAAGGCGAATTTCGAACTGTTGATAATTGAAACCCCTACCCAGTTATAGATAATTTTGGAATCAATTCTGTCTAAATTCATCTTTTTAATTGTTTGTATTCTATTAAATCTGTCAGGACTTTCAATATATATTAGGAGAATCATCGAACATTAGAAAGTTTATTGATTTTAAATTGATGAATGTCACTTAGAATTTCGAAGTCGATACTTGGAATGTCATTTACCTTTTTCTGAAATCTTAATGTCTTAGATGACATGACGTCAATATGTCATGCTTTTTCAATGTAAATTTATCTGAGTTTTGACGCTAAGTTTTAGAGATAATATGGAGTATTATACTGAGTAAATTTTTTTTGCTTTGATTAGAAATAGAATATTGAAGATCAATTGAAAAAGTTTTTTATATCGATCTGGGTATAGAAAGAGATTAAAGTTTGTCAGTAGATTCAAAATAATATTTTACGTAATTAAATTTTCAATTAATGGAGTGTGATAAATTTCGTAAACAAAGTTAATCGATTAAAATTTTACTCGCTTTTCAATATAATATAATTTTCGCCCATGTATATAGGTATACGTCGTTGGTCACACACCACCTGGTGTCGATGAAAGAGCGACTGGAGCTTTACCTTTGAAAGAACAACACAATCGAAAGTACCTTCAACTTATTCGACAAAATGCAGATATCATTGCAGGCCAATTTTTTGGCCATTGGCATTCTGACACTTTTCGTACGATTTATAGTGAAATGGGTAAGTTTCTAACACAATTTAATACCCTTCCATTAAAGAAAACTCTGATAAATGGAACTTGATGATAAAATGAATAATGTTGATTCCTGTTTAATAGACTAATTATTTTTTATGATGATAATTTGATAACTTCAATTCATGTGGTAACGATAAGCTAACTAATAAAATGATATATCTCCCTTGATGTGTAGATTATTTTCTCTATAATACCAATAAAAGATTGTTTGATTTCATCGTGCATGTTGACGTTACATTTGAAGTTTTATTTTTGAGCTTTAATTTCCTCTTTAACAAAATTTTCTAGATTACTTTGTCTCGGTATAACATGATTATAGAGCTGAAAATAGAGTTTTGTCCTAAAACTAAAATAATTCGATAATAAAAAATCGTAAAAGTTTGCTTCGAAAATATAGATCTTTAAAACTAAATTAAAAATAAAATTACCATTTTTATAAGTATCTATTTTTGTAAATAACTAAATGATCTTTAAACCAATAGGAGTACCTATTTCATGGATTATGATGGCTCCTAGCATTACACCTGGTCGTCCAAATGGTCCAAACAATCCAGGACTTCGACGCTATAAATTTGAAACAAGCACAGGACAAGTAAGTTTCTACCCATAACATGATTTATTTATATAGTTTTCATCATTAGATATTAAATTAAATCAAATTTTATGTAGTAAATTTGATGAATAAAATCATTATTGCCTATTAGTTGAAACTGTGAAATTATTAGATTTTAGATTATACTCAGTACTATCTTGATCTACCAAAAGCTAATTCAATTGGCCGTGCAAACTGGGTTGTTGAATATTCTCTGTTAGACTATTATGAATTGAAGGAAATTAATGCACGAAGTCTACATGATCTTGCCCATCGCTTCACTCAAGCTAATGATGATACATTTGTTAGGTGAGTGTTGATTATAATAACCAATTGTTTATAACTGTATCTAATCAGTCATCTATTAAAGCCTTCCAGCCAATTGTATGTCTTCTATATATATATATATATATATTGTTTTAATTTGTAAAAATTTTTTATTATTTCTAGGTATTTTTATTATTAGTTACATTCTAATTTAATTAATATAACAGTATTACTTTGTTAGTACAATTAAATTAAATTAAATTTAGTTAGTATTCACGAATTACATTATTAATTAAAAGTTTCAAAATTTAATCGAATTCAAATTGATATAATTATATCAAAAGTTACATTTACATTTTTGTTGAAATCAATCATTTTATAATTGTGAAGTAGAATGATAAAATTGTTGTCGGAAAACTGGCTAAATTGAACATTATAACAATGATGATAATCGTGATGATAACAATTAGTTATTCCATTTATTATGAAAAGGATGTAATTGAAATCAATACTACTAATTCTAGATATTATGCTGCCAACACAGTATCACTACCACGAGAAATAGAAGAAATTTGGGGCTGTGGCGGTGCTGATGATGGTGCTTGTATACTCCAACACTATTGTGCTATAACTCGTGTCAATCCCGACTCCTATAGTAATTGTCTTTCATCCTATGCATACGCCTTGGCAACAGCTTGTTCTCCAACTTTACCTCTCTACATAGTACTCCATGTCGTTACTACATTTGGATGTTTACTTCGCAATCGATAGACTTGAAGGATCAAGTCATTAAATTTTAAACAACCTTAGTGACATTCTGAGCTGAAGAGGATGTTGAAGATTGACAGAGAACATAAGTTCAACTTTTTTTTTCTTACTTTTTACTACTATTTTTAAGTTCAAATGCTATCGAAATACTTCTTTCAGCTGAATTTTCTGAAAATCCATTCTATGAATTAATGATAACATAAAATTTCAAAAGCTTTTGACGAACTTATCTACGTCAGTGTCATCTAATTAATGTAATTCACGTTATTTCTTAATAAAATATACAATGATTTGTTATAATTGACTTGTTTTCATTATTTCATATTATCTCCTGTCAGCAGTAACTGTAAGTAATGATACGATATGATGAGCTTGGTAGTTTTACTAGGAGAATACTGAAGTTATAGTTAGCTGTAACTATGAATATTAAATGAAATATTTTAAATTAATTACAAAATCATTAAATATTCCTAACCACCATTAGATTACTTCCATTTATTTATAAATTGAGTTAAACAATATTCTTTTCTGAATGTCTAAAGACATTTCCAAGCATATTAATATTCTTGACGTCATATTGTAATTCATTCATCATTTAAAGAATAACTCATTAGATCATTTACTTACTCCAGAATACTGATGCAATTTAAACAATTAAATTATTCAACTAAAAAGTAAGGGAAGTTGGTAGAAAAGGAGTACTGATTTTATTTCTGCACAATTGTTGGTTCATAGCTCACATTAAAAACCGCGCACAGAGATACTGGGTGGTACCTGCTGTCTCTAGTAATAGCTTGAAAAGCGTTAGCACCAGCAGTAGCACCACAGTCGGAGTCGCATGAGAAATGTTGAATATTTCATGTAATATTCCACTCAGCCAAATAGCCAGAACCGAATGTCAAGCAAGCAATGCTGTGTGCATATGCTGCCAGTGAAGTAATTTCGTGCAAAACGTAATCGAAAGTTCGACTCAAACGACGCGACGACAAACGATTTGCGGCCGGTTCAACCGTTTGCATCAACTTATTTGCCTTTGCTTATAACTATTACGGAAATCGTACGGACGAGCTATGTTCTTCAATTTCAGCGTAATTTCCTTTGGAGAACTAAATATGGAAATGGAAATATTAAGTTCATAGAAAAAGGATTGAAAAAAAAAACGTGTATGAATCTTAGTACTTTTTTTGTATTTATCTTTCTGTTCTGTATTTCTGGAATGGAATTTCACTGTTAAAACAATCCTATAAGTTGATCTAAATTTTTAATAAAGAAGTTTTTCTTTCTTTGTTTTTTTATATAGAAAATGTATATACAAAGGGGAATTACGGATATAGTTTTATTTTGCATGTTTAGCTCTTAGAGAGGATTACTGTAGTAGCTGTTGATGTTAAGTGCTCGATCGTGCGTTCGAAACATTCAGTCTAAGTTCTGATAAAAATTTCATATATATTTACCTTAAGTAAATTCAAGCCATGATGTTAGCAAGTAGAGAAAATACAAAATAAGCTCCAGCAAAAATCAGTTTATTGTCACTTGTGTTTAAAAATAAATTTATTTTATCGGAAGAAGTTTACCATATTTATTTTCTTATCTATTTCTCAGATAAGCATAATCAATATTTAAATCACTTGCAAAATAAAGAAATTTCTTGGTAAGTTTATCTTTTAGAAGCACTTACATCAAATTGGTTGGATTTACTATAAAGATAATGTTACATTCACGTTATTTTTTTGAGTACTTTGTGTAAGCTAAAAAAATTGGTCAAAATATATTGTTCGTAAGAGTATCTGTAAATACGTTCTAAACAGTAATTCAATTTACTTTGACAGTATGTTATTATTTTAACGTTATAAATTGAATTTTTCAAAAATATAGCTTTTAATCTTAGATACATTTTTCTTGAAAGTAAACTATTTAGTCTACGAAATTCTTTTATTTGCTACAAAAAAATAATCGATTTTATTTCTATTCTGTTAAAATAAAATAGCTAACGGTTTAAGACAACAATGCAATTTACTTAGACTTTTCACAATTAAATAACACACAAAACATCCATGATGAATTGAGAAATATTTTTAAATTTGTACTCATGGAAAAATATCTATTTTTCAAGCTTTGCTTTTAAAAACATTATTTAGCTTAAAAACCACTCAAAAAAAACTTCAATAATATTATCATTTGCGTAAACTCAAGTATTTTTTACGTAAAAGGTTCCAAGTGGTTAATATGATGAATTAAGAGAGAAAAGTTTTTCTTTATTATTTCTTTGAGTTAAACGAAGTTGGTAATTCGCATATGTTGTTTTATCTGACGTACTAATCGTTCAAGTGCTTTTAAAGTTTTCCCTCTTTAGCGTAGAGACAAGAAGCAGAAGGGCAAAGAGAAAAGTAAAATAGGAAGAAAGGAGAGAAAGTAAAAGTAAAAGAAAAAATGCACCACACTTATCTTCCGTTTGACCCTACTGTTTGTCTATTGAAGTAGCTTTTGTTGAAGACGCTCACGGAAGATGCTACTGAAGAATTCGTCACGTCAGCCAAGTGGAAAGAGAACGGACATGACTAAGTGAGTGTGAGTTACATCTAAAAGGAAGAAAATACGCAGATGGATAAAGAGTTCTTATATGTATATTTCTCTTTTTTATTTAAATTTTGAAAATTTTATACTTATTTATTTACTAAAAAAAAAATTGCGATGACACTCAAATCAAATATCCTCAAGCCATAGGGTATAAGTTATACCTTTAGCTGGGAAACGAATCGTGGAATGTTTTAGGTATTTTACCTATTCCCGTGACAAATGTGGCGTTGGTCGACACGCGAGAAATGCCAAGAAAAGAGTAAGAACAAAGCTTCTTTTGGTGTGATAACTTATGAGGTTAGAGAACTTGCATTTTTTACTTCTTTTTAACGCTATTTAATATTTAATCTATTCATTACTATGCTATATTTCTTCGAATAAAAAATATGTGTATTATGAAACATCTTTGGCTTTCAAAAGATTAAGAAATAAAATGGGATTATATTTTCCATTAATAAAACATTGTTTAAAAATTGATATACACCATTGGAACGAGAACAAAATCTAATCATGTGAAGTATTATCAATTTTTTACGGAAAAGGAAGAAGAAATCGTAAAAATAAAATTTTTAGTTATCGTCGTTAATTTTTCTGACGTATATGTAGTGTGAAAAAATATTGGCTTTCTTTAGAAAAAATTAAAAAATTTTTTTATAGTAGAGTGAGAATGATAAAAAGGAAGATTAGGAATTGAGGGAGATTTGGTTGAATAAATTCACTACAGTAGGTAGGAAACTACTCGAAAGATATCGTGGTGACCAGTCCAAAAAAGGGAGTTTCGAGAAAAACGCTTTTAAAGTTCTGGGCAGAACTTGACCATAGACTGTCGGCTTGACTATAAATCTTTATAACTCCGACATTTTTTGACGTTGCCGAGAAATTCGTTCTTGTACTTCTCTTGGCGAAACTAAAAAATAAAAAAATATAAAAAATCGATTTTACACATGAAAAACCACCATTTCAAAGTCTTCTAACATACTGCCATTTTTTTTTTTCATCTATAAATGAATTCATAAAAATACATAATGTTATGCACGTTTTATTTTTTATTTTAGGAAAAGTGATATCAATCTTTTTCTTGAATGGTTAGATTAAAAATACGAAGAATGAAATACATGAAAAGTCCATAGTACTTCCTTTCTCCAGATATCTATCATTTACAACGTCAGAAGTTGTGCTAGCACCTCTGGTTTTCATAAATTGCTGGAATAGTTGGTTCTGTATTTGGTAGCTTCTCGTCCACTGTTTATTGCATACCAATACGCCATTTACGAAACTTCTGAATAACATCTGACCTATTCTAATTCTAAAATGTACCTAAGAACAGTTGATTGGACTTATGGATTTAAATTTACTCTCTACAACAATTTTCAACAAATATAATACAAGTGACGTGAAATCTGTAATTCCATCAATGCTCAGGAATATACTTCCATTATCAAGTTTGACAATTGATATATTTTCCAGAAATAGATATGCAAAAATATTTAACTCATTGAATAAATGAAGTTTATTCATATTGAGCTGTTCGAAAGGCAATATTTATTTAAAGGGATGACACAACTTTACTGAAAAATATTCTAAGTGATGCAAACTTTCCAATTTTTGCTTCACTTCATAGCTGACATTTTAAATCAGCTTCCATATTCAAATGACTTTATGGATTGGTATTAATTCATAAAATCATTTTAACATTTATAAACTATAATTGAATGAATTTAAGTTAGAAGAATATTTAAAAAATTTAGAACAGCACCGTTATATTAAATTTGAAATTCATAATTTTTAGGATTTTAAGTGGAGTAATAAAATTGAAAGAATGCATTATATATAACGTTTTTACTCAGCTGGCTATATCGTACACTGAAAAAAAATGAGATTGCTAAAAATAGTTGGATTTATTATGATGTATTATAGTGTCATTTAACATATTATAAACTGTGATATAATGATCATTCGATAAATTATGAAAAGCAATTAACACGTTTATTTAAAATGACAGGAAATCTCAATGACATAGAAAAACGTCTGGTCAGCTCAAGTCTCAGCCAGAAGCTGAAAATAAATAAATAAATCGTGCGTTGGTAATAACAAAGCTGTCGACTGTCAACACAAACATTTATTTGAATAATGAAATAATTTACAATATAATAGTTGAGTCCATTTCCAACTATGACGAACTTCATTATAATGATATACTATTTTATAATTAAATTCCACTTAATATTCAATATATTGAATATTGAATGGAATTTAATTACAAAATAGTATATCCAATTATTTGAATTTTTTGAGTATACATTTTGATTATTATTTATAGTTTTAACGGAAAAAGTGATGCTATAAAGTTTTGTTTTTTTATTTAAAAGTATAAAACTCTACAGGAAGTTACTTTTTGAATAACTTTTGTCAAAAAGAAAAGTATAAAAATTATTCTGTAAATAAAATTTACTTTATCTTGTCAAGTGTGGGACGGCTTGAGTAGTAAATATTGCTTTTCATGAAGAATAAAATGTCAAAAAAGAAAATTTTCATTTTCTCTATACCTAATAGGAAGTGAAGGTAATTTTTACGTAACACTCTTTTCAAGATGCACCCGACGATTTTTATTTAAAAAATTGATTATTTTTTTCTCGAACATTAGTTTTTGTATAT